ACTCCCAGAATTCCTCAGCCAGCTTTGCTGGCTGAGGAATTCTGGGAGTTGAAGTCCACAAGTCTTAAAGTTGCCAAGGTTGAGAACCCCTGTGCTAGATAAGGGTGATACATAGTGGGAAGACAGTGCAAAGCATCGCCAAGGTATCCCCCTTCCCAACAGAATTGTTGTTGTTGTTGTTAGTTGCGAAGTCATGTCCGACTCATTGTGACCCCATGGAGAACATTCTTCCAGGCCTTCCTGTCCTCTACCATCTTCTGGAGTCCATTTAAATTCATGCCTACTGCTTCAGTGACTCCATCCAGCCACCTCCTTCTCTGTCGTCCCCTTCTTCTATTGCTCTCAATCTTTCCCAGCATTCAACTCTTCTCCAGGGAGTCCTTCCTTCTCATTAGGTAGCCAAAGTACTTGAGTTTCAACAGGTCCCAAAGAAGGTTTACAGACTCAGGAATAGGCATAGGGAAATAATGTACTTCTTTGGGGACTTGACAGGCAGTGATATTTTATAGAGAATAACAGAGTTTTCATCGGGGTTGCATTTCTTCCTGTCAGAAACCTCAGCTGAGAAATGAAACCCGAGTCAATACAGGTGTAACAACATGAGTGATTCCGGGAAGCAGAATGCAAAACTCAAAACTGCCCTCGCACCTTCTGAAGTGACTTCCTGGGGTGTCTCTTCTGCCCAGTAATTTTATGGGTTTTCATGGATTTATTGCTCTCTTTTTTTTTAATGAAATGGTGTATACCACCCAGAGTCTCCTTTATGAGAGATGAGCGGCTATACAAATACGATTAAATAAATTCAGAAAACGTTTTCTGCATAAGTTAAATATTTACTTAGAAAAAGAAGAGATTGGTCAGCCATTTTTTTCTAGAATGGTATAGGCCTAGAACAGTGGTTCTCCACCTGTGGGTCGGGACCCCATTTGGGGTCGAACGACCATTTCACGGGGGTCGTCAAACAACGCAGTCCGCCATTTTTTCTCCCTTTTCCTTAGCTGGGCTACTCCCTTTTATTCTATTGGCTTTTGAAAGCTAATAGAATAGACTCTCTTGAATAGAGTCTAATTCTATTGGCTTTCAAAAGCCAATAGGAATTGTCCAGACTGTCTCTGCCCTGCTGAGCCCGCCAAAAGTCCCATTCTGCAAACGGTGCTGCACCAGTTGAGTAGTCCTCGACTTACGACCGGTTGAGTAGTCCTCGACTTACGACTGGTTGGGGATCGCAGCATTAAAAGGTTGAGAACCACTGGCCTAGAAAGTGTGCAGAGAAGAGCAACAAAGGGTGGACAAAGGGCCTGGAGGCTAAATCCTACGATGAAGGGTTGAAGGAGCTAAGCGTGACCAGCCTACGGAAGAGAAGGTTTAGGGGGGAACGGGATAACTGTCTTCCAGCACTTGAGGGGTTCACAGAGAAGAGGGGATCCATTCCTTCTCCAAATCCCCAGAGGGCAGGAGAAGAAACAAGGGGTGGAATCTTGTTAGAGAGAGATCCAACCTAGAAGGAAGGAGAAATTTACTGGCAGTGAGAACAATAAATCAATGGAATAGTTTTCCTCCTGGAGTGAGAGCTCCATCAGTAGGGATTTTGAAAAATAGACTGGACAATCATTTGACTGGGATGACACAAGGTCTCTTGCCTTGACCTGAGGAGTGGACTAAAACAGGGGTCCCCAACCTGTGGGCCACAGCCTGATAGTGGGACAGGCTGGCCAATGTGCACATGTGTGTGTGCACAAACCGCCACTCGCGCTAGTGCTGCGGTCATGGGGCGCGAAAACACGGTGCTGTGCCTCGCAGTGCAAAAACAGGCCGCTGCCATGCCTTGGGGCACAAAAATGGGCCAATGCCGCACCTCAGCACGTGAAAACAGGATGCTGACGCCACACCTCGGGGCGCAGAAACGGCACTGCACAGGAATGGGGCAGGGCTAGCAAGTATCACGCAAGTGCTAGCTCTGCCCCATTTGCATTGCGCTCATTCTCACAGCCCTGTGTGCGTGCGCATGTGTGTGTGCGCATAAAATGCTTCCCTCTCCCTTTCCCTCTGGTCCGCCAACCAAGAAAGATTAGTGACGTTGGGACTAGAAGATCTCTGAGGTCCCTTCCAGCCCAATAATTCTATGTTCTAGGTCAGAATAACCAAGTGATCTTCCCTCTCCTCTGGATGAAAAACGTTTTTGTTGCATCTTCAAGGGGTAGACCCGTTTTTCAAGGGGAAAAGATCAGAGGCCTGAAATATAGTACATAAATTCTCTATTTCCTTGTATTTTCCAGTGAAGATACAAATCTTTAGGAAGCTTCAAACGCTTCAGTTCTCTCCGCAATAAACTGAGATGGCTGCTCTCTCCTTTGCTGGTTCTTCCCGGGAATTCTGGAACTGAATAAATCAGCCTTCGGATTAGGATCGTTGTTATTATGATGATCAGTAATGAACTGAAGCTCCTGCTCTTACGTTTTTCCTGAGGAGGAAAGTACAGGTAGTCCTCAACTTACAAAAGTTCATTTAGTGACCCTTCAAAGTTACAGAGGCACTGAAAGAAGTGACTTACGACCATTTTTCAAACTTACAACCTTTGCAGCATCTCCATGATCATGTGATCAAAATTCAGATGCTTGGCACCTGCCTCCTACTTATGACCGTTGCAGCGTCCCGTTGCAACCTTCTGACAAGCAAAGTCAATGGGGAAGCCAGATTCACTTAACAACCAGGTTACCAACTTATCAGCTGCAGTCATTCACTTAACAACTGTGGCAAGAAATGTCGTTAAGTGGGGCAAAATTCACTTAGTAAATGTTTCACTTAACAACATAAATTTTGGGCTCAATTGTGGCTGTAAATTGAGGACTACCATATGAATGGCCTTTTGTCTTCTTCAACCGTCTGATATGCTTACAACCTTCCATGCCCAGCTGTTTTCCTTGGTAAGTAGAGTCTGTCAACATCGCTGCGAGGATGACGGTCCTGATTCATTGTCATTATTTTCCTGGTCTTTCCTCTCCAGGCCTTGGCTGTCGATGATTCTGGAGCTGCTGCTCATTGTTGGTCTCCTCTTCAAAAACTGAGCCCACTGTGACAGACAAGATAACCCGGGAGATTTGGAAACCCAGATGCTTCCGGGTACCCATCTTCAAAGGGAAGTCAAGGGCAGGAGGACAATGTGTTCATTTAGCAAGGCTCCTATAAGGCCTGAAAGATCAGGTCCACACATGAGAGTCCAATTAAACAGATTTATTGTTACTCACACCTATGCACAGGAATCTTCTCAACTAACAGTTAGCACCTCGTAGGAGTTAAAAAAAGGTCAACGGAACTGAAGGAGGGCTGGACTTAGCTTGCTTGTGGCTACAAAGGGATTCTAGGCTGATCCCTCCTTTAACTCCCCCCTCAGGTTCTGCCACTCCTTCCCCTACAGCAGTGTTTCCCAAACTTGAGAATTTTAAGGCATGTGGACTTTAACTCCCAGAATTCCACAGCCAGCAACGCAGGTTGTGGAATTCTGGGAGTTGAAGTCCTCATGCCTTAAAATTGTCAAGTTTGGGAAACACTGCCCTACAGCTCCACACCCATCAAAAGGCCATTGTAACTTCTTGTTTTCTCCGTGGGGGGGGAGGGGGACGACAAGATGATTTCCTCTTGCCCAATTTCTCTGAAAGGAAGGTACTCGCTCCTGGATTACCAAATTCACTTCTTTCCGAGTTGCTTTATTTGTAACCAGCGTAGGCCAATTGTCTCCAGAGAGCTGCCTGGCAGCAAGGCATCATGGGAGTTGAAGTCTAAAGTATCTGGAGGGCTCCATGTTGTCTATATCTGAGAAGAAAAATGTCTCCCTGGCAGTAACTCTTAAAGGAGCAAGAGGCATAGAATGTGTTTGCGAGATGCATAAAAGTAGTTGCTGAGTAATTTTCAGCCTATTTGTCTCTTTGTTTGAATTTTTTTCTGTGATATTTTTCTCCAGTTCCTCAGTATATTGAATGAAATATCCTACAGGGCATGAGACCAGGCTATTCGAGATATCGTATAGGGCAGTGGTTCTCAACCTTTGGGTCGCGACCCCATTTGGGGTCGAACGACCATTTTACGGGGGTTGCCAAACAACGCGATCCGCCATTTTTTCCCCTCAGGGGCCGCCGCCGCGCATGCGCACTGTGCGCGGGGCGCACCGCGCATGCGCACCGTGTCCTTATGACCAGGGTTGCCATATAAAAAGGTTGAGAACCACTGGTATAGGGTTTCCTGCCTGAGCAGGGGGTTGGACTAGAAGACCTCAAAGGTCCTTTCCAACTCTATCATTGTTATTGTTATCGTCTCCCACTGCGGGTATCTGCCACTATACTGGATAGGGTGGACCCTCTCCCCTTCCAACTTTATTATTATTATTAAAAAATAAGGCCATCTCCTGAAGCCTCAGAAGTGTCCCTTTCTCATGGCTGCCTCTACATTTCAGAAGACTCTTGAGCAGATCCCGCTCCTCTTAGCCTTCCACAATGGCATCAAAACCTGGCTTTGTATCCATATCCTGGCTTCAGGAAAGGTGGTCGATGCCATGTTATGGTAGGGAAGATGTGATGACTGGAGGGGGGGGGAACTTTCCCACCTCTTGGCTAAGAAGGATCGTTGCTGGCTGAGGAGAGACCTGGGAACGCAAGAATGTTTGATGCGGTGGACACTGAATCCACATGCTTAGCGCCTTCCACCATCCTGCAGATGGGTGTCGGGGCTCCTAAAAGGAAGATGGTGGGCCCAAGTTTTTAGTTTTTGTCATGCGGTTTTTGTGTTCTTCATAGTTTGACTATTTTTGTGAGCTGCCTAAAGTTCTTTAGGTGTCTAAGAAATAAATACAGTTCTAAAACTTTTGAATCAGGGGAAGACACTCAAATACTGATTGAATTCTCACAAAATGCTTTAAAGCAGCCGTGTCCGACCTTTCGGCTTGTCTTGGCTCCACGGAGTGAGGAGAAATGGTCTTGGGCCACATATAAAATCTATAATATAGTTAATGTATTTAAATAACTTCCTTTATATTTTTATTAGAGCATTAAAACTTCTGCAGGACCGCTTTACTAGCTATCCAAGGCCGCATGTGGCCCACAGGGGCCAGGATGGATGTGGCTGCTTTAAATAGTCTCCTTTATAGGCTCTCAAAGATGGCCAGCTCTTGAAGGCATCTGGGAATCCCAAAAGAAGTTTGGGTGTAAGACCCCACCCTTTTTCAATTTCACTGTTCACTTTCAATCCTTTCACTCCTTTGCTCAGAAAGCATCCGTCGTAATATGGGGACTTCTTTCCCGTCAATCAAGCGTCTCTGCATTCTTGGGCGACTGCATGAAATGAGGCACCTGAAGAGCAAGACCCAAAATCCATCCTGGTTCCAGCATGCTGGAAGGGTCTGAAGGGCTCCACCTGAGAGTCGGTCCTAATTCAGAAGAAGGCCGATCCCCTCTTCTCTCCTCCCTCCTGATGCTGGGAGTGTCCACTCGTGCTACAAAGAGGAGGGAAAAGGTTTTTTTTATTTAATCAGTATAATAAGAATTGTATTAATTTAAATATGAGACATGAAATACCAAAGGGAAAAGAGAGGAAATAGTTAATGTAATAGTTTGAGATCTGCACTAAAGATATTTGTATGTTATTAAATTATTGACCAACTCAGCCGCCACGTGCTTTCCAAATATTTAAATGTAAAATTAGAAAATCAATAAAATTTTCTTTAAAAAAAAAAAAAAAGAACTCACCGTCTCCCAGTTAGTCTCACTTGGTGCCCTCAACCCGAAATGAAACTGTCTCTAATTATTCTAATTATTTCACCAGAACTGGACACAGAGGGAACCCGGGGAGGAGTTATTAGGAGGGCCTTTAAAAAAAGGGGGGGCTTTCTCTCTTTTCATCCCCCCCCCATCCGCCCAAAGTCTGGCAAAGGGACAGAATGGCTCGTGCAGCAGCAGCTCCCTCCGACTCACCCTGGCTGGAACTGCTGGATTCTTCCTCACTTCCTGGAAAAGAGGGAAAGAAAGGCGGGGGAGAAAGTTGCTCTCTTGGCTTACAGATGGAAAAACTCAGCTCTTTCTGACTCCATCTCCCTCCCTTTCTCTCTCGCACACAATCAGAGACCCACAAATACATGGAGAGAGTTTGAACCAAACCGCTTTGGCTTAAAGGCACAGGAAAGAATTCTTCAAATTTATAGGTCTATCACACAAAGCCAGAAGGCAGAGCTGACCTAAAAAGATACAGATAGATCCAAAGTTTCTTTTTCCAGTCAGTTCGTACTTAGACAGCCTTGTGATGGGAGACCAAGAGGAGATCCAGCTGGCATCCCCCAAAGCTCCTTGTCTCTCAAAATGCCCCCTTTTGATCCCTAATTTGATGGAACTTCTGACTCTCATTTCACCAAACCTTTCCTTTCTGCCCAGTTGGGAAACAGAGCATGTCCTCAGTCAGAGGGACCTCCCACCAGCTGGGTCTTCTCATCTTCTGGAAGGTTCCTTGTCCCAAAGGTTTCTCTTTGAGGACCCCACTTCCAAGAACAGCCTGGCTGTAATGAAAAGGGGGTCCATCTTCCCCAGCCAGATTTTTACAATGAAGAGGAAGATAGCACACAAACACACACACACACATACACACCTCTCAACTGATGGAGCCTCTGGTCCCTGCTTTAAGTTGGAGATTACTTGTAAAGAGGACAATTCACTCGGTGTTGCATTGTGGTCATCTTGACGTCTCTCTGCAAGGATAAAAATCAGTGAAAGCTCCAAAGAACCCACCAGAGATCATCCAATCTCACCTCTTTAGGAGGAAGAACCCCAGGAGATATTTCACAGTTCCTTTGACCCATAAATAAAGACAGAAAGATCTTCAAAATACAAAAGTATCTCCTGATTTGCCCCTAGGGAGACCTGCTGCCTCCGAAATGGATGGAGGGAAATGGGGGAAGTAGCAGCAGCTGGGAGGGGAGGAAGATTTTCATGGAAATCCTTCTCTGCTGCTCTTCGACCAAAACCTTGGAAAGGGACAGAACTGGGATGCCTCTTCCCAGCTCAGAAGAAGACGGGACTGTCCCCACTTCAGACTCAGCTGAATCGAGAATGGAGTCCCAGCAAGAGGCTGAGTCTCAGATGCTCCCCAAGAGGGCTGGGAAAACAGGACAGAAGGAAGCCCGGAAGAAGCTCCCCAAAGGGAGAGACTTGGGAGTGATGTTCCTATCTTCCCCCAAGAACCCAAAAAAGAATACTTACTGGGAATGTAAATAAAAGCCAAGATCCCAACAATCGCAAACACCGAGACAAGGCCAGCCACAACGCAGCCGATGATGATCCCCAGGTTGGATTTTGGTTCTGAATTGGGAGAAAAAGCAGATAATTGAAGGAGAGCCCAAAACAATCATCCCAATTGGGGGAGAGACCTAAAGCAGCCAAAGCTGGAAATTCCCCAAATTAAAAACCTCCATGGGCTCCTCTTCATGTCCCTCTGAGGGAAACCTGAAGGCGCCTAGCTAACCATTGTTAGGACGTGACCTCATGTCGCTGCCTTCTTCTCCCACCAGCCCAGCATGAAGGAAACTGAATTCATCTTTAGCTCTTCAGCTCAAAAACAGCCATTTGCAACTTTGTGACTCTCAGCAACTTACAAAACAAAAACTTCACCAACACAATAATGTAAGCAAAAATATTTTTGCTCTTTTTATAGGCAGCCCCAATATCTCTTATCATCACTCTAAGTGGAATGGGCTTTTGTCTTCAGTTTGAATATTTGCATTTTATTATTTAAAGTAAAACAGTTCATACCACCCGTCATTTTTTTAAGTATACACTTCCATTTCTTTGACCAGTCCAGAAAAGGCATAAAATTATATTTTGTGTTTCCAGAACTTCAGCATGATAAACGGAATATGGTGACATTCAACTTCTGGACGGTCCCAGAAATGGCAGAAACAGAAGAACAGAGTTTGAAGGGACTTTGGAGGTCTTCTAGCTCAACCCCCTGTTCAAGCCTTCCAGACAAGTGGCTGTCCAGTCTCTTCTTAGATGCCTCCAGTGATGGAGCCCCCACAACTTCTGAAGGCAAATTGTTCCATTTGGTTTATTGTTCTCAAGGTTAGGAATTTTCTCCTTAATTCCAGATTGCTTCTCTCCTTGTTTAATTTCCATCCATTGCTTCTTGTCCTGCCTTCATGTGCTTTGGAGAATAGCTTGACTCCCTCTCTACATATGCTGTTCATTGTATGTTTAGGTGTGTGTCATGTATGTGTTTCATTTTGAGAGCAGGCAATTAAATTTCATTTTTGATGTGTGCCATTGTGCCCACAGTATAAAAATGATAATAAAGGTTATCTTATCTTATCTTTGGGGCAGCCCTTGAGATATTGGAAGACTGCTATCATGTCACCCCTAATCCTTCTTTTCATTAAACTTGTTGTTGTTGTTGTTAATTGCGAAGTCGTGTCCGACCCATCGTGACCCCATGGACAACGTTCCTCCAGGTCTTCCTGTCCTCTACCATCTTCTGGAGTCCATTTAAGTTCTCACCTACTGCTTCAGTGACTCCATCCAGCCATCTCATTCTCTGTCGTCCCCTTCTTCTATTGCCCTCAATCTTTCCCATCATTAGGCTCTTCTCCAGTGAATCCTTCCTTCTCATTAGGTGGCCAAAGTACTTGAGTTTCAACTTCAGGATCTGGCCTTCTAAAGAGCAGTCGGGGTTGATCTCTTCTAGGATTGACCGGTTTGAACACCTTGCAGTCCAAGGGACTCGCAGGAGTCTTCTCCAGCACCATAGTTCAAAGGCCTCAATTCTTTTGCGCTTAGCCTTTCTTATGGTCCAACTTTCACAGCCGTACATTGCAACTGGGAAAACCATGGCCTGGACTATACGCACTTTTGTTGGCAGGGTGATGTCTCTGCTTTTTAGTATGCTGTCTAGATTTGCCATAGCTTTCCTCCCCAGAAGCAAGTGTCTTTTAATTTCTTGGCTGCAGTCCCCACCTGAGGTGATCTTTAAACTAGACATACCCAATTCCAGCAACCCAATTCCTCATATGTTTTACCCTCCAGGCTCCTAATCATCTTTGTTGCTCTTCTCTGTACTCTTTCTAGAGTCTCAACATCTTTTTTATGTCGTGGCGACCAAAACTGGATGCAATATTCAAAGTAGGGTCTTACCAAAGCATTATAAAGTGGTATTGCTTTGGGAGTCAGTTCTGAGGAGGGGAACTTTAAATTTAATTTTCTCTTGCACAAAACTCAGGACTCCTACTGAATAGCTATCATGCCATTTGTGAATTGATGCTTGCTAAAAACAACAAACACAAATATTTTATTTTGCCCGGGGCATCAGCATAAAAATTAAATTTGAATGGTTTTTTTTTGTATTGTGGTGAAATTTTATTATTTCATTAATAAAAGATTTAAACTTGAATTCTGCAATTTTGGAAATCCAGTGTAAATAATGTTAGGGGCAGTTATGAACATATGCAGAGTTCTTAGAGGGCTTTTTTTCTTGGGTTTTATGCTGAGCCTCAGGAATTCCCATATCGTATCATAAAATAAGGTGTAATTTCTTTCAAACAGCAGCAACATACAATATTTTGACCTTTAAAGCAGGAAAGCCGCGCTAGTCTCTGAGGGCAAAAATTCCTGGCGCATCAGTCCAGCTACTCTCTGCGTTTCCTGAAGTGGGATGCAGTTCATGCATTTTAGTCAAAATTTCCCCTCAGAAAAGGGGCTACCAGATACCTCCTGATTCTTGTATTTTAGGAATTCTAAAGAAAAGCAAATCTGTTTCTGCTGTTTTTCTGCTGGAGGCCAGAAAGAGGGGAGGGACAGAGGCTAAGAGAGGATCTAAGAGGATTTCATCAGGATCTGCCAGCTCTTATGATGGGATTCTGGAGTTTCCTTCACATCCCCTGAAGCCGGTTCTAAGGTCTGGTCCCTGCAGCTTCACCAACTTCAAACACTGGAAAAACCAATGGCTTAAAGCTCCGGTATGCTCACATCTGGACACAGCTGGGGTCAGATTCCTCTCCCACAGCCCTCCACCCTGTCAGCCTTTCCCTCTCTGCAGCCTCTCACCCTCCAGGGCCACGTCCAGAGGCTCCTGCAGGCCGTTGTGCTCCACGTGGCACAGATAGCGGCCCCTCTCTTTGGGATCAATCTGGATGCTGAGCGTGGTGTGGAAGGTCCCATCTGCGTTGGGGGCCACGGAGCCACGGAGGGTGTCCTGCAGCCAGACCTCCCCGTCCCTCGTCCAGAAGGCCTCGATCTCCCTGGGGTAGAAGCCATCCACGCGGCAGACGTGCATCTCCATCCCATCCTCCACCTCTGTCCTGCTGCTCATGGTCACCTCTGGGGGCTCTGCAGAAATGGCACCCCCGGAATTAGCTCTGAGCCCCTCCAGAGCCTGGAAGGTGCATGGGAAACTTGGAGAGGCAGGAAAATCTCCCACTACTTCCCACTCCACACCTGCAGCGTCTCCAAGAGTTTTAGGAAATGCTCCAGATCTGGAAAATGCTCAACCACAAGTCCTTCCCAGGGACTCAGCCTGAAAAACATCCAGCAGCAAATTGAGGGTCCAAGGAAATTGCTTTCTTTGAACTCTGGGTGATCTTGGGCTGCTCCCTTCAGGGGAGGGAAAGTGGAGCTGCTCTTTTAAGTTCCCTTTCAAGACAACAACAACACAGAGGTTTCCTGTGTTGTTGGGGTCGAACGACCATTTCACGGGGGTCGCCAAACAATGCAGTCCGCCATTTTTTCCCCCCTTTTCCTTAGCTGTGCTACTCCCTTTTATTCTATTGGCTTTTGAAAGCCAATAGAACAGACTCTCTTGAATAGAGTCTAATTCTATTGGCTTTCAAAAGCCAATCGGAATTGTCCAGGCTGTCTCTGCCCTGCTGAGCCCACCAAAAGTCCCATTCTGCCAACGGTGCTGCACCAATTGAGTAGTCCTCGACTTACGACCGGTTGAGTAGTCCTCGATGTACGACCGGTTGGGGGGTCACAGCATTAAAAAGGTTGAGAACCACTACCCTAAAGTATTAGAGTAACCCTAATATTGGGGGGGGGTCAAGGATCCCAGAGGGGAAGGGGTTGACCCAGTGGGGAGAGGTTGGGTAGATGGGAACATAATAACAAATCACAGGAAAAGATTACACTTTGAGCCCCCCTTGGGGGGGGAGGGGGTGTTCCTGAAGGTGGGGAGGGGGCTGTTTTGAGGAAAGACTAAATCAGAATGGAGGGAACCTGTTTGAGGTTTAAGAGAAAGATCCGCAGAAACTTTGGAAAGAAAAGAACCCCTCAACCTTGGCCTTTTTTTGTCCAAGCGGGGGCACTGATGATGTCTTATTAATGGTAGAAGTGGAGCCCCCTAGTGGTGGGCATGGGAGGTGCACCATCAGGTGCAAGGCAGGGAAGGAGCCCCCTGCGGGATGTGGGGGGAAGGAGAATTAATGGGGGGAAATTAAAGGAGCCCCTCACACTTGACTACAGTTTGACTAATGGGGGTCTCACCGAAGAACCCCAAGTGCTCCTGTTGCCTCACTGTGGGCAATGAACAGGACACCCCCAAGTGCTTCTCCTGCCTGATCCACCCAGACACCCGCCAGGCAGGGGCTGCGTTTCCTGGTCCATGGAATGGGGGCCTGGCAAGGGGAACCAATCAGGGCCTCCCGCGTCATGGAGAGGGGCTGGGAGGGGGGGAGGGGGAGGATTCCCTCCTGGGCAGCCAGACTGCAAACCAGGAACCCAAAGGGGCCGAATGTGCACCAGAAATCCAGCCACAAAGGAGGAAAGTCCAGCCTGCATCCAGAGGCTCACCTTTCTTCAGCAGCGTCTCCTTCCCGTAGGACAGATACCTCTCCAGCCATTCAATGCAGATTTCCTCCAGATAGGACTTGTGTCTCTGATTCAATCCTGGAATAGCATCCCAATTCCTCTGGGTGATCTGGGCCTGGGGTTGGGGAGCCACCCAGGTGAGTCTCTCCTTGTCGAAGATGAGGAAAGTCCTCCCATCGTAGCCAAGCTGCATAAACCCTCCTTTGCTCCCATCAGCCTGGAGCTCACAGCCATACATCCACTGCAAGATGTGAAGGCCTGAAATAGGGACAATATGATGGTTTGGGGAGTCCTCAAGATAGACACAGACCCCTTTGCCAGCGGAGGATCCCGAGGGAGACAGAGAAAAAAAGAAGTCGCAAAAGAAACGGAGGGAAAGAAGCTCCTCCATCTATCCTTCTCCATCTTTCCTAGATTAACCAGAAACAAACCATGGCTTTGTGCAATGTGGGAATGAAGACTTGAAGGGCCACAAAGGAATATTTGCCTGAGCAACAGCAGCAAGTGGCTCAATCTGATCTGCAAACTCGAAATGTTATTGACCTTTGAAATGAGTTTGATGTTTACTGTCACTGCAACGCCCTGAAGAAGATCTTTCAACTTCAAGTGACTAAATTCTTGGATTTAAAAAGAAGCCGAATTTTTGAAAAAACCAAAAAGAAATGTTGAAATATTTCTACTTCTGGTTGGGCTTCAGAATGAGGAAGGATTAATGGTAGAAACTCTCAAATCTAAGTTAAAACCACTTGTAAGTACAGCTGAACTAAACTGACCAGTCCTTCCCCTCCCTTTCCATACCTATGAGTGATGGGGTGAGGGGATCCTTTCTCTGCAGCTCCTGCTCAGCCTGAGAACTTCCTGTTTAGAAGAGCATTCGAAACAGACTGGTTCTAGGAATTGGCTACAAGGTGGTTTCTCTGTCTCTTTGCCCATTGAGGACAAGCAGATGGTCTGGACGGTCGTTTTCTCATCCTGTCTGAGAAATTTACTGGGTGCCTGAAGTTGAACGTTGGCATGTTGATCTGGAACTAGAAGCGTATAGCGTTTTGATCTCTGTGGCATCAGGCTGTCTGGACAAGCCAAGAACTCAGGACCTTTTAGCCAGATCAACTCTGCCAACTGTGACACAAGGGTGGACTGCTTAGCTTGGTCCACAAGGTGCTTATCTGTTGGCATATGTTGCCATTGATCAGGGGTTGAAGATGTTTCAATCTTTTCTACTCTATTACCTACATAGACGTAGAAGTGTCTGCTTCGGTTGCAGATGTAGCTTGACTTCACCTTGCTGTTTGTGTAGGTGGTGGATTGTAGCCCAAGGCCTATCATTTTCGCTGTCAAGTTGGTGAGTTTTACAGCCAATATGGTACCACAGAGTTCTAACTCTGTGTTGTTAGTTTCGCCTTTCCAGTGATGAAAACGACGCTGTAAACTCTGATGTATCCTATGGCTACAATCACCTTCGTTGACACATCTGAGAAAGCGTACAATTCTTTCTTTGAGCGAGTGAGCTGGAGATGTATATACGTTGCACGTGTATGCTTTGGATACAACTTAGGAGTGTACTCTATGACTCCCAGTCTTGTTTCTGTTCTCCTGGACGCGGCCTGTCCCAGTATGTGGTGCTCTGGGAGAACGTGCGTAGCTGCAGAAATTGTTTGTCCTCTATGGACAAAGCTAAGTCATTGTAATTCTTACTGGTCTGGAACACTGTTGCTTCCAAAATGGGTTTGGTTGTCACAAGCGTGAAGTGTTCTTCACATGGTTTTAGGTGAGGTTGTCTTCCATTACTTAGAATGGAGGTGGTTGAGATATTCACCTGGGTTGGAGTTTGCGGTTGGTCACTAATGTGCAGTTAACCTTGGCAGGGACCTCTGGGAGCTCTTAGGAGCTGTAATGGGGCTCCTCAGTTGAAGGAGGAGTAGAAGCTGCTTGTTGTAGCTGTCCAGAGTCTGGATGCAGGGCTTCCGGGTGCTTGTCACTCTTGCTCAGGTGACACTTTCCCTTAGCTTCACCAGCTTTGGCCACGTCTTCCGGAGATTCACAGCATTTGAAGCCAACCTTGTACTCTCCTAAATCTAACTTTCTTCCCCAGGGTGTTGGAGGATCTGATGATGCTGTGCAAGGTTTGCCATCTGGCTGGGTTGGTACAGCGTTGAGGTCATCTGGAGCACGATCAGTGGCTTCTCATTGAACCTCATAGGCACTGTTTCCAAGAGCAGGGAAACGTGGCACAGACGGCTGGCATTTTTTGACAGAAAACGTCTTGTTGGGGTTAACTTCCAGTGGCACGGACGAGGAACCTTGAAGGTCTGGCCTGAATTCCTCTGCCTTTACGTTAAGCTGAGGAGGCCTGACTTCTTGTGTGCTCACTTGTCGGGGGGGTATTATTGTCGTTCAGGTGGTGTGTTGCCAGCTCCCTGGCCAGCTGGCACATCTGGTGGTCGAGATTCTCCTCCGTGGTTGGGCATGAAGGCGGCGCATCGGGATGCTGTTTTCTCTTGATGCAATAGGGCAGGCTTTTCAACCAGTGGTACGGGTACCACCTGTGGTACATTGGCACCTAGCAGGTGGTACGCGACCATCCTAGAAAAGTGGTAGTGGGGGAGGGGAATGAGATGAACCAGTGGCAGCACTACAGAAGCCTGAGTGAGAGATGGCTGGAGCTACAGGGCTGTCAGGGCTCAGTGGAAACACCAGAATCACCGCCAGGCTCCAGATGGAGCTCGGTAATGATTCTGGTGCTTCTGCTGAGCCCTGAAGAAACACCAATCAGCTGGAATGTTGCAGCATCTCCAGGGTCTTGTGATTTACATTCAGATGCTTGGCAACTGATTCATATTTATGATGGTCACAGTGTCCCAGGGTCATGTGAAGTGACCAAAACCTGCTGCAACCACCCAGTAGACAGGGGGAATAAAAACCAAACACCCTCCCCTGCTGCCAATCCTCAACAGAAATGCTCACAACAATGAAAACCTCGGACAGGAGGAAGAGCGCCGCTGAGCAGGCAGGCAGATGTCTTGCTTGGCTGTGGCTTGGGGGGCACTTTTTTCAGTGCCATTGTAACTTCGAACAGTCACTAAACAAATTGTTGTAAGTCGAGGACTATCTGTATTTTATCACTTTTTTTCCTTTTTTTTTTGGTCAAGTTTTTGACACCTTGCCAGGTGACTGGTGGTACTCGGATGTTGCCATATCCTAAAAGTAGTACAATGGGTGAAAAGATTGAAAAGCCCTGCAATAGGGACTCTAGCCTGGCTCGTCCTGACAATCTCATCCTTTAGCGGCAGCTCTTCCTGCTGTGGAGCCATCACCGTTGCAGATGGACCTATCCGGTTACCATCTGTGGTTTGGTTTGTTGGAGTCAGTGTTGTAACTCTGGGGGGAAGCCCTCCAGATGGTGCAACATCAGCTCTCTGGCAGGCTGGCACATCAGGTCGTCGAGATTCTCCTTCCTGTCTACTTGGTTTTGGGGGGCTTGTGGATAACTGCAGTGCTCCTGCCTGCCCCTGTTGAGACGCACACTGGTTATCAACATAGGCCTGCAGGTGGCTATGCTGACTTTCAATCTCCAGTCATTCTAAATTGTGCGAGAAGGGTGGCGCATTGGAATGTCTTCTGAAGGGCTTTTGCTCTTCCGTTTTATCTGCCACTTCTTGTTGGCTATATATGAGCTCAAGCTCGACTAGAGCAGCCTTTCATCTGGCCTCTATTTGAGCTGCTTCAGCTTCCTTTTGCACTGCTTCAGCCTTTCGTTTGGCCTCCATTTGAGCTGCTTCAGCCTCTATCGTCGCCAATTGTTTCTTTTTGCGCTGCTCTGCTTCTAACACACAAAAGACTGCATTGGTAGCTTCAGCTTCAATGTTTGCTTCTTCGGTTCAAATGGCCAAGCTCTCTGTCCTTGAAACTCGGGACGCTTGGCTATGATGAGAGGACGCTTTTGAATGGTGGGAGGCGCCTGTAATGTGAGATTGTTGTGACACGCTGGAATGCACCTGGGATCGTGGTGAGGTATGGCGAAAGGGTGAAGCTTTTTCAGAGGCGTGAGGGGGGCCACATGTGATCACTGGGATGGCGCATACGAATGATGAGAAACTTCAGACTTGGCCCTCTCAACTGATATGTCTTTCGGGTAAGGCTTGGTCTCCGGGAGGTGGTCTATACTCTCCAGAAACCTTTTACGTTTCTTGTTTAGTAGCTTGAGGCTTTGCATCCTGCTATCGAGTGTTGGGTCTCCTAGTTGTGACTGCATCCTTTCGAGATGGCGTTCGGAGTCTATCCATTGCAAGAAAGCCTCTTCCCTATCGTTTTTTAATGAGAGCGCACGTTTGGGGGAGAGCTCCTCCTTAGGCACTTGGTAGAGTTTGTATAATTTCTCCCAATGCCTTTCATGGCGATTGCGGACAGTGTCCCATTTCTCCAACAGGTTAGACCGCATGGCTTCAGTAGGCTTTCTTTGTTGCCTCAGGTCATAGGGTATCTGGGATGTCTTTGGCTTCAGTGAAGCTTGGACATCAGCCTCTGCGTACAGGTCAAGGTTAGCTGGTGGCAGCATTTCTCCTTGGCTGGCTGCGCTAGGACAGGTTCAGTAAACTTTCTAGCTGTTTTGAAGTGAATTCAGTGAACTTCGCCCTTTGACCACTAGGGGTTGCTGTTTGGGTAGCCACTTCAGGGAAATTTCTTTCCTGGCTGCCAGGGTACACTGTTCGTGTGAGTGCTTCAGCAAAGTTCACTCTTTGACCACTAGGGGTCTCTCTATCTGGGTGGGCACTTATTTATTTATTTATGAGACTTATATACCGCTTTAAGTGCAAGCACTCTCTAAGACCATTAAGCAATGTATATATATATATTTACATTGCCCCCAACAATCTGGGTCCTCATTTTACCTACCTCGGAAGGATGGAAGGCTGAGTCAACCTTGAGCCGGTGAGATTTGAACCGCTGACCTGCTGAACACAGTCAGCTAAAGTGGCCTGCAGTACTGCACTCTAACTGCTGCGCCACCTCAGCTCACTTCAGGGAAATTCCCTCAATGGCCACCAGGGTACGTTTGTGCATAGGTAAATGCAAGCCTGTTATTTGCAGATCAGCTACCAGGGTGCTATCTGTGGGTGGAGGCACCACTGGGGGCGTTCTTTTGCCAGTCTCTTTCCTCCTTTCTCCACCAGGGGGAGCCCTCTGGGTCCAGCTCTGCTCCCCTGAGAGGCCAGCAGGGGGTCTGGAGAGGTCTGGGGGGATCAGGGGCAGAACAGGCAGATCTCTCGGGTGTCTGCCTGGGGGGGATGAGCCAGGAAAGGGCAGAAGAAGGGGGGCTGCACCTCCTTGGGATAAAAGGAGGGAAAATGGCTGATGTTTGTGCAGAAGGTTTACCTCAGCCCGAAGCAGCCTCTGGTGACACAGATATTTGCTTGCAATCTCTCCCCTAAATCAGGTTCCTTGAAGGTGAATCTTCTCCCCCAAAGATGGCAGAAGGGGGGGCTGCTGAAAAAGGCCTCCCCCCTCCAGGGCAGCCCCACCAAGAGGACAGCACAGGAGTTCAGGATCTCCTTAGGATCCACCTGCTTCTTTTCAGGAGGGGAGAGACCTGAGATCCCTTCCCTCCCCCACAGCTGGGGTCCACCAAAGCCAGGACCCTCCAACTTTCGTGGGGGGGGGAGAGGAGATTTCGGTCTCTTTAACTCAGTTCATATCCATATCCACATCCTTAAAAATATTTTTATTAACTGCAATTGGCAGAAAACATCAGCTATGGAGGCAACAACAAGCTTATACTGATTTTTAAAAAAGGAATCAACATATTAAAACCCTTTTTAAATGTGGAGAAGCAGCCTTTCCCTTTAAAGGGACCCCCCTTTCTCCCCACTCTGGTTCCTGGGGAGGGGATTATGGGGCAGAAGGAGCCACCCGACCCATCACTCACCTTCGCTCTGATTGTAGCGAAGCCTCAGACTCTCCAGGCTTTCTTTGAACTCCTCCTCAGTGCCACGTTCTCTCTGGGTCTCTCTGTCCCAGTACTGGGGGTCCTCCTTCCCCACCTTTTTCATCCAGGAGACTCGAGGCTGCTCCCTCCGGCTGTTGCTGTCGTAGTGAACAAAGACCTGACCGTCCACATATCCCACAGAGACAAAATGGGGCAGCCCCTGACTGGGCTCTGAGATGGAGGAGGAGAAATACTTCATGGAGTGCGAAGAGGCGCCTGGAAGGGACCAGAGGGGAAGAGTTAGGGGGCTCCAGTCAAGGACCCTCATCCTATGGAGGCTCCAATATGAGGCTCTGAGGGGAAAGAAGGAAGGAAGAAGAAGGAAGAAGGAAGAAGGAAGTAGGAAGAAGAAAGAAGAAGGAGAAGGAGAAGGAAAAGAAGAAGAAGAAGAAGAAGAAGAAGAAGAAGAAGAAGAAGAAGAAGAAGAAGAAGAAGAAGAAGAAGAAGAAGAAGAAGAAGAAGAAGAAGAAGAAGAAGAAGAAGAAGAAGAAGAAGAAGAAGAAGAAGAGCCGAGGTGGCGCAGCAGTTAGAATGCAGTACTGCAGGCCACTTTAGCTGACTGTGTTCAGCAGGTCAGCGGTTCAAATCTCACCGGCTCAAGGTTGACTCAGCCTTCCATCCTTCCGAGGTAGGTAAAATGAGGACCCAGATTGTTGGGGGCAATGTAAATATATATATATATATACATTGCTTACTAGTGTACACCGCTTAGAGAGTGCTTGCACTTAAAGTGGTATATAAGTCTCATAAATAAATAAATAAGAAGGAGAAGAAGAAGGAGGAAGAGGAGGAGGAGAGCTGGGGGGATGAGAAAGGGGGAAAGGAAGGGGGGAGGATGGAAGGAGGGAGCGACTGAGAGGGAAAGAAGCAGCTTCTGGAGGGCCTGAAGGGTTGGAGGGCAGGAAAGGTGGGGTGTGAGAGAGGAGGGGAATGTCGGGTCCCCCAAACTTTACTTGCCCCAATTGCACACTCCCCCCTTCCAGCAAGGCCTTCCACAAAGCTTGGGAGGGGGTTGATGGTGGCTACCCAACTCTTCACATGATGAGTGACTCTCAACAGAAAGGCCTAAATTAAGTGTTTCTCAGACTCAGCCATTTGGACTTCAACTCCCAGAATTCCCCTCACCCGGAAGAAACCCATGGGGCTTCTCCATCCTGGCCCCACCCCACACTGAGGCTGCTTGGGAGTTCAACTCTCATGTTGGGGGGGGGGCTCTCAGCCTGGGGGTCTTATCCCCAAACTCAGCCTCTGTATGGAGGGTCCTGTCACCTTTAAAGCCCCTTTGGGGAACCAAAGATAAACAAACAACATTATTTCAGTTTGTATCGTGCAAACTCCCACCTGAGCAGAATCAAAGTTTCTTCAGCCCTTCCTTGGGGGATAGACTAAATTCACAAGACATAAAACTATGCTAAACTTGACTAACAAGGAAAAAAGAAAATCACTGTTAAATCACTGTTTAGTTTTCATTGTCAAAACACAAACACGGAAGAGTCTCTGAGACTGCCCAATCAACAGAAAAAAAAAAACAGCTTATAAGTGGGTTAAAAGAATCAAAAGAAAATAAAATGAATAAAAGGCTCCTGGGAAATCGATTAAGCTGATGAAAATCCCCAAGGCCCCTTCTGGGTCTCCATTCTGAGCTGTTGTAAGTCGAGGACTATCTGTAGTCCCACTGCCCAGTCCCTCCAGTATGGTCTCCCAGTCCTTCCCAGTCTCCCAAGGCAAAGGCCTCGGCCTCCTTCTTCCTGCTCCTCCCCACAATCCCAGCGGCTTCTCAGAGGTTTTGGGGAGAGGGATCCCCAGATCCACGTCCTGCTCTGGGGAGATTTCAAATGAATCAGAGCTTTTCTCCGACAGAAGGAGGGGGGATCGGACCCTCCGTGATCCAGAACCCGCTCCTTCCCCTCGTGGGGCTGAGCAGTGAGGGAGGCTGAAGTCTGCCTGAGAGGAGAAAGGTGTGAATGTAACGCAGGTTGGGCGTCCTCACAATCACGAATCCTCCTCCGGTCAGGAAGGGCCGGTCAGTCGGGGCCTGTCTGTGTCCAAGCAAGGCCTTCATTGCAGGCTCCCCACCCAGAGGGGCTTCTCTCCTCCGGCCTCCAATCCAGCCTCTGTGATCCTTCAGATCCTGAGAGTTTGGGAAATGCCTCTGGAAAAGCTGCTGCATTGAGAGTTTCTCTGAGGAGCAACTAGGGACACCCCAAGATCTCCCGTCTGGTTACTATAATAATGTTAATCTTTTCAATATTTTTAATTCTGCAAATTGGGGGCTTCCGAAATGGAAGGAGGAAGATCGGGAGAGGCAAATCTCCGCCTGTCCCAGAAAAAAGCTCTGGGGAGATTAGGGGTTGGGGGCAGGGGCGGTGGGGGGGGGGTGCAGGGGATCCAGGAGAAAGTGAAAATGAAGCAAGAGGGATCTCGAGGAAGGTTATTCAAGGATCGTTTCTCTCCAGACTCTTCTCCTGCTGCATTCACACGGCAGCCTTTATTCCGATCGTCCCGTTGCCCCAGCCGCCCTGTCTGCCAACAGACACGAGAGACGAGCCGGCTCCTCCCAGCACCAGAAGAAGCCAGAAAGAGCCACCAAGCCCGTCCAAGGCAGGAGAGGCGACCCAGGCGGAGGGGTTGCGCCAAGGCAGCCGGGAAGTTTGTGAACTGGACCTGATCCCCTGCAAACGCCGCTTTCCGACAACCTCCACTTCGGGGGAGGGAAAGGATGGAGCTTAGGGGGCGCCCAGGTAGACTTGACTGACATCTGGAAGCCCCCCCCCCTCTTGTCCTGCTCCCAGAGGGGCTCTCCTGGGGGGGGGGGAGCGCGGCAGCAGAGCCCCATCACCACTTGGGGGGGGGGGTCTGATCTCAAAGTGGCCGGAGGGGGAGCGGACGAGAAAGAGGACCGAATCTGGATTCTCTTCCTGGGAATAAACTTTTTTTTGGGGGGGGGGAGAGGAGAGAGCAAGTTCCCACCTAGCAGAAAAAGGGGGGGCGCAACCGCCGCTGCCCCCGAAGGGACTCACCGAAGCAGCTCTCCCGCAGGACCACCTTCACCAACGCCAGGAGGAAGAGGGGCGCAGAGCGCAGAGCCATCCTGGCCCCGATCCTCAACCTGCGCCCCGCTTTCCCAAAATCCCAGGCAAAGGGAGAGGGGGGGTCCCGGGGAGTAAACTGCGCCACAATCCAGAACACGCTGGCGATTGGGCGAGGTCAGCCAATAGGAAAAAAAACATTCCCGTGTCATCATTGTTGCTGGGCAGACGTGCAGGCGCAACCGGTGCGAGAGGGCGGGGAAAGGAAAGCGAAAGTTCTATCAGGAAATCCCCTCCCTGGGATTCCGCCTCTTGGGGGGAGGGGCAGAAATGGGGGGGAGCTGGGAAAAGAGGGAGGGTTATCTGGGCCTGGGGGGGAGGGGCGGAGGGGAGACCCCCGCAGAACGCCTCCAAACAGGGGATCAGGTGGAGCTGCCAAAAAAGGCACTGCAGTCCTGGGCTGCATCAACAGTGGGATAATCTCAAGATCAGGAGAAGTCATAATGTCAATTTATCCTGCACAAGTGAGGCCACCCTTGGAATGCCGGGTGCTGTTCTGGTCACCACTATACAAAAAGGCGCTGAGACCACAGAAAGTGCAGAGAAGAGTGTGAAATATGATAAAGGATCTGAAAACTTATAATGAAGAGACTGAGAAGGCTATCTATGTCCAGCCTATAGATAGATAGATAGACAGGTAGGTAGGTAGGTAGGTAGGTAGGTAGGTAGGTAGGTAGGTAGGTAGGTAGGTAGGTAGGTGGGTGGGTGGGTGGGTGGGTGGGCTGGCTGGCTGGCAGGCAGATGATAGATAGATATAGATAGATGGATAGGTAGGTAGGTAGGTAGGTAGGTAGGGAGGCAGGCAGGCAGGCAGGCAGATGATAGATAGATATAGGTAGATGGATAGATAGGTAGGCAGGCAGGCAGGCAGATGATAGATAGATATAGGTAGGTAGGTAGGTAGGTAGGTAGGTAGGTAGGTAGGCAGGCAGGCAGGCAGGCAGGCAGATGATAGATATAGGTAGATGGATGGATAGGTAGGCAGGCAGGCAGGCAGATGATAGATAGATAGATATAGGTAGATGGATGGATAGGTAGGCAGGCAGGCAGGCAGATGATAGATAGATAGATATAGGTAGATGGATGGATAGGTAGGTAGGTAGGTAGGCAGGCAGGCACTGCAGGCCACTTTAGCTGACTGTGTTCAGCAGGTCAGCGGTTCAAATCTCACCGGCTCAAGGTTGACTCAGCCTTCCATCCTTCCGAGGTAGGTAAAATGAGGACCCAGATTGTTGGGGGCAATGTAAATATATATATATATATATACATTGCTTATTGGTGTACACCGCTTAGAGAGTGCTTGCACTTAAAGCGATATGTAAGTCTCATAAATAAATAAATAAATAAAATAAATAGATAGATAGATATAGGTAGATAGATGGAGAGAGAGAGAGAGAGAGAGATGATAGACAGGCAGACAGATAGACATGATAGAGATAGATAGATAGAGAGAGAGAGAGAGAGAGAGAGAGAGAGAGAGAGAGAGAGAGAGAGAGAGACAGACAGACAGACAGACAGACAGACAGACAGACAGACCTTTGTTGTCATTTTTTTTTACTGTGGGCACAACAGCTCACACCAAAAATGAAATTTAGTTGCCCGCTCTCAAAGTGAGCACTACATAACACACATCTAAACATACTATATACAATGTATGTATAGACCTACATCCCTACATATACATAACATAAATAAAACTGTCCATCGTGAATATATAACGGAAGGAGGAAGCTTGAGAGTTCACAGGGACTGGGGGGACATGACAACTGTCACCAGTCCTTGAGGGTCTGTCACGGAGAAGAGGGGATCGACTTCTTCTCCGGCAGAAGAAGAAACAAGGGCTGGAAGCTTCCTAAATTAATCAAAGGAATAGATACCTCCCGGAGTTTTGGGTGCTCCATCACTGGAGGTTTTCAAAAACAGACTGGACAAGCATTTGCCCAGGATGGTATAAGTTCTTCTGCCTTAAGTCGGAGGTTGGACTGGATGACCTCTGCGGTCCCTCCCAGCCCTACGATTCTATGTCGCAGGTCAGAAACTCTGCATGATCTTCGCTCCAGATGAAAATGCTCAAAGGCTCTTGTGGCATTTTCAAGACGAAGCTGGCCAGTCACAGGTCTCTAATAAATAAATTCATTTCTAAAACTTTTGAATCGGTAGAAGATGCTCAAATACTGATTGAATTCTCACAAAATGCTTTACCTTTTTTTTAAAAAAAATTATTTTTAACCAACAAGACAAAACAGAACAAAGCAAAACATAACACACATACACACAATATATATACTCCTCCTTTTTTTACAGCAATTACGTAACGGTAATCTAATATTTACATTTCCCCCTTATTCTTCTTTAGAATATTTGTCCTTATAGCCCCGTTATTTCTTATTTACATTTTTCTTCCTTCATGTTCTACTTCTTACTAAGAATAATTCATATTATTATTATTATACATTATTATACACATATTTTCACTTTTGACTTTTCCATATTTATTCTCCTCTATTATTTCTAGTCTCCAACCAGACATACAACTTGTTCCATACTATATAATACTCTGTGTCTTCCTTTTCTTTTATCTCTTTTTTTAATTTGTCCATCTCAGCACAGTCCAGGATTTTTCTTATTACTTCTTCCTCTGATGGTATATTCTCATTTTTCCAGCACTGTGCATATGCTATTCTTGCCGCCGTTATTATATGTAAAATTAAGTACCATATTTCTTTACTATATTTTCTATTTAAAATACTCAACAAAAAGATCTCTGGTTTACAGTCTACAGGTTGGTCTATTATTTCTTGGATCCATTTTCTTATTGTAGACCGGTATTTTTTTGCAACTGGGCATGTCCACCATAGATGATAATATGTTTCATGTACTTTTTTACATTTCCAGCATGTTGGTGAATTATTCTGGAACATCTTGGCAAGCTTTGCTGGTGGAAGATGCCATCTGTGAAACATCTTCAACTGGTTTTCCTTGAATGCCGCCGACATAGTCAAGTTTATATTTATTTCCCATATTTTTTCCCATTTCTCCAATTCTATATTATATCCAAATTTTTTTGCCCATCTAATCATTGTGTCAACCTTGTCTTCCATTTTATATCTCAATAGGTATTTGTATAAATTGCTAATTAATTTTATTTCTGTTCCAGGTATTTGTTGTTGTTGTTGTTAATTGCGAAGTCGTGTCCGACCCATCGCGACCCCATGGACAACGTTCCTCCTAGTCTTCCTGTCCTCTACCATCTTCTGGGGTCCATTTAAGTTCACACCTACTTCTTCAGTGACTCCATCCATCCATCTCATTCTCTGTCGTCCCCTTCTTCTATTGCCCTCAATCTTTCCCAGCATTAGGCCCTTCTCCAGTGAGTCCTTCCTTCTCATTAGGTGGCCAAGTATTTGAGTTTCAACTTCAGGATCTGGCCTTCTAAAGAGCAGTCGGGGTTGATCTCTTCTAGGACTGACCGGTTTGAACGCCTTGCAGTCCAAGGGACTCGCAGGAGTCTTCTCCAGCACCATAATTCAAAGGCCTCAATTCTTTGCGCTCAGCCTTTCTTATGGTCCAACTTTCACAGCCATACATTGCAACTGGGAAAACCATGGCCTGGACTATACGCACTTTTGTTGGCAGGGTGATGTCTCTGCTTTTTATTATGCTGTCTAGATTTGCCATAGCTTTCCTCCCCAGGAGCAAGCGTCTTTTAATTTCTTGGCTGCAGTCCCCATCTGAGGTGATCTTTGAGCCCAGAAAAATAAAATCTGTCACTACCTCCATTTCTTCCCCATCTATTGTTCCAGGTATAATTTTATCCAATTCTTGCGGCTCTTTTTGGATTTCATATAATTTTTTGTCCTCTGTATATTTAGATTGAATTTGTGTAAATGTCCACCAATCAATCTCTCTGCCAATGTCTTGTTCCAATTCTTGTTTTGTTTTCAAATTTCCCTGTTCATTTACTAATTCCTTGTATCTAATTATCTTATTTATATCCAATAGGTTTGGGTATTTCAGAGCTTCTGTTGGGGATAACCACATTGGAATTCTTACATAATGTTTTTGTTTTATTTTTTCCCAAGTCTGTAGCAATGCATTCCTAACTATGTGTCTTTGAAAATATCTATGTACTTTATGTTTTTCATCCCATAGGAATGCATGCCACTCTGCTTGCAAGTCATGTCCTTCTATTGTTAAAACTCTAGTATTTTTCAAATCCATCCAATCTTTTAGCCAAGTTAAGCTCGATGCTTGGTAGTATATTTCCCACTCTGGTAACGCCAATCCCTTTTTATCTTTCATATCTTGCAAGAGTTTTAATTTAATCCTGGGTTTTTTCCTTTGCCATATAAATTTACTCACAAAATGCTTTAAATCAGCCATCTCCAACTGTTTGGATGAAAAGGAAATTTCTTGGGCTGCACATAAATTATATAATATAGTTAATATACAATTCTATTATTTTTATATTTTTGATTATAAGATTAAAAGTTTTGTGGTGCTGCATTACAAGCTGCCCAAGGCTGAATGGGACTCTCGCGTTGCAGGTGGGACACGGCTGCTTTAAACTATTTAGGCTTTTTTTAGGCTCTCAAAGATGGCAGCTCTTAAGGGCATCTGGGAAGCCCAAAATGAATTGGGGTGAAAGACCTCCAGCCTTTTCACTCCTCCTTGCCCAGAAAGCATCCACTGTACAGGTAGTCCTCGACTTGCAACAGTTCATTTAGTGACCATTGAAATATACGGCACTGAAAAAAGGACATATGATCGTTTTTCACACTTATGACCTTTGCATCATCCTCATCATCACATGATTTACATTCAGACCCTTGGCAACTGACTCATATTTATGACAGTTGCAGAGTCCCGCGGTCAGGTGGTCCCCTTTTGCGACCTTCTGACAAGCAAAGTCAATGGGGAACCCAGATTCATTTAACAACCGTGTTACTGTCTTAACAACTGCAGTGATACCCTTAACAACGGTGGCAGGAGAAGTCGTACCATGAGGCAAAACTCACTTAACAAATTTCTCACCTAGCAACATAAATATTGGGCTCAATTGTGGTCGTACGTTGAGGACTTTCTGTGATATGGGGGAACATCGTTCCCATCAATCAAGGCTCTCCCCACTTTTGGCCCACCGCATCCGACTGGGCCCCTGAAGAGCCCAGAGAGGACCTCTCAAAGGCAGGAGAAGCTGCCCTCCTGCAAGGGGACCAGGAGGGCTCCGGACGGTCCCTGAGCTCCCGTCTCCCAAAGGGCCCCTGGAGGAGGCCCAGAGACCAGCCACTCGGCCCTCAGCCTGAGGCAAAGGTGGATCTGAGGAAAAAGTCGCCTCTGTGCTGCCCCCACGAGCCAAGCCCAAGCGGCCATTTTGTGGAAGGTCAGCTGGTGATGCTGGAGAAAGATCTGGACCCAGGAGCAAAATGGCTGCCTCTTCCCAAAATGAACACACAGGAGACCCTCCCCAAGTTCTTGCCTCTTCCAGGTTTTGCCTTGGTTCCTCCCCTTCCTCTCACTCAAAGTGAAATCAGGATCTCTGATCAACAAGGAGGGTAAAATCCTTGCTACTTCCAACTTCCAATAACAGGCAGCAACTGAAGTGAGAAGAAAACAAAACCCTTTATTTTCAGCAAACAGCGTTGGAATTCTCACAGTTATGTGTGTGATGGTGAGGGGGAAAGGAGCCCGGCTGTGCAATGGATCCCATGTTCCGTTTTTCTAAACCATGAAAACCCATAAATGGCAATCTGGAAAAATGCAGTGTTTGAATGCTGCGCTCTGTATACTGATTAACTGTCAAACTTTGGATAATCAAATATGTGCATTTTTTTTAATTGTGCAATTTTTATTTTTTTAATTAAAATTATTAATTACTTTAATGGAAGAAATCTCAGAATACACACTTTTTAAAAATGGCTGAAGATTCTATTACACATTATGTATACTTTCCACTGTATTATACAACTAATACAAAGAGAAATAAGAGACCTGTCCTTTCAATTCCAGCAAGTATGATGAAGGTTAAGAATTCATCCCTCTCTCAAAATAAATTAAAAGAGAGATAACAGCGCCCCTTAAAGTCTACCATAACTAGCGGAGTAAAATCTGTGGGGATTCCTTTTTTACCTTAACAGAAACACAGCAACTCTCCACCCTCCTCCTCACCCCATTTGCTATGGGCCCTTCTCCAAAACCCCTTAATCAGTAGAAGCCCATTAAAGGTCATCAGAAATAACAACGTAGCCGCTACAGCTCTGTCACAAAACTATTACAAGCTATACAAGCCACTTTGGTCTAGTTCAGGGGTAGGCAACCTTGGCTCTTTTATGACTCGTGGACTTCAACTCCCAGAATTCCTGAGCCAGCCTGGCTCAGCTTGGAAACCTCTCCCTTTCCCCTCAGCATGGCTGGCTCAGGAATTCTGGGAGTTGAAGTCCACAAATCATAAAAGACCCAAATTTGCCTACCTCTGGCCTAGGCCTAGGCCGCTTTATGACTTATGGACTTCAACTCCCAGAATTCCTGAGCCAGCATGGGGGAACTATGGCCCCTTCATGACTCGTGGACTTCAACTCCCAGAACTTCTGAGCCAGCCATGCTGAGGCGACAGGGAGAGGTTTCCAAGCTGAGCCAGGCTGGCTCAGGAATTCTGGGAGTTGAAGTCCACAGGTCATAAAAGATCGAGGTTGCCTACCCTCCGGTCTAGTGGTTAAGGCACCAGGCTAGAAAGCGACGGTGAGTTCAAGTCCCGCCTTAGCCATGAAAGCCAGCTGGGTGACCTTGGGCCAGTCACTCTCTCTCTCAGCCCAACCCACCTCACAGGGTTGGTGCTGTTGTGGAGAAAATAGGAGGATATCTTCTATACCTTCGGCAGAATACAAATTAAAAAAAAAATAACGTCTACTAAATCCAGTTTGCTTTTGATTCCACAATCATAAAAATGTAAGATTTTCGTTTCTCCTCTGTTCCTCAATTATCATACAAAAATTATTGATTAGAATCAGAATTGAGCTGGAAGGGACCTTGGAGGTCTTCTAGTCCAGCCCCCTGCTCAAGCAGGAGACCCTATATACCATTCCAGACAAGTGGCTATCCAGTCTCTTCTTTAAAAGCCTCCAGTAATGAAGCCCCCACAATGTCTGAAAGCAAAGCTGTTCCACTGGTTGATTATCCCCACTGTCCGGAAGTTTCTCCTTAATTCCAGGTTGCTTCACTCCTTGATTAGTTTCCATCTCTTTGTTTCTTGTCCTGTCCTCTGGTGCTTTGGAGAATAATGAGACCCCCACTTCTTTGCGGCAGCCTCTCAAATGCTGGAATAGTACTATCATGTCACCCCTGGTCCTTGTTTTCTCTAGACCAGTGGTTCTCAACCATTCTAATGCCGCGACCCCATAATACAGTTCCCCATGTTGTGGTGACCCCCAACCACTTATACATCACCGGGTGCCAGGGGCGGGGCCAAAGAAAAGGGGGGGAAAATGGCGGACAGCCTTGTTTGGCGACCCCCGTGAAATGTTCGTTCGACCCCAAATGGGGTCCCGACCCACAGGTTGAGAACCACTGCTCTAGACTATCATTACTAATGATAAAAGCAAGGATGGAAGATCCAAAATCTATCCTGGTTCCACCATGTTGGACTTCTTTCCCATCCATCAAGGGTCTCCACATTCTTGAGCCACTGCATAAAATTAGGCATCTGAAAAGCAAGAACCAAAGTTTATCCTGGTTATGAGGGTCTGTCCGGCTTAATTCAGAAGAAGGCCGATCCCCTCTTCTCTTCTCTCTCCTCATGCTGGGAGTGTCTACTTCGGCTGCAAAGAGGAGGGAAAAAGCAGGCAGGGTCAGTCTGAACGGGAGCCCAGAGAAGGAATCCCACCGTCCAGGCCAGGGGATCAGACAAGATCAGCCCAGGGAAGGAGCAGAAGCAGCAGCCTCTAGGGAGGGATCAGGTGGATGGGATTTCCAGAGTTACAAGAGGGGAGGGGCAGGGCTAGGATTGGCTCCTGAGGTGGGTGAGAACCTGCCCCACACGTATGGATGCTTCCCCTCAAATAGATAAATCCAACTCTAGTCCATGTTGTCCTCAAGAGACAAATCCAAAGGGATTCCGATGGCTTCCAGAGATCCCAGGTCTCCCTTCAGCGTCTGGAGGGAGGGATTCCCAGATGGGCTCAAGGAGGGGAGAGAAGCCCCCTCTCCATCCATGACTGCAGGACCCTAGGAAGACCCTCATCTGCCCCTTCCCTTCCCTCCCCCTTGCAGGGGGAACACTCGGACCTCCTCTTGGCAGGTCTCTGAGCCTCCTGATCCAAGACAGTCAGAGCCTGAGAGTTTGGCCTTGCAGGAGGAGAGTTTGGGGACAGGCAGACCCCTCCCCAGAGCCCCACTGCCTCTCCTCCAAATTCCTTCCCTTGCAATGTTTGAGACGAACAGCAGACAGAAGAGGGATTTCCTAAAGCATCTTCATCATGAATTGATCCTTGGACCTCAAAGCCCTCCCCTCCCCCCTCCCTCCCTCCCCTACAGCCTCCATGGGGGCCACTCACCTGTGAGGGGGCTACTAAATGGCCTGGTTGCTCCCTGCATTGGAGAGAAAGACACAGAGTGAGTCTCTGAGGAAGATAAATCTCTCTCTTCGCCATTCAACCTCTGCAGCTTCACGAAACTCTCAGAGGAGACCAGCCTGTCTGTCTGTCTGTCTTCATCTATCTATCTATCTATCTATCTATCTATCTATCTATCTATCTATCTATCTATCTATCCATCCATCCATCCATCCATCCATCCATCCATCCATCCATCCATCCATCCATCTATCTATCTATCTATCTATCTATCTATCTATCTTCATCTATCTATCTATCTATCTATCTATCTATCTATCTATCTATCTATCTATCTATCATCTCTCTATCATCTGTCTATGTCTGCCTGCCTGTCTATCTATCTTCATCTATCTATCTATCTATCTATCTATCTATCTATCTATCTATCTATCTATCTCTATCATCTATCTATCATCTCTATCTATCTCTCTCTCTTATCATCTATCTATCATCTATCTATCATCTCTCTCTCTATCTATCTCTATCATCTCTATCTATCTATCTATCTATCTATCTATCTATCTATCTATCTATCTATCTATCTATCTATCATCTGTCTATTTATCTGCCTGCCTACCTGTCTGTCTATCTATCTTCATCTATCTATCTGGCTCTGTCTGTCTGTCTGTCTGTCTGTCTGTCTGTCTCTCTCTCTCTCTCTCTATTATCTCTATCTTTATTATCTCTATCTCTATCTATCTGTCTATCTGTCTGTCTGTCTGTCTGTCTATCTATTTTATTATTAAGCATCCATGCCATCCCTCTCTCCAAGCTGACTGTAGGATGCTTGCAATAAAATACCTTATAAAACATTTAAAACAATAAATTAAAAAGCAGATTTCCCCCACCAGATCACTTGGCCATTGCTCCAAAAAGGAGATCATACCCAGTGTTGATTGACCACTGCCTTGAGTCGGGTCCACGGTGGTTTGGCAGAGGCCCAAATCTGCTATAGGGGCCACGAATTCAGGGTCTGCTTCCGAGGCCAAACCCAGGGAAGGCAGATTGAACTCTCCCAGGACCAGAAATCTGGGGAACTCCCTGCCAACACTAAGATGGCCCCCAGGAGCTGAGGTGGGGAGGAGGGTGTCCACGCAGCAGGGAGGCTGGTACAGCAGCAACAGGCCCAGCTGATCCGGTGAGCCCAGATTCAGAAACAGGGAGTCACAACCAGAAACGTGGGGAGCGAGAAATTCTCAGAGGACCCCTGCCATCCCGCCTGCCCTTCTTTTGGGCTATTGGCTGGTGCCAAACCCTAAACCCTGCTGGGCAGGTCTCTGAGGGGAAACCCCTCCTTCCAGATTCAGCCAGGCTTCAGCTCTACCACCAGAAGAGTCTCTAGCCACTGGGGATCACGGCATTGCCAGTAGTTTCCCACCAAGAAATTGAGTGCTCTCTCTCCTCCAAAGGGGGCCAGGCTCCACCACGGAGACTCTGGGCTGCCTCCCCTGCCTGAATCCAACAGGAAGAGTTTCCCTTCTCCTCCGCAGGAGCCAACCAGGGCAAGGAAAGTGAATTTTGCTAAGTTCCTCCTAGTTGGAAAACAGAGCAGATTCTCAAGTCAGAGGAAATCTTCCACCCAGGTGGGTCTTCTCCCCTTCTTGAGGGTTCCAGATGTTTCCCTTTGGGGTCTTCACTCCCGAGAACAAGCTGGCTGTCATGAAAAGGAGCCCTCCTTCCCCAGTCTAGTTCTTGGGAGGAAAGAGCACAACTCTGCAGCTTCATGAGTTTCCTTTGTGCTTAAATACACCCACACTCACACCTCAAGTGACGGCACCTCTGGTCCCCGCTCTAAGTTGGAGATTACACAGAAACAGGACAATTCACTCACTTGGTGCTGCTCTGTAGTCACCTTGACGTCTCTCTGCAAGGAAAAAAAAATCAGTGAACGCTCCAAAGAACCCACCAGAGATCATCCAATCTCTTCCTCTGTAGGAGGAAGAACCCCAGGAGATATTTCACAGTTCCTTTGACTCCTCAAGAAAGGCAGAAAGATCTCCAAAATACAAATGTATCTCCTGATTTGCCCCAAGAGAGACCTGCTGCCTCTGAGAAGGGAATTTGGGGAAGCAGCATCAGCAGCCGGGAGGGAAGGAAGGTTATCATGGAAATTTTTCTCTGCTGCTCTTCAAACAACGTTTTTGAAAGAGACGGAAATGTGGTGCCTCTTCCCAGCTCAGAAGAAGACGGGACTGTCTGAACCTCAAACTCAGCCAGCAGTGTGCTGCAGCTGCCAAAAAGGCCAACACAGTGCTGGGCTGCATTAACAGAGGGATAGAATCAACATCATGTGAAGGGTTAATACCACTTTACAATGCCTTGGTAAGGCCACACTTGGAATACTGCATCCAGTTTTGGTCACCACGATGTAAAAAAGATGTTGAGACTCTAGAAAGAGTACAGACAAGAGCAACAAAGATGATTAAGGGATTGGAGGCTAAAACATATAAAGAACGGTTGCTGGAATTGGGTATGTCTAGTTTAATAAAGAGAAGGATGAGGGGGGACATGATAGAAATATTCCAATATCTCAGGGGCTGCCCCAAAGAAGAGGGAGTCAAGCTATTTTCCAAAGCGCCTGAAGGCAGGACAAGATGCAATGGATGGAAACTGATCAAAGAGAGAAGCAACCTAGAACTAAGGAGAAACCTCCTGACAGTTAGAACAATTAACCAGTGGAACAGCCTGCCTCCAGAAGCGGTGAATGCTCCAACAATGGAAGTTTTTAAGAAGAGACTGGGCAGCCATTTGTCCGAAATGGTATAGGACAGGGGTGTCAAACTCAATTTCATTGAGAGCCGCATCAGCATTGCAGTTGCCTTCAGGGGTCTGGGTGGGTGTGGCCAGGGTGGGTGCAGCCTACTGGGTAGGCATGGATGGAGTGGGTGTGGCCTACTGGGTGGGATAGACATCGTTTGCATCAAGGGTGCCTGAGGGGGCCTGGGCAGGAGTGGGACCAATCTGAGGGTCTCTGGCAGAAAGGGGTTGGACCAGGGCAAGTGCCAAGGCATGGTCCACTGGAGGGGCCTCACTGTTCCTCTCAGGCCATGCAAGGGGGGAGGGCTTATGGAGCTAAGACTGAATGCGTTTCAGCATAGATGGCCACCACAAAATTGTACATTGGTTCCCGGCCGGCGTGGGCCAGGGCCAAGGCAGAGGGTGCCGTTCCCTCACTGTTTCCAGGATGGCTTCACAGGCCACATGAAACCACTTCACATGCCACATCCAGCCCCCGGGCCTTGTGTTTGACATATCTGGTATAGGGTTACCTTCCTGAGCAGGAGGTTGTACTAGATGACCTCCAAGGTCCTTTCCAACTTATTATTGTTATTGTTGTTGTTGTTGTTATTTCAAGACTGGAGTCCCGACAAGAGGAAGAGGACTGGGAAAACAAGACAGAAGGGAGCCCAGGAAAAGCTCCCCAAAGGGGGACACTCGGGATGAATCTCCCCAAGTTAGTATAAGTAAGGATACTTACTTAAGAATATCAAAGTCCCAACAATAGCACACGCCAGGACAAGACCAGCCACAACGCAGCCGACGATGAGCCCCAGGTTGGATTCTGGAACTGAATTGGGAGAGAGAGCAGATAATTGAAGGAGAACCCCAAATAATCATCCCAATTGGGGGAGAGACTTAATGCAGCCAAAGGATCGGGAATTCTTCAAATTGAAAAGTCCAAGGAGTTCCTATTCATGTGCCTTTAAGGCAGGCATGTCAAACTGCCGGCCTGAGAACCGGATGCGTCACGCCAAAACCGTGCCCACCCCATTGCCGGAAATGGGGAAAATGTCTCGATACGACACACGATGTCATGAGTTTGACATGCCCGCTCTAAGGGAAGCATGAAGACACCTTGACCACTATTGTTTAGAGGAGGTGTCCTCGTGATGCTGCCTTTGTCTCACTCCAGCCCAGCATGGAGGCAGCTGACATTCATCTTTACCTGTTCAGCTCAAAAGCACTTTACAAGCTCGTGACTCTTGGCAGCTTATAGAAATAAAGACCTCCACAACTTAGTAATATGAACAAAACTTGGGAAACATTAAAAATGTTTTCATTGTTGTTCTTTTTATAGTTTGCCCCAATATCAGGCAACCATATATTCCAGGAGTGTCAAACTCAATTTCACTGAGGGCCACATCAGTACTGTGGTTGCTCTTGTGGGGCCGGGTGGGTGTGGCCAGAGTGGGTGCAGCCTACTGGGTGGGTGTGGATGGAGTGGGTGTGGCCTACTGGGTGGGCGTGGCCAGTTCTACATCATTCGTGTCAAGGGTGCCTGTGGGGGCTTGGGTAGGAGTGGGACAGATCTGAGGGTCTCTGGCAGAAGGGGGTGGGACCGGGGCAAGTGCCAAGGCATGGCCCACCGGGGCACATGCCAAGATGGCCACTACAAAATTGTACATTGGCTCCCGGCCGGCCTGGGCCAGGGCCAAGGCAGAGGGTGCCGTTCCCTCACTGTTTCCAGGATGGCTTCACGGGCCACATGAAACCACTTCGCGGGCCGCATCCGGCCCCCGGGCCTTGTGTTTGACATGTCTGATCTATTCTATGCTATTTTTAAACTTGAATATTTGCATTTTATTATTAGAAAATCATAGGATTCATATCACATATCTGCTGCTACAAGCTCTGTTACAAAACTATTACAAGCTGTACAAGCCAGTTTGATCTAGATCAAGGGTCTTCAAACTTGGCCCTTTTATGACTTGTGGACTTCATCTCCCAGAATTCCTCAGCCAGGCATGCTGGCTGAGGCATTCTGGGAATTGAAGTCCACAAGGCATAAAAGGGCCGAGTGTGAAGACGCCTGATCTAGATGCTAAACCACCAGCCTAGAAAGCAACTCTCTAAGTCATTTACAGAGTCAGCCTGTTGCCCCCAACAATCTGAGTCCTCATTTTACCGACCTCGGATGGATGGAAGGCTGAGTCAACCTTGAGCAAGTGAGAATCGAACTCCTGAAATGAACAATGAGTCACCTTGCATTACTGCATTCTTAACGGTATATTTAAGCTTGAATGTTGGCACCTTATGATTTAAAAATGAAAGGATTATTATCGCCTCTCTGGTTTTTTTAAGTATATAGTTTCATTTTCTTTATCTCTTGTAGGATTGGTCTGTCCCCCTAGAGGAGATGACAGGAACTAATCCTTCTTTGAAACACCCTCAGTCATGGATAGAAATTGTTTCAGCCTTCGCAAAAAGAGCTTTTAACTTCCCAGGAACGCAACCCAGGATGTGGGAATCCTCTTGTGGCTACACACAAACCAGAATTAGGAGGAAGATTCCAGGGAAGGCCTATCGCATAATGCCCCTCGACCTCCATCACTCTTTCCTCAAGACTAAACAGGCTAATCTTTCTCCTATTCATGTCGAGAAGATTCAAGTTTCCTCTCCCAGATCAACTTCAATTGGAGTTTTTTTTTCAATTACTCTGAATCTGTATTAATGGGCCTTGTCCAGAATTGGATGTTCTGATTGAGGATCAGGGCAGGACACAGGCAGAAAATTACCTTCAACATTTTACACACACACACACACACACATACACACACACACACGTATACAAACTTCATATATACATATATTAAATCCTGGATATATTCAATCTATACTAAAACTATATTAAAATAAAACTATATTCAACTAAACCCGAATTAGGAGATTACACGGTCATAAGGCATATCCGGTCTCCTATCGACCCCTATTACAAAATGTTTTTAGCAAGCCGGGTATCCTCCACCCAAGACTTGCGTCTTTCATTTTTGTTTCCTAAATGAAGGACATCGCACTGTAAAGGGAGAAGGGTGTGGTAGTTTCTAACGGGGGAAAAAAAATGAGATCAGCAGCCCCTTGGCTAAATAACGATGCGTCAGTCCAGCCACTTTATGCATTTGATGAAGTCAGCTGCAGTTCACAAATCTTAACAAAATTTGGTACTCAGGGGTTACCAGACACCTTCTCATTTTTGTAACAAATCTAAAATTAAACAAGACTGTATCTGTGCTCAGCACAAGTTCTTTGCTGCAGGTAGGAAACGGGAAGAAGAAGGGCTAAGTTATCTAAAAGGATTTCATCAGGATCTGCCAGCTCTTGTGATGGGATTCTGCAGTTTCCTTTACATCCCCTGAAGCCAGTTCTATGGTCTGGTCCCTGCAGCTTCACCAACCTCGAACAATGGAAAAACCAATGGCTTAAAGCTCAGGTATGCTCACATTTGGACACAGCTGGGGTGAGATTTCCCTCCCACATCCCTCCAGCCTGCCAAAGAGCCCAGCCTTTCCCTCCCTGCAGCCTCTCACCCTTCAGGGCCACGTCCAGAGGCTCCTGCAGGCCATCGTGCTCCACATGGCACCGATAGCGGCCCCTCTCTTTGGGATCGATCCAGATGCTGAGTGTGGTGTGGAAGGTCCCATCCGCGTTGGGAGCCACAGACCCATGGAGGGTGTCCGGCAGCCAGACCTCCCCATCCCTCGTCCAGGAGGCATCAATCTCCCTGGGGTAGAAGCCATCCAGGCGGCAGACGTGCATCTCCATCCCATTCTCCACCTTCATCTTGCTGCTCATGGTCACCGCTGGGGGCTCTGCAGAAATGGCACCCCCGGAATTAACTCTGAGCCCCTCCACAGCCTGAAAGGTGGATGGGAAACTTGGAGGGGCAGGAAAGTCTCCCACTACTTCCCATTCCACACCTTCAGCCTCTCCAAGAGTTGTAGGAAATGCTCCAGATCTGGAAAATGCTCGACCACAAGAACTCCCGATGCTGAGTCCTTCCCAGGGACTCAGCCTGAAAAACCTCCAGCAGCAAATTGAGGGTCCAAGGAAATTCCTCTCTGGCTGCTTTGAACTCTGAGTGATCTTGGATTGTTTCCTTCAGGGGAGGGAAAGTGGAGCTGCTCTTTTATGTTCCCTTTCAAGACAACAACAACACAGAGGTTTCTCCCTACTTTTGTGGTTTCCTTCTGCACCCCTGAATCTGAGGCTGCTCCAGGCCTCTTTCCAAGGGACACGACCACAGTTTCAAGAAGAGGAGAGCCAGAATCAAAGCAAAAAGGGCTTTTGGAGTCTCATCCTGGTTAATATGGAACAGATATTCTGTAATTCAAAGGGGAGGGGCAGAGAGAGAGGTGACGCCAATGGGAGAGAGACCGTCCTCTCAGGGCAGGGAGGGGCTGTTGGCAATTTGGGGTGGGGTGGGGGAATTCCCCAATGGAGCCTGATGCTGGAGGGATTAAAGAACCCAGGGGGGTAGACCAAAGAAGGAGGGGTGGACTAAATGGGAAAATAATGACAAACCACAGGAAAAGGTTATGTGGACACCCTTGTGGGGTGACGGTGTGTTCCTGAAAGTGGAGACTGAGGAAAGACTAAGTCAGAACTGTGGAGATCTGTTTGTGGTATAAAAGAAAGATTCACAGAAACTTTGTTGTTATTTTTCCCCCCTAGGAACAACCCCTCAACCTTGGCATTTTTTTGTCCAACGGATGGCACTGATAATCTCCTACCAATGGTAGACAGGGAGCCCTCTAGTGGTGGATATGAGAGGTGTATTGTCAGATGCAAAACAAGGAGGGAGCCCCCTGTGGGATGTGGTGGGAAGGACAGCTGCTGGAAGGAAAATAAGGGTGCCCCTCACACTTGACTATAGTTTGGGTAATGGTGATTTCACTGAAGAACCCCAAGAGGCCCCATTGCCTCACTGTGGACTGTGAACAGGACACCCCCAAGTGCTTTTGCTGCCTGATCCACACAGACACTGACCAGGCAGAGGCTGCATTTCCTGGTCCAATAATAATAATAATAATAATAATAATAATAATAATAATAATAATAATAATAATAATAATAATAATAATATCCCAGGTCCTGGGTAAGGACTCGATAGGTAGACAAAATGCCAAATCCAGTCTGAACATCTGGCTGACTGTGCGATGATCCACAATAATAATAGTAGTAGTAGTAGTAGTAGTAGTAGTAGGTAGTAGTAGTAATAGTAATAATGTTGGAAGGGACCTTGGAGGTGATCTAGTCCAACCCCCTGCTCAGGCAGGAAACCCTATACCATTTCAGACAAATGGCTGTCCAGTCTCTTCTTAAAAACCTCCAGTGTTGGAGCATTCACCGCTTCTGGAGGCAGGTTGTTCCACTGGTTAATTGTTCTAACTGTCAGGAAGTACCCCTTAGTTCTAGGTTGTTCTCTCCTTGATTTTAGTTTACCACCCGTTGTCTTGTCCTGCCTTCAGGCGCCTTGGAGAATAGCTTGACTCCCTCTTCTTTGTGGGCAGGCCCTGAGGATATTGCAAAGACTGCTATCTATGTCACCCCTCGTCCTTCCTTAATCTAAATTAGACTTACCCAATTCAGAAGTCGTTCTTATCCCAGCGTATGTTTAGCCTCCAGTTCTCCCTAAGCATCTTTGGTTGCGCTTTCTCTGTACTTTTTCTAGAGTCTCAGCATCTTTTTTTACATCGTGGTGACCAAAACTGGATGCAGTATTCCAAGTGTGGCCTTACCAAGGCATTGAAGAGTGGTATTACTACTTCACGTGATCTTGATTCTATCCCTCTGTTAATGCAGCCTAGCACTGCGTTGGCCTTTTTGGCAGCTGCAGCACACGGCTGGCTCATATTTAAGTGATGTCCACTAGGACTCCGAGGTCCCTCTCACAAGTAAATACATTGAGCAAGGTACCCCCTATATATACCTGTACATTTGGTTTTTCTTGCCTAAATGTAGGAACCTTGCTTTTTTCACCATGGAATTTCATTTTGTTAGTTAGTGCCCGGTTCAATTCTGTCCAGACCTTGTATTTAAGCTGGAGTGTTGGGTTTATTCCTGCCAGCTTGGTGTCGTCTGCAAATCTGATGAGTTCCCCATTTATCCCCTCGTCCAAATCGTTGATGAAGATTTTGAAGAGCACTGGGCCCAGAACAGAGCCCTGGGGCACCCCACTACACACTTCCCTCCATGTAGATGCAGTTCCATTGAGGACCACACGCTGAGTACGGCCGGTTAGCCAGCTACGGATCCATCTGGTGGTGATGCTGTCTAACCCGCATTTTTCTATCTTATCAAGTATATCAAGTATACCTGTGCATTTGGTTTTTCTTGCCTAAATGTAGAACCTTGCTTTTTTCACCATTTGATGTCTGCCTGGCAACGGGAACCAAACAGGGCTTCCCGTGTCTTGGGGAAGGGCTGGAAGGAGAGGAGGTGGTCAACCAGGCTCTAGACAAGGGACCCAAAGAGGCCAAATGCATCCCCCCAAAAAATATCCAGTTACAAAGGAGAAAAGCCCTTCATGGCATAGGTCCAGGTTACTTACAGGACCGCATACTGCCGCACAGTTCCCAGAGACCGGTGAGGTCCCATAGATTGGGCCTCCTTCAGGTCCCGTCGGCCAGACAATGTCGGCCGGCGGGCCCTCGGGGAAGGGCCTTTTCTGTGGTGGCTCCGACCTGGTGGAATCAACTTCCCCCCGAGGTTCGAACTACTCCCACCCTGCCGGCCTTTAAGAAAGCCGTTAAAACTCTCCTGTTCCGGCAGGCCTGGGGCTGATGTCCCTGGGGGGGGAGGGGCGGGATATGATCGGACACGCGGTATGATTGTATTATTTTATTGTTTTATTGTTAAATGATTGTTTTAATTTTGTACGCCGCCCTGAGTCCTTTGGGATTGGGCGGCATATAAATAACATTAAATAAATAAATAAATAAAGTCCAGCCTCAGTCCAGGTACTCACCTTTCCTCAGCAGCGTCCGCTTCCCGTAGGACAGATACTTCTTTATCCACTCAACGCAGTCCCCCTCTAGGTAGACTTTGTTCCTCTGATTCCATGTTGAAAGAGCGTCCCATTTCCTCTGGGTGATCAGGGCTTGGGGGTCGGGAGCCACCCAGCTGAGGGTCTCCTTGTCGAAGGTGAGGAAGCTCCTCCCATCGTATCCAAAGTCATAAAACCCACCTTTGCTCCCATCTCCCCGGAGCTCACAGCCATACATCAACTGCCACGTATGAAGGCCTGAAATAGGGACAAGATCGTGGTTTGGTGAGTCCTTAAGGTAGACAGACAGACGGACAGACACACACACACACACACACACACACACACACACACCCCAATGCAGGGACTTTGACACTAGTGGGAGACACTGATACCCCCGTTTCCTCCCTAGCAATCAAGGGAAAGAAAGCCCCCATCACTAACCGCCCTTCTCCCCTCCCTCGACCTGCCTCCCTCCATTCCCCCCCCCCAGGATGGAGCCCCTGAACCTCCCCAGGAAAAGGGAAGCTGGAAAAGCCAGCGGAGGATCCCGAGGGAGATTGAGAAAAGAAGGAGTCACAAAAGAAATGGAGGGAGCCTCCTCCATCTTTCCTTCTGCAGTTCCTCTGTTGGGGAGACTCTTGGGGGGAAAGGAAGGGATCCCAGAGAGGGAACATTTGCCTGAATCTGTGGTTGCAAAGAGGAACTGGGAATCTCGTGGCCTCAAAGAGGATCTGGTCGACCTGCAAAAAAAAGCTTGCAGGGATCCCTGTGATCATGAATCTTGGTCTGAGTTCACAAAGAGCATCATCTTGGGCTAACAAGAAACAAACCATGGCTTAGTTCAATATAGGAACGAAGCCTTGAAGGGCCACAAAGGAATATTTTCCTCAGCAACAGCAGCAAGTGGCCCAGTCTGATCTGCACACCCAAAAGGTTGTTGATCTTTGAAATGAAATTTGAAGTTTACAGTCTCTGCAAGGCCACACTTGGAATACTGCATCCAGTTTTGGTCACCACGATGTAAAAAAGATGTTGAGATGTCTAGAAAGAGTACAGAGAAGAACAACAAAGATAATTAGGGGACTAGAGGCTAAAACATATAAGGAACGGTGGCTGGAATTGGGCATATCTAGTTTAATGAAGAGAAGGACGAGGGGGGACATGATAGCAGTCTTCCAATATCTCAGGGGCTGCCACAAAGAAGAGGGAGTCAATCTATTCTCCAAAGCACCTGAGGGCAGGACAAGAAGCAACGGATGGAAACTAATCAAGGAAAGAAGCAACCTAGAACTATGGAGAAACTTCCTGACAGTTAGAACAATTAACCAGTAGAACAAACTGCCTCCAGAAGTTGTGAATGCACCAACACTGGAAGTTTTTTAGAAGAGACCAGACAGCCATTTGTCCGAAATGGTGTAGGGTTTCCTGCCTGAGCAGGGGGTTGGACTAGATGACCTCCAAGGTCCCTTCCAATATTATTATTATTATTATTATTGATCATCACATAGTCAGCCAGCTGTTCAGACTGGATTTGGCATTTTGTCTACCTATCGAGTCCTTCCCAAGGACCTGGTATAGGCAGATGTGGATGTTTGATGTTATTATAGATATCGTCACAGGATGGAAGCAGTTATAATAATAATAATAATGATAAAGTTGGAAGGGACCTTGGAGGCCATCTAGTCCAACCTCCTGCTCAGGCAGGAAACCCTATACCATTTCAGACAAATGGCTGTCCAGTTTCTTCTTAAACACTTCCAGTATTGGCGCATTCACCGCTTCTGGAGGCAGGTTGTTCCACTGGTTAATTGTTCTAACTCTCAGGAAGTTTCTCCTTAGTTCTAGGTTGCTTCTCTCCTTGCGTAGTTTCCACCTGTTGCTTCTTGTCCTGTCTTCAGGCACTTTGGAAAATAGCTTGACTCCCTCTTCTTTGTGGCAGCCCCTGAGATATTGGAACACTGCTATCTTGTCCCCCCTCGTCCTTCTCTTCGTTAAACTAGACATACCCAATTCCAGCAACCGTTCCTTATATGCTTTAGTCTCCAGTCCCCTAATCATCTTTGTTGCTCTTCTCTGTACTCTTTCTAGAGTCTCAACATCTTTTTTACATCATGGTGACCAAGTTCCTAGTAAGGCTCCCTTTTGCAATTGACTAATGGCGAATTTGTCAATGCCAATGGTGTTCAAGTGCTCCAGTTATTATTATTATTATTATTATTATTATTATTATTATTATTATTATTATTATTACTATTACTATTATTATTAATTGTTATTATGTTTCAACTTTGATTCTTGGATTTAAAAAAACCTGAATGGTTTTTTTTTTAAAGGAAATCCTGCAAGTTTTCTACTTCTGGTTGGGTTTGAGAGTGAGGAAGGATGCCAGAAACTCTCAATTCTGAGGGAAAACCACTTGTAAGTACAGTTGAACTAAACTGACCCGTCCTTTCCCTCCCTTTCCACTCCCATGAGTGACCGGGTGAGGGGATCCTTTCTCTGCAGCTTCTGCTCAGCCTGAGACCTTCCCTTTGGAGGGAGAGGAAGATCCTCCTGAGCTGAGTGTGATCCTGTCCTCCAGAGGAGATTCCCTGATCTGCTCAGGGAAAAAAAAAAAAAAGATTCTGGATTTCTGCCCAAGAAGACTCTCCTGCCATTCACAGGAAGGCACTGAAAATCTGGCTGCAGTTTTCAACTTCTGAGAACCAGCTCTGTCTTATTTCGGAAGCATCAAAACTTAAGACAGAAATAATCTTATTTCTACCGAAGATGATATTGTGTGTTCTTATCTCAACTCTGGCACAGAACTGAATTTTTGTGCAGGGATCACCTTGAAAAGACAAGTTTAATTTTTTTTTATTATTAGTTATTACTGTTAATGCATGAAACAATTCTGGCCTATCTCTGAGCCTGGATGTTCAGGGGTTCCCTGAGGCCTGAAACATCGTTCAACGGTTCCTCCTGGGTCAAAAGGTTAAGAAAGGCTGCTTCAGAGAGGCTAAAATGTATTTATAACTCCTGTGAAGAATATCAGAAGCCACTTCTTTGCGTCTTTTTTCTTTCGTAATTTTCTTCAACTCGGTTTTTTTTCTTGTGCTTTCTTGTTCTTTGGTTTCTTTCTTTTGTCTCCTCTAGTTTATATTAGTTTCTATTCGTTTTTAATCTTCCCATTGAAAAGGTTCAATACAAATTATAAAAAAAAATTCAAAAGGCGAACAGGATATCAGAGATCATTAAAATGTATTGAAAACACGGAGGCTAATGTCACAAAGCCTTTACATAAATCAAGGGTGGGACCACATCTGGAATATTGTGGGCAGTTCTGGTCACCAGACCTCCAAAAGGGCAGGAGGGAGGTGGGGAAGGTCCAGAGGGGGCGACCCAGAGGATGGGGGGGTGGAAGCAGCCTCCCTTGGAGGAAAGGTTGGGACATTTGGGGCTGTTTGGCCTGGAAAGAGGCTCCACTCCACTCTGGCCGCTCTCCTTCCCCCTTTCTCCACCAGGGGGAGCCCTCTGGGTCCAGCTCTGCTCCCCTGAGAGGCCAGCAGGGGGCCTAGAGGGATCTGGGGGGATCCTCGGGGATCAGGGGCAGAACTGGCAGATCTCTGGGGTGTCTGCCTGGGGGGGGGGATGGGAAGGAAAGGGCAGAAGAAGGGGGGCTGCCTCTCCTTGGGATAAAGGAGGGAAAATGGCTGATGTTCGTGGAGAAAGTTTACCTCAGCCCAAAGCAGCTTATCATTACACACACATTTGCTTGCAGCCCCTCCCTAAATAAGGTTCCTTGAAGGTGAATCTTGTCCCCCAAAGATGGCAGAAGTGAGGAGGCGGGGCCTGCAGAAGGTCTCCACCCCTCCAGGGCAGCCCCAGCATGAGGGCAGTGCAGGAGTTCTGTCTGAATGGGAAGCCATGATGCCTCTGAGTGACTCATGAAGGGCCCCAAATGGGGGTTTCTTTCTTTTCTGTCCTTTTTCCCCTCAAGACTGGTAGGATCCTGGAAGTGATCCTGTGCCTCCCCACCCCCACCCATCCCCATTCAAGAGTCCCTACCCAGCTTGGCCTTCCCGTTTCTCCCTCCAACTGGAACAGTGTTTTTCAACCTTGACAATTTTAAGGCATGTGGACTTCAACTCCCAGAATTCCACAGCCAGCAATGCTGGCTGTGGAATTCTGGGAGTTGAAGTCCACATGCCTTAAAATTGTCAAGGTTGAGAAACACTGAACTGGAGGATGAGATGAGGCTTCCAGGCATTTGGACTACACTCAACTCTCCCAAAAGGGCGTGCCAGAAAGAGATTTAGTCTCCCGGGGTGGATCTGCACTTGATCCCCCATTTCTCTGGGCTGAAAATAGAAATAGGAGGACATGTTTCCACCAGAATTGTCTTAGGATCCATCTGCTTTTTGGGGGGAGTAGGGGTGGGGAAGGAGATCTGTAATTCCTCCCTCAAAGCAGGATGTCGACCAAGCTCTCCAACTTTCATGGGCGGGGGGGGGGACAAGATTGTGGTCTATTCTTTATTTTAGATCACTATCCATATCAATATACAGACAGAGAACTGTCAAATGTTTTCTGCAGTCTGCTGAATAGTTCAGTTATGGAGGCAAGGACACTTTTTGTTGTTGTTAATTGCGAAGTCGTGTCCGACCCATCGCGACCCCATGGACAATGTTCCTCCAGGTCTTCCTGTCCTCTACCATCTTCTGGAGTCCATTTAAGTTCACACCTACTGCTTCAGTGACTCCATCCAGCCATCTCATTCTCTGTCGTCCCCTTCTTCTATTGCCCTCAATCTTTCCCAGCATTAGGCCCTTCTCCAGTGAGTCCTTCCTTCTCATTAGGTGGCCAAAGTATTTGAGTTTCAACTTCAGGATCTGGCCTTCTAAAGAGCAGTCGGGGTTGATCTCTTCTAGGACTGACCGGTTTGAACGCCTTGCAGTCCAAGGGACTCGCAGGAGTCTTCTCCAGCACCATAGTTCAAAGGCCTCAATTCTTTTGCGCTCAGCCTTTCTTATGGTCCAACTTTCACAGCCATACATTGCAACTGGGAAAACCATGGCCTGGACTATACGCACTTTTGTTGGCAGGGTGATGTCTCTGCTTTTTAGAATGCTGTCTAGATTTGCCATAGCTTTTCTCCCCAGGAGCAAGCGTCTTTTAATTTCTTGGCTGCAACAAGGACACTTGCATTAATATAAAAAAGAATAAACTTCCTGACAGTGAGAACAATTAACCAGTGGAACAGCCTGCCTCCAGAAGCAGTGAATGCTCCAACACTGGAAGTTTTTAAGAAGAGACTGGACAGCCATTTGTCCGAAATGGTGTAGGGTTTCCTGCCTGAGCAGGGGGTTGGACTAGATGACCTCCAAGGTCCCTTCCAACTTTACTACTATTACATATTCAAAAGACTTTTTATAATATGTGGAAGCAGCCTTTCTCCTGGTTCTCCCCCCCCTCTGGTTCCTGGGGAGGGGATTATGGGGCAGGAGGCGCCACCTGACCCATCACTCACCTTGGCTCTGATTGTAGCGAGTCCTCGCAATCTCCAGGTTTGCTTTGAACGGCTCCTCATTGTCACGTTGAATCTGGGTCTCTCTGTCCCAGTACTGGGGGTCTTCCTTCCCCACCTCCTCCATCCAGGAGACCCGCGGCTCCATCCTCCGGCTGTTGCTGTCGTAGTGAGCAAAGACCTGACCGTCCATGCACCCCACAGCGACATACTGGGGCAGCCCCTGACTGTGGTCCGAGATGGAGGTGTAGAAATACTTCATGGAGTGCGAGGAGGCGCCTGGAAGGGACCCAGTGGGGCAAAGTTAGGGGCTTTAGCCAAGGAACCCTAATACTACGGGGCACAGAAAGGCAGCAGTTTGAGGGTCTATGAAGGAAAAGAGAACTGGGGGCAGAGAAAGGAGAGAGAAAAGAAGGGCGAACAGATGGGAGAGGGAGGCAGAGAGTGGAAAGAGGAAGCAATTGAGAGGCAAAGAAACAGTTTCTGGGGCGGCCGAAGGATTGGAGGGCAGAGAGAAGGGGATAGCAAGGTCAAAGGAAGAGCAAGTCCCTCAAACTCTACTTGAGCCCCCCACCCAAATGCTCTCTCCCCCCTTCCAGCAAGGCTTTCCTGGATTGTTCAGTCTCTGCCCCAAGGAGGCTGCAGACACCCCAGAGGGAGGAAGGGAGCCCCAACCCCAGAATCGCAAAAGCAGCAGAAAACCCCAACGGGTCACCCCCAACTTTCAAATAATTCTCATTGTTTGAATGGATTATTAATAAGTAAAGATTTGAGGGGAGATTTTATAACATGGGACGGGAAAGAGGGATCCAGGAGGGACCAGAGGCCATGGGACCCTTGGGGGGAGACTCAAACCGATTGGCTGGGAGGGCAGTCAAAGGAAGAGCAAAGGGAACACAGCCCCCCTGGATCTTTTTCCTCGCCCCTCCCAGCTGGGAAATTACCCCTCCCATCCTAAGGTTCAGGTATCTGAGCAGGAATTGACTTTGAACCCCAGACTCCACGGGGCTCACCCCCATTCTACAGAAATCTCATTTCAGCAGCCCAATTAGGGTACTGAAACCATCATTCCCAGGCGCTTCCAGTGGATCAGATTGACTCTGCATCTCAAATATTTTCTTCACTTCCCATAGAAGGTGCTCAGAAGCCTGTCTTCCTCTGGTGCTGATCCTGCACTTTGTCAGCATAAAGGCAGGCAGAAATGTCCCCCAGCCAGCTTGTGGGGGGGGGGGGGGAATGAACTGGGCTATCCTAACATCAGACATGTTAAACACAAGACCGGGGGGGCGGATGTGGCCCACAAACTGGTTTTATGTGGCCCGCGAAGCCATCCTGGAAACAGTGAGGGAACAGCCCCCGCTGCCTTGGCCCTGGCCCAGGCCGGGCGGGAGCCAATGTACAATTTTGTGGTGTCCATCTATGCCGAAACGCATTCAGTTTTAGCTCCACAAGGCCGTCTGGAAACAGCGAGGAACCAGACCCTGCCGTGTCGGCCCCACCCCCTGGGTGCATGCTGGGGAGGTGTCACCCTTTGTGAGGAATGAAGAAATGCACCATCGCCTGGAAGTGGCCAGCAAATGGTCCTCGCCTACTTCACATATCCGGCTTGATGGGCTCCGGCAGAGGGATTTCAGCAGGCAATGAGGCTCCTCCAGTGGACCATGCCTTGGCACTTACCCCGGTCCCACCCCTTTCTGCCAGAGACCCTCAGATCTGTCCCACTCCTGCCCAGACCCCCACAGGCATCCTTGAAGCGAACGGTGTAGAGCTGGCCATGACCACCCAATAGGCCACACCCACTCTGTCCACGCCCACCCAGTAGGCCACACCCATCCTGGCCACACACACACACACACACACACACACACACACACTCAGAGGGCAACTGAAATGCTGATGCGGCATTCTCAGTGCAAAGGCTTAACTCAACGTTTCTCAGACTCAGCTGCTTGGACTTCAGTCTGGACTTCAATTCCCAGAATTCCTCTCATCCCTCCTCCCAGAAACCCATGGGGCCTCTCCCCCCTGACCCCACTCCCTCCCCCCACTGAGGCTGTTTGGGAGTTCCTGCTGAGATCATCCATGTTGGGTGGGTGGGTGGGTGGACTCAGCTGGGGTCCTCTCCCTAAAGCCAGCCTCTTGTCACCTTTAAAGCCGTCTTTAAATCAAAGATAAACACAGAACATTATTTCAGTTTCTGTCCTGCAAACTCCTGATCCTGAAGCATCAAACATTTTTCAGCCCTTCCTTGGAGGACACACTCAGTTCACAAGACATAAACTATGCCAATTTCCACTTTGGGGGGTGCCCAGATAGACTTGATTGACATCTGGAGGGGCGATCCTTATCCTGTTCTCCTGGGGTGGGAGAGACACAGCAGCAGCTTTGGGGCCTGATGTCAAAGTGGCCAAAGGGAGCGGATTAGAAAGAGGTGCTGAAGGAAAAATCTTCATCCTGGTTCATCCAAGCCAGGGATAAATCAACAACATGGTGACGGCTTTTGAAAGAAGGTTGCAGTTTATTGAAGAGCCAGACCGAAAGATGGTTCTGGCAGGAAAGAGGAGAGAAAAGAGGGTGAGCACATGCGGAGAGTAGGTTTCTATACCCTCTGAAGCCTTTTGTCTGAAGTTGCTTCCTGTTCCTGTGTTGAGGCTTTGTATTTCCTGTGTCACGTATTCTGAGTCTGGGTGTGCCTTGCTGGTATTCTGATGGTGATGGGTTAGTCCTTTTATGACCAAAGGTCATATCCTGCTTCCTTAGTACTGGGGCTAATGACGCTTAGAGTTTGGGTGCGATATGCAGATTTTAGGTGTCTTCCTAAGCTTCTAGCCCCAACTTTCCTGATGGTTTACATCTGCATTTGTACAGGGCTGGCTTCTACTTGGGGGAGGCAGACCTGGGGCTTTTAAGAAAAATTGGGCATGCTTTTCTGTCTCTTTAATATCCTTGGAGGAAATATATTTTTCTGCCTTTTTAATATTTCCCTCTCTGGGGGGCTGACTTCCCACAGAGGACCGAATCAGGATTCTTTTTCTGGGAATAAACTTTTTTGGGGGGGGGGGGAGGAGAGAGAAAGTTTCCCTGGCAGATAAAAAAAAGCCTGAAAACCCACCCACCCCGGCCCCCAAAGGGACTCACCGAAGCAGCTCTCCTGCAGGGCGGCCACCACCACCACCAGGATCAAGAGAAGCGCAGAGCGCAGAGCCATCCCGGCCGCGATCCTCCACCTGCGCCCCGCTTCCTGGAAGTCGCGGCCAAAGAAAGAGGCGCCTCCCATTGCTAAACAACCGCAACACTCGACAAGCGATTGGGCGAGGTCAACCAATAGAAAAAAAGTATTCACATGTCGTCATAGTTGCTAGGCAGACGTCCAGGCACAAAGGGAGAGAAGGATGGCGGAGGGGGTGCGGGGATACGATATCTTCTGGCGTTACTTGAGGGGCTGTCACAGAGGAGATTGATTTATTACCCAAAATATGAGACAGCAAGACAGGAAGCAACGGATGGAAGCTTGTTCAAGAGAGATCCAAAAAAAGATGATAAAAGGTCTGGAGCAGAGGTCCTCACAACGTTGGTAACTTTAAGACTTGTGGACTTCAACTCCCAGAATTCCTCAGCCAGCTTTGCTGGCTGAGGAATTCTGGGAGTTGAAGTCCACAAGTCTTAAAGTTACCAACGTTGGAGAACCCTGGTCTGGAGGCTAAATCATATGATGAACGGTTGAAGGAGTCAAAATAAAGAAAAATAAAGAGGCAGAAAAAAAACTGGCTTTCAATCCAAGCAAGTATGATGAAGATTAACAATTTATCACTCTCCCTTAAAGTAAAACCAGCGACTCTTCACTTTATTCCTCCCCCCATTCTCCATGAACCCCTTCTCTAAAACCTGTTAATCAGCAGAAGTCTATTAAAGGTCCTCAGAAATAACAACGTGTAACTGCTACAAGCTCTGTTACAAAACTACTACAAGCTGTACAAGCCACTTTGATCTAGATCAGGGGTCTTCACACTCGGCCCTTTTATGACTTGTGGACTTCATCTCCCAGAATGCCTCAGCCCGGCATGCTGGCTGAGGCATTCTGGGAGTTGAAGTCCACAAGTCATAAAAGGACCCAGTGTGAAGACCCCTGATCTAGATGCTAAATCACCAGCCTAGAAAGCAACTCTCTAAGTCATTTACAGAGTCAGCCTCTTGCCCCCAACAATCTGGGTCCTCATTTTACCGACCTCGGATGGATGGAAGGCTGAGTCAACCCTGAGCCGGTCAGGGTAATCCCACTGTGATTATCCCAAGTTTGCTTCATTTCAGCAGCCCAATTAGGGCACTAAAATCATCATTCCCAGATGCTTGCAATGCACCAGATTTATTCTGAATCTCACCCTTCACTTTCCACAGAAAATGCCCCCCCCCAATTTTCCTTCTTTGATGCTCATCTTGCACTTTGTCAGCACAAGGAAAGGTAGAAATAACCCTCAGCCAGCTGGGGAGGAAGGTGATCTGGGCTATCCGACTCTTCTCTCAATGTAAAGGCTTCAATCAGAGTTTCTCAGACTCAGCCACTTGGACTTCAACTCCCAGAATTCCCCTCACCTGGCAGAATCCCATGGGGCCTATCCTGGAAAAAAAATCTCTGGGGATCTTGTGCTTTAGGAGGGGCGGGTAGTGGAAGGGGGAGAAGAAAGTGAAAATAAACAAGACGGATCTTTAGGAAGATTATTCCAGGAATGTTTCTCTCTCTAGACTCTTTCCCTGCTGCATTTACACGGCAGCCGTATCCAGACGGCTCAGTTGCAGCAGCCTCCTAGCCAGCCAGAGGACAGGAAGGCCTGGAGCAGTGGTTCTCAACCTTTTTAATGCCGTGACGCCCCCCCAACCGGTCGTAAGTCGAGGACTACTCAACTGGTGCAGCACCGTTTGCAGAATGGGACTTTTGGCGGGCTCAGCAGGGCAGAGACAGCCTGGACAATTCCTATTGGCTTTTGAAAGCCAATAGAATTAGACTCTATTCAAGAGGGTCTATTCTATTGGCTTTCAAAAGCCAATAGAATAAAAGGGAGTAGCACAGCTAAGAAAAAGGAGGAAAAAAATGGCGGACTGCGTTGTTTGGCGACCCCTGTGAAATGGTCGTTCGACCCCAATGGGGTCCCGACCCACAGGTTGAGAACCACTGGCCTGGAGGAACGTTGTCCATGGGGTCGCGATGGGTCAGACACGACTTCGCAATTAACAACAACAACCAAGTCAGCCAACACACGGAACTGATTCCAGAAACTAGCCGGGTCCTCCCAGCACCAGAAACCAGAAAGATCCACAAAGCCCGGCCAAAGGCCCCGAGATTGTGTCTTTATGTGTGTGTATGCGCCAAGCAGCCAGGAGGTTGTGAATTGACCTGATCACCTGCAAATGCTGCTTTCTAACAACCTCCACTTTCAGGAAGAGAAAGAATTGGGCTGGGGGGGGGGGGTGCCCAATTCCAGACTGACATCTGGAGGGACCACTCTTGTCCTGGAATAGAGTGGAGTGGAGTGAAGTGGAGTGAAATGAAAGAGAAGAGAAGAGAAGAGAAGAGAAGAGAAGAGAAGAGAAGAGAAGAGAAGAGAAGAGAAGAGAAGAGAAGAGAAGAGAGAATAGTGAATAGAGAATAGAGAATGGAATAGAATAGAATAGAATAGAATAGAATAGAATAGAATAGAATAGAATAGAATAGAATAGTTGGAAGGGACCTTGGAGATCATCTAGTCCAACCCCCTGCTCAGGCAGGAAACCCTATACCTTTTCAGACAAGTGGTTGTCCAATCTCTTCTTAAAAACTTCCAGGGTTGGAGCATCCACAACTTCTGGAGGCAGGTTGTTCCACTGGTTAATTGTTCTAACTGTCAGGAAATTACTCCGGAGTTCTAGGTTGCTTCTCTGTTCCCAGAGGGGCTGTGCCTGTGGGTGGGGGAAGAGCGGTGGCAGCAGCAGCAGAGTCTCATCCACGCTTTGGGGCCTCCTCTTTTTGTTGTTGTTGTTAATTGCAAAGTCGTATCCGACCCATCGCGACCCCATGGACAACGTTTCTCCAGGTGTTCCTGTCCTCTACCATCTTCTGGAGTCCATTTAAGTTCACACCTCCTGCTTCAGTGACTCCATCCAGCCATCTCATTCTCTGTCGTCCCCTTCTTCTATTGCCCTCCATCTTTCCCAACATTAGGCCCTTCTCCAATGAGTCCTTCCTTCTCATTAGGTGGCCAAAGTACTTGAGTTTCAACTTCAGGATCTGGCCTTCTAAAGAGCAGTCAGGGTTGATCTCTTCCAGGACTGACCGGTTTGAACGCCTTGCAGTCCAAGGGACTCGCAGGAGTCTTCTCCAGCACCATAGTCAAAGGCCTCAATTCTTTGGCGCTCAGCCTTTCTTATGGTCCAACTTTCACAGCCATACATTGCAACTGGGAAAACCATGGCCTGGACTATACGCGCTTTTGTTGGACCCAAAGGGGAAGGGAGCGGATTCGAAAGAGGACCAAATCAGGGTTTTATTTCTGGGAATATTGGGGGGGAGGGGGAGAGAGCGATTCCCTGGATGGATTCCCACCAGCAGAAAAAGGGGCCCCGAACCCCCGAAGACCCCCCACAGGGACTCCCCGAAGCAGCTCTCCCACAGAATAAACGCCACCGAAACCAGAAGCCAGGGGGGCGTAGAGCGCCCCGCCATCCTGTCCACTAAATTCAACCTGCGCTACTAAATGGCGGGAAAGAGTCCACCCCCCCCCCCCGGTGATCAACAGCCCAGCGGACCCTCCCGCTTTTCCCAGCCCCGCCGTTCTGCCCCTCCCCCCCCAAGAGGCGGAATCCCTGGAAGGGGATTTCCCGATGGAACTTTCACTTTCCTTTCCCCGCCCCCGTCTCTCGAGCTGCGTCTGGACCTCCGCCCAGCAACAATGACGACATGGGCCTATTCTTTTTTTCCATTGGTCGAGTTCGCCCAATCGCCAGCGGGCTCCGGATTGTTGCGCTTGTTGATCGACGCGACTCTTTCTCTGGCTGCGGCTTCCGGGAAACGGAGCGCGGGTGGAGGATCGCCAGCCGGGATGTCTCTGCGCTCTGCGCCCCTGTTGCTTCTAGTATTGGTGACGGTCGCCTCGCAGGAGAGCCGCTTCGGTGAGTCCCTTCGGGGCCCGGGGGGGGGGAAGAGTTTCCCGCCCCTTTTATCTGCTAGGGAAACTTTCTCTCCTCCCCCAAAAGTTTATTCCCAGAAAGAGAATCCTCACCCGGTCCTCTTTCTAGTCCGCTCCCCCTCCCCCCCTCTGGCCACCTTATGATTTAAGTCAGTGTTTCTCAACCTTGACAATTTTAAGGCACGTGGACTTCAACTCCCAGAATTCCACAGCCAGCATGGAATTCTGGGAGTTGAAGTCCACATGCCTTAAAATTGTCAAGGTTGAGAAACACTGATTTAAGTTGCCTGGGCCTCTGAGTTTTAATCACGTGGTCATGGGGATGCTGCCAAGTTCGCAACTGTGAAGGACGGTCACGAGTCATTTTCCTTAGTGCCTCTGTAACTTTGAACGGTCACTAAATGAACTGTTGTAAGTCGAGGACTACCTGTAAAGCAGGAGAAGCGTGTACAGAGAAGCTTTCCTTGAATGATCTTCCTAAAGACCTGTCCTTTTTTCTTGTCATTTTTCTCCTCGATCTCCCTCCCCCCCTGCTCCATCCTAAACCCCAGTATTATCCCTGGGCTTTTTTTCTAGGACAGGCAGGATTCCTAATAATAATAATAATAATAATAATAATAATAATAATAATAATAATAATAATAATAATAATAATAATAATAATAATAATGTGGACGTGGCAGTGCCTGGAGACAGCAGAATCGAAGAGAAAGAACTGGAGAAGATAACAAAATACAAAGACCTACAAATAGAAATAGAAAGACTGTGGCAAAAGCAAGCAAGGATAGTACCAATAGTAATAGGCTCCTTGGGTGCAATCCCAAAGCAGCTGGAGCACCACTTGAACACCATTGGCATAGACAAATTCGCTATTAGTCAATTGCAAAAGGCGGCCTTACTAGGAACTGCTTCCATCCTGCGACGATATCTGTAATACCATCAAACCTCCACATCTGCCTATCCCAGGTCCTTGGTAAGGACTCGATAGGTAGACTAAATGCCAAATCCAGCCTGAACATCTGGCTGACTGTGCGATGATCCATAATAATAATATAATAATAATAATAATAAACCTTTTATTATCAAAGTATAATATGTATACAGTGAAATTGGCTGAGCCTCCCTCTGTGCCCCCCCTCACCACAAACTCACAGTGACTACAAACCCCCAACTTATTTCACCCTGTGAACTAATTGCACATCACGCAGGCCTCATGAGTCTTGTCATGCATAAAGTTATAAAGTTATGTCCCATTCAGAAGCCTGACGGCCCATAGATAAAAGCTGTTCTTCAGCCTGCTGGTACGGTTGGCTATGTTTCTGTATCTCCTACCCTCCTTCCATTTCAGAAGCCACCAACATGGGACAGTTGGCAAAACTAAAAATATTTAAAATTCATTATTCCTTAGTAATTCGAAAGAGGGTCTTGGGGTGTTCTTGCTTGTTTGCGCAGGGAAACTATCAATGGAGCAGCTTTCCAAAAAGGTATAAAAAAGAAGCATTGAATAGGGTAAGTTGGAGGCAGAAGCAGAGAAGCTACTATGGATGGAGAGCATGAAATGGATGGCTTGCTTGGACACAGACAGGCCCAAGCTGACCAGCCCTTCCTGACTTGAGGATTTACGATTGTGAGGATGCCCAACCTGCGTTACATTCACATGTTTCTCCTCTCAGGCAGATTTCAGACTCCCTCACTGCTCAGCCCCACAAGGGAAAGAAGCCGGTTCTGGATCATGGAAGATCCGATTCCCCCTCCTTCTCTTGGAGAAAAGCCCTAATCCCTTTGGATTCTGAAATCTCCCCAGAGCAGGAAGTGGATCTGGGGATCACTCTCCCCAAAAGCTCTGAGAAACCACTGGAATTGTGGGGAGGAGCAGGAAGAAGGAGGCCGAGGCCTTTGCCTTGGATGACTGGGAAGGGCTGGGAGACCATGTTGGAGGGACTGGGCAGTGGGACTGTTTCTTTCACTGGGCTGTATAGGTCCTGCCCTTTTCTGTGCAGATCCAGGTTATGGCCAAATGATCCTTAAAATGATCTTTAAACTCTTTAGTGCCCTGGAAGAATTCCTGATCTGAAGATCACAATGGTCTCTTTTTTTCAATTGCAGCCCCTTCCTTGCTGATTTTTCAGGTTAACTGATCTTAAGATATTTAAATGTAGTAGCTGGAACAGTAAAATTGGACAATGGGCCAGGACACACAGTTGCAGCTGATTGGCTAGAGAGTGCCGGCTCCTGCAGGAGGCAATCCATGCTGTGATTGGTTGCTGTGAGTGTAAAGGGGGAGTTTCCTTTTTTTCCCGCCTTTTTCTTCTGTGTGTTCTGTATGCTGCTTGATTTACCTCATGATGCTCCTCTTTATCCTGCCCATCTTGTCTGCTGTAGATATAGGTGTAAAATGTATTCATTTGTATAAAACTACATGTTTGTATCAGTTTCTTTGACTTCATTTGGACACCGGCTGCTCAATTCCTTGACGAAGTCATTTGTCGGGCACATCTTATTTTCCTTTGATTATTATGTCCCAAAGGACTTTCTTTGTTTTCCTCGAAGACACTTTAGCTTCACATCCAAGAATAGCCATAGCACTTAGACTCATACAGGTCGTCCTCAACTTATAACCACAACTGAGCCCAACATTTGTTGCAAAGTGAAACATTTGTGAAATGAGTTTTGCCCCATTTTACGACATTTCTTGCCACAGTTGTTCAGTGAATCACTGCAGTTGGTAAATTAAGTAACGCAGTTAAGTGAAATTGGTTTCCCCTGGACCCCCCTGGACATTGCAACTGTCATAAATACGAGCCAGTTGCCAAGCATCTGAATTTTGATCACATAACCATGGGGATGCTACAATGGTCGCAAGTATGAAAAATGATCCAGTGATGTTGTAACTTTGAATGGTCACTAAATGAACTGTTGTAAGTCGAGGACTAGCTGTATACCGCTTCACGGTGCTTTACAGCCCCCTCTAAGCAATTTACAGCAGAGTCCCCCAACTTTTCTGGTTTGGCGGCCCAAAAGGAAAGGGAGCAGCAGGGAAATGTGCGTGTGCATGACCCCGTGTGCGTATGTGCAAAGGCTGCGTGCATGCATGTGCAAACAGGCCGCCGGTGCTCACCATGTGACCCTGGTGGCGGTGCTAACATCCCTGCGCATGTGCAAATGGGCTAGGGCCCATGTGGCAGTGCTACTGTGAGTGGAGCGGGGCTCACCAGCTATTCCCCGGGCCCGGTGGCCAACAAGCCACGGCCCAGTATCGGGTTGTGGACCATAGTTTGGGAACCCCTGGTTTACAGAGTCAACATATTGAACCCAACAATCTGTGTTCTTATTTTACTGACCTCGGAAGGACGGCAGCTTCAGTTCTGAATGAATGGTGGTGGAAGGATTTATATTCCTGGTAGTCATCTAGTCGTTAGCACTCCCTCTGAGACTCCTTGAGGCCACTTGGAGGTTTATCTGTGCCCTCCGGGTCCCCTGAATAGAGATAGTCCTGAAGTTACAGCAGTTCATTTAGTGACCATCTGAAGTTACAATGGCACTGAAAAAAAGGACTTACAACCATTTTTCACCTTTACAACCATTGCAGCATCGGGATTTCTATTCGGACGCTTGACAACTGGTTCATATTTATGACGGTTGCAGTGTCCCAGAGTCACGCGATCCCTTTTTACAAACTTCTGACAAGCAAAGTCAAATTCACTTAACAAGCCTTGGAATATATATTAGCAAGAAGAAGGCTATTGAGTGACTGCTGCATAGTTCCCAGAGACCGGTGAGGTCCCACAGATTGGGCCTCCTTCAGATCCCGTCGGCCAGACAATGTCGGCTGGCGGGCCCTCGGGGAAGGGCCTTTTCTGTGGTGGCTCCGACATGGTGGAATCAACTTCCCCCCCGAGATTTGAACTACTCCCACCTTGCCGGCCTTCAAGAAAGCTATTAAAACTCTCCTGTTCCGGCAGGCCTGGGGTTGATGTCCCCGGGGGGGGGGATTCGATTGGGACATGCTGTGTGAATGTATTCATTTTTAATTGTTATATTTGTTGTTTTAATTTTGTACACCGCCCTGAGTCCCTAGGGATTGGTCGGCATATAAATTTTATTAATAATAAATAAATAAATAACATTATGATAATTAACTATTATCTATTATTGTTTGTTAAACACATGAACCCAGACATTATGCTGTTTGCTAAATATTGAGAATGTTATTTGGAAAAACCCCAACCCCAGCCTTAACCCAAATCCCAACCTCAACCCCACCTTATTCCTAACCCTGTAAAAACTAATAAAATCTAACAAGCCTAATTTAACAATTGCAGTGATTCACTGAGCAAAGGCAGCAGGAAAAGCCGTAAAATGGGGCAAAGCTCACTTAGCAAATTTCTCACTTTAGCAATGTCAATTTTGGGCTCCGCTGTCATCCATCAAGGACTACCTGTATTGCAAATGGATTGGAACCTCCTTGAAGCTGCTGAAAGGATGGTGTTGTCAATAGATCGGTGGTGTCCATCCTAGGAGAACAAGCCCATCAGGACAAGATGCGGCAGTCCATCTGAAAAAGAAGGGTCCAACTCCGACGGTCTCTGGATGAAGCGGATTATCTAGACCCTTTTCAATCTGGCTTCAGGCCCGGCTTCAGCACAGAAACTGCTTTGGTCGCGCTGATGGATGATCTCTGGCGGGCCCGAGACAGAGGTTATTCCTCTGTCTTGGTGCTACTTGACCTCTCAGCGGCTTTCAATACCATCGATCATGGTATCCTTTTGCGACGACTCGAAGGAGTGGGAGTGGGAGGCACCGTTTTACGGTGGTTCTCCTCCTACCTCTCTGGCCGGTCGCAATTGGTATTGGTAGGAGGGCAGAGGTCAACCCCGAGGCCCCTTGAATGCGGCGTGCCACAGGGGTCGGTCCTCTCTCCCCTCCTATTTAACATTTATATGAAGCCGCTGGGTGAGATCATCAGACAGCACGGGGTGAGGTTACACAGTATGCTGATGATACCCAGTTATATATCTCCTCCCCGAGCTCTCTCAGTGAAGTGGCCGATGTGATGGGCCGTTGCCTCGAAGCCGTGAGGGTCTGGATGGGGGTTAACAGACTCAGGCTCAATCCTGACAAGACCGAGTGGCTTTGGATGTTGCCTCCCAAGGATCATGCCGACTGTCCAGTGTTGACTCTTGCGGGGGAAAATATACCCCCTTCGGAGCGGGTTCGCAACTTGGGTGTCCTCCTTGATCCACAGCTGAATTTGGAACATCAATTGACGGCTGTGGCTGGGAGGACCTTTGCACAAGTTCGCCTGTTGCACCAGTTGCGACCCTACCTGGACCGGGAGGCTCTCCTTACAGTCACTCACACCCTTGTCACCTCACGTTTGGACTACTGCAACGCGCTCTACATGGGGCTACCCTTGAAAAGTATTCGGAGACTACAGTTGGTCCAGTATGCAGCTGCGCGAGTGATAGTGGGTGCTCCTCGATACACCCACGTTACACCTATCCTCCGTGAGCTGCACTGGTTGCCTGTTGGTCTCCGGGTCCAATTCAGAGCCAGGCTATTTGCGAGTCCGCCTACTACCTCATAGTTCCCTATGTCCGGTTAGATCCCACAGGCTGGGCCTCCTTCAGGCCCCGTCGGCCAAGCAGTGCCATTTGGCGGGGCCGCGGAGGAGGGCCTTCTCTGTGATGGCGCCCACGCTTTGGAATCAGCTCCCCCCGGAGATTAGGACCGCTCCCACCCTGTTGGTCTTCCGTAAGCTACTTAAGACCTGGCTTTTCCGGCAGGCCTGGGGTTTATAAAACCTTACCCCTGGATGATTGTTTTTGTATTGTTGTTTTGTTATGTTTTATGTGTTTTTTATTGTTAGCCGCCCAGAATCCTTCGGGAGTGGGGCGGCTTATAAATTTTAATAATAATAATAATAATAATAATAATAATAATAATAATAATAATAATAATAATAATAATAATAATAATGATGGTCCGTCTTTTGAAGACAGTGGTCCACATTCTGGACAGAGAGGGCCCCTGGTTTGAAAGGGGGGTCATACGCTATAATTGAACAACCCTCTCTCAAAAAGACAGGAAAGGATATGATACCACTTATTTCCTGTTTACAACACAATCCTTTCAGCAGCTCCAAGAAGGTTCCACTCCCATTTGCACTACTCGGGTGACTCTGAAGGCATAGAGAAACTCCTGTTGTGATTCCGTGCCAGCCTGTGATCTCGGTAGTTGAGTCTGGGTAATCCGAGGAGCAAGAGGGGCCTGGAGAGCCATCAGAGTCGGAGGGAGGCTCTGATGAGCTGCAGGACTTACAGACTAATGAAGAGGCCAGTCCTTCCACTTGTGATCGAGCTGAGAGCCAGCTGTGCTGGGAAGCTGAGTCAGAGGAAGCACAGCTGGAAGACCTCAGAGACGCTTGTAAACGTAGACAGGTCACACGAAAAGGACAGAGGGAGGCAACGGGGCAACTCCAGGGAAGGAGGAGAAAGCAGTGAGAAGCCATGCCTTGGGGGCTGCGTAACAAAAAAGGAATGTGTGAGCAGGGCTGGTTGCTGGAGGCAACCGTTTGCCAAGAACTTCAGTGTTAAGAGATCATGGTCTGTTTATTTTGCCTGTGTTATTTCCTGTTTGACTCGTGCTCCGTTTTTGCTTTTGGACAAGGTCCCCGTTGGAAAAGTGTTCTGTTGCTTTTGTTTTCTGGGACAATTATCAGGTCTGTAGCTCAAATAAAAAGGGTTTATTTTCCAGTCTATTGTTAAAAGAGGTTGTCTTTGTGAAGTAACAAGGACATACGTAGGCTGGGACAGAAGAACTCCAAGTGGCCCCCAACGAGTGGAATGAACCCCACTGAGTCCTGGGTTCAAAGCCAATTCCTACTCACGATGCCTGAACTCTGTGGGACAGGAGGGGGAACTTCCCAGCCGGGCATGAGAAGGAAGATGGCTTCATGGCTTCATTGCTGCTCTCCTTACTCCCACAAGGGTCCCATGGCCTCTGGTCCTTCCTGGATCCCTCTTTCTCTCCCCCGTCTAATAAAATCTCCCCTCGAATCTTAAACTTATTAATAACGCATGTTGGCCCTCAGTGGGGTGAGATTATTTGAAAGTTGGGGTGACCAAGTGGGGTTTCCTGCTGTTTGGGGGTTGGAACTCCCTCCAGGCCTCTGGGAAGCCTCCTTGGGGCAGAGACTGAGAAATCTAGGAGAGCCTTGCTGGAAGGAGGCACATTTGAGGGGGGGGGTGTCAAGTAGAGTTTGGGGGATCTGTTCTTGCTTTGGCCCTGCTTTTTCCTTCCCCTTCTCTCTCCCCCCAAACTTCTCTGCCCTCTAACCTTTCAGTCCTCCCCAAAAGTTGCTTCCTGTTTCACCCTCTGCCTCCTCTTCCTCTCGCATCATCTCTCCCTTCCTTTCCTCCCTTCTTTCTCTCCCCTCCCCCCCAGGTTTCTTCTTCCTCCCCAGACCCTAAGATGGGGCCAGCTGTGCCCCATAGGATCAGGGTTCCTGAGCTGAACCCTCCCTCACTTTGCTCCTCTGGGTCCCTTCCAGGCAACTCCTCGCACTCCCTGAAGTATTTCTACACCTCCATCTCGGACTCCAGTCAGGAATCGCCTCATTTTGTTGTTCTGGGGTACGTGGACAGTCAAGTCTTTGCTCACTACGACAGCAACAGCCAGAAGTTCCAGCCTCGAGTCTCCTGGATAGAGAAGGTGGAGAAGAAAGACCCCCAGTACTGGGAAAAATACACCGAGATATTACGTGACAACGAGAAGCTGTTCAAAGAAGACCTGGAGAAGCTGAAGACTCGCTACAATCACAGCAACGGTGAGTGATGGGACGGGTGGCTCCTCCTGCCCCATATTCCCCCCCCCCTGCCCTGCCCTCATCTGCCATCTTTGGGGGGACAAGCAACAAGGATGCTTCCTATTATCATATTTGGTGGTCATGTAGAGAGATAAAAGCATTTTGGATCAAAATATGGTGGAATATCCAGAGAATTCTTAGAAGGAGGGTAAAATTTACTCCGCAATTATTTTTGTTAGGTATTGTTATAGATTGTGATACAAAGGAGGTTGTATTGATGCTAAATTTGATTACAGCCGCTAGGCTGTTAGTAGGACAATATTGGAAGAAGGAATCTTTGCCTACATTGCAGGAATGGTTTCTTAAAGTAGCTTATTTGGCGGAAATGGCAAAGATTTCGGCTTTCTTAAAGCAACAAACTCAAGAGAAGTTTTATGCTGTTTGGGACAAATGGATAAAATTTACACAATTTAGATTGGGTATACAAAAATATCATATAGCTTTTTCATAAGTTTTATTCTATATATATATATAGGTATTTTTTTTTCTTTCCTTTTTATATATAAATATAAAATCTTTAATTTAATTTCTTATTTTTATTCTTTAATTTTTAAGTAAGCCTATATTCTGCTCTGGGAAGCTCAGGGGGGGGGGAAGGGAGGGGTTTTTGTGTGGGGTGGGGGTTGGGGGTTTTTTTTTTTTTCTTTTATATATGTAATGTTTAGTTTCCTTTTTGTATATGTTCTCTTTTGTTTTGTATTGTTTTTGTTCTTTTGTAAAATTTATAAAACTTTTAATAATAATAATAAAAAAAGATTCACCTTCAAAGAACATTATTGATAAGGTGACCAACTGTCCTCCTTTAGGGAGGACAGTCCTCCTTTTGTAAGTTCTGTCCTCTGTCAAAAAGTGTCCTCCTACACGTCCTCCTTTTCGATATTTGAAGACTAATCTGCAGGGCTTCCCACCCCCCCCCCCCATAGAACGCTCAGAACGGCGTTCTGGCACCTTTTTTGATGTTTTTTTTTTTCAACTTTTGCATGAGCTGGAAACAGTTGAAGAAAATGTGCAGAGAAGGGAAAAAAGTGGTCTCCTGTACGGAGGGGGGGGGGCTTTTGAGGACTCCCCCAAACCATCCTTCTGTCCGTCTTTCAGGCCTGCACACTTGGCAGAAGATGGTCAGCTGTACGCTCCAGGGTAACAGGAGCAGAGGACTTTGGCAGTATGGCTACCAAGGGAGGACCTTCATTGCCTTCGATGAAAAGACCTTCACCTGGGTGGCTTCCGACCTCCAGGCCCAGGTGACCCAGAGGGATTGGAATGCTAATCCAAGACTGAATCCGTACATTAAGACCTACCTTATGGAGGAATGCATTGCGTGGCTGGAGCAGTTTCTGTCCTACGGGAATGAGGCGCTGCTGAGGACAGGTGAGCCTCTGGATCCAGGCGGGACTTTCCTCCGTTACGGTTGGATATTTTGGACACAGTCAGCTCCTTTGGGTTCTGGCCTGCGACCGGGCTGCTCAGGAGGGAATCCTCTTCCCTTCCAGCACCGCTCCAGAATATGGGAAGCCCTGTTTAGTTCCTGTTGCCAGGGAGCCATTAAGTGGACCAGGAAGCGCAGATGATATGGTTCCGGCTAATGAAACACTTCAAAGAACTTCCAGGCATTGATTTCCCTAAAAGTCTTTTATTGTTTCAAAATGTCGGCACAGGCATAACAAAGTTTATGCTAAGATCTAAGTCAGTGGTTCTCAGCCTTTTTAATGCCGCGACCCCCAACCGGTCGTAAGTCGAGGACTACTCAACCGGTCGTAAGTTGAGGACTACTCAACCAGTCGTAAGTCGAGGACTATTCAATTGGTGCAGCACCGTTTGCAGAATGGGACTTTTGGCAGGCTCAGCAGGGCAGAGACAGCCTGGACAATTCCTACTGGCTTTTGAAAGCCAATCAAATTAGACTCTATTGAAGAGAGTCTATTCTATTGGCTTTCAAAAGCCAATAGAATAAAAGGGAGTAGCACAGCTAAGGAAAAGGGGGGGGGGAAATGGTGGACTGCGTTGTTTGGCGACCCCCGTGAAATGGTCATTCGACCCCAAATGGGGTCCCGACCCACAGGTTGAGAACCACTGATCTAAGTTCTCTTCCTCTGAGCAGTTAATTTATCAGCATGTTCCCTCCCTGAACTAGCCAGTCATATATCACATTATCCAATTAGTGTGAAGGTCAAAGGTTTTCTTCCTCTTTCTTTCCCGGGCTTTACCCTCCCCACACTCTAAGCTCTGTATTAACCCCAAAAATACCAGACAGTTTTGCATATTGTCAAAGCAAGAATATACAGTATTTGCAGCGTTGACAGCAGCATTTACCTGCCAGGCAAAATCAATGAAGGGTGTCCTGTCCACAGCCCACCAAGAGACAACAGGTCTCCCTTTTTGGCATCGTGCACCTCCCACTCCCACCACTAGAGGGCACCTACCATGAATAGGGCGTTATCAGCTCCTCCACGTGGGCAAAAATGGCCAAGATTGAGGAGGGGAAAAACTCACAGATTTTGTGGGTCTTTCTCTTAAACCTCAAACAGCTTCCTTATCTTTGACTTTAGTGACTTCCCCAGAAAACAACCCCTTCCTCGCCTTCAGGAACATTCCCTCATCCCACAGGGCTTCCTGCTCACAATGTAATATTTCCCTCTCTCCCTTTCCCGTAAGGCTATTATTTTCCTGTCAAAACTGGCCCTGCCTCTCTGGGCCCCATGGTATCTTCGGAATCAGCTGGGTGAGATCAAGCACCGTGGGGGAATCGCTCTCCCCACAATTCCCCACATCCATTTCCTGCCCCCCCCCCCTTTGAGAAACAGAATCTCTTTTCCACATTAACCAGGGTGAGATTCCAAGAGCCCTAAGCCCCTTGCTGGGACTCTCATTGTCCCTCTCTTCAAAGTGTTGCCATATGCTAAATAAAATAAATAATCCCTTGGAAAGAAACCTAGAACAGATTTGGGGACGTGAAAGTGGACCCCAGAAGTAGGTTGAAACACCTGGGTTATTTTTAAGGAAGCCCTAACTAGCTGCTTCTGTTTCCCTCCCCTGCTGAAAGGATGGTGGTGTCAATAGATCGGTGGTGTCCATCCTTGGAGAACAAGCCTATCACTCAGAGTTCAAAGCAGCCAGAGAGGAATTTCCTTGGACCCTCAATTTGCTGCTGGAGGTTTTTCAGGCTGAGTCCCTGGGAAGGACTCAGAATCCGGAGTTCTTGTGGTCGAGCATTTTCCAGATCTGGAGCATTTCCTAAAACTCTTGGAGACGCTGCGGGTGTGGAATGAGAAATCCCTGCCTTAAAATTAAGCAGTGCCCCTTCAACTTTCTTACCCACCTTCCAGGCTCTGGAGGGGCTCAGAGTTAATTCTGGGGGTGGAATGAGAAATCCCTGCCTTAAAATTAAGCAGTGCCCCTTCAACTTTCTTACCCACCTTCCAGGCTCTGGAGGGGCTCAGAGTTAATTCTGGGGGTGCCGTTTCTGCAGACCCCCCAGAGGTGACCATGAGCAGCAGGACGGAGGTGGAGGATGGGATGGAGACGCACGTCTGCCGCCTGGATGGCTTCTACCCCAGGGAGATCGAGGCCTCTTGGAGGAGGGACGGGGAGGTCTGGCTGCAGGACACCCTCCGTGGCTCCGTGGCCCCCAACGCAGATGGGACCTTCCACGCCTGGCTCAGCATCCAGATCGATCCCAAAGAGAGGGGCCGCTATCGCTGCCACGTGGAGCATGACAGCCTGAAGGAGCCTCTGGATGTGGCCCTGAAGGGTGAGGGGCTGCAGGGAGGGAAAGGCTGGGCTCTTGGGCGGGCTGGAGGGTTGTGGGAAGGAAATCTCACCCCAGCTGTGTCCAGATGTGAGCATACTTGAGATTTAATCCATTGCTTTTTCTATTGTTGAGGCTTGTGGACCTGCAGTCCATAGAATTGACTTTAATGGGTTCAAAGCAGGCGACACATCCCATCACAAGAGTTCTGATTAAATGCTCTTAGAGCAGTGGTTCTCAACCTATGGGTCGGGACCCCATTTGGGGTCGAATGACCATTTCACGGGGGTCGCCAAATAAGGCTGTCCACCATTTTTCCCCCTTTTCTTTGGCCACGCCCCTGGCACCCAGTGATGTATAAGTGGTTGGGGGTCACCACAACATGGGGAACTGTATTAGGGGGTCGCGGCATTAGAAAGGTTGAGAACCACTGTCTTACAGCCTCTTATTCTCTCTTCCTCCCCTGTTTCCTGCCTCCAGCAGGGGAGCAGCAATTATGCTAAGCTCCATAAAAAAGTATTTCCCTTTGTTTAGAATTCCTAAAGTACAAAAATCAGGGAGGTGTTTTACAGCCCCTTTTCGCAATCCCAAATTTCATCAAAAGTGATAAACTGCAGCCAACTTGGGGAAAATGTCTAGAGTGGCATACCGGTCTGAGTTTTTACCGTCAGAGACTAACACAACTGTCCTGTTGTAAATCACAAAAACGTCACTGGGCATCACTGTTCTAAGAAAGAAGTATGCACATAATTTTACAATCAAGCGTTTATAGCAGTGTTTCCCAAACTTGACAATTTTAAGGCATGTGGACTTCAACTCCCAGAATTCCACAGCCAGCGTTGCTGGCTGTGGAATTCTGGGAGTTGAAGTCCTCATGCCTTAAAATTGTCAAGTTTGGGAAACACTGGTTTATAGGAATTCCCAAGGCTCAGCAGAAAACCAAAGCAAAAAAGGCCTCTGGCAAAGAACTCTGCATAGGCTCCAGTCTTCCTTCTTGTCAAAGGAACCTTCGTCACATATTTATTGCTTGTTTGTTCGTTTATTTTCCACCTTTATTGTTTTTACAAATAATGTAAGGTGGCCAACATACCTAATACTCCTTCCTCTTCCTATTTTGCCACTCAAGTAGGCAAACAGGCCCAGCACACCTTTCTCCTCGTACTTTTCCCACACAAATAACCGCATGAGGTGGGCTGGACTGAGAGACTGACTAGGCCACGGGTCGGCAACTCGCGGCTCCGGAGACGCATGCGGCTCTTTGAGCCATCCCCCTGCAGCTCCGGAGCCTCCTCTGCCATTTGCAGAGAGAGAGACAAGGAAAGAGAGAGAGAGGCACTTGCGCTTCCCCTCTCTCTCTCTTTCTCTCTCTCATGCGGACTTGCCCCCTCACAGGGCTCATGATTGGCCCTGCACCTGGGTGCCCCGCCCCCTGGGAGAAGGGCAGCCAGGAAATCCCTTTCCCGGGCTGGCTCTTCTCCGAGACGCACGTGGCTGGGGAACCACGCAGGGAAGCCCTGGGATCCCCGCTGGGAGCGGCCCAGCGGAGCCTCCGCTGAGCGGGCCAGACCTCCCGCAAGCCGCAGCCCCGAGGGAGAGCAGCCCCTGCGATGCCCAGCCCGCACGACCGTTGGCCAAGCAGCACCAGAGAGGGAGGGTCAGTGGCGGGAGGGAGGGGGCTATAAAAATAAAGGTAAAAAAGGATATATGCAGTGTTATCTTCATTTTAAATATCAAAAAAAGGTTTTGCGGCTCTGTTTTGTTTTTGTTGGGAAACGGGTCCAAGTGGCTCTTTGAGTGTTTTGGGTTGCCTACCCCTGGACTAGCCCAAGGTCACCCAGTTGGCTTTCATGGCTAAGGCGGGTCTAGAACACGCACGATCAATTTTGACTGGAAAATCCATTTCCAAAAGAAGGAGGTCTCTGAAAACAAATATCGATAAATTCAGTCCGGTTTGATTGACTTTGGAAGATTTTCAGCGCCAGTCGTGCCGATTTTTTTTCCCCTGCTGAATTGTGACTTTGAGAAAGAACAGAATAACAGAGTCGAAGGGGACCTTAGAGATCTTATAGTCCAACCCCCTGCTGAAGCAGGAGACCCTATATCATTCTGGACAAGCGGTGGTCCAGTCTCTTCTTTAAAAACCTCTAAAAATGGGGGGGGGGGGGGAAGATGATGAAGTGAATGGCCTAATTCCACCAAGAGTCAGGATGCATCGGGGAAGTAGCCTATTAAAAAAAAACTAACAAATTGTTTTTTATGGTTTGATGAATTTTGTTTACCTTACTCTATTGTTGAAGTTTTTATTTCTGTAAACTGCTGAGAGTCGTAAGATTACAAACTGCTGCTTTTGAGCTGAGCTGCTAAAGAGGAATGTCGGCTGGCTTCATGAGCTGGGGTGTTGTGAGAGGAATGAAGCTTCATAAGGAGATGTCAAGGTGTCTTCATACTGTCTAGTTTCATGAAGAGAAGGACGAGGGGGGACATGATAGCCGTGTTCCAATATCTCAGGGGCTGCCACAAAGAAGAGGGAGTCAAGCTATTCTCCAAAGCGCCTGAAGGCAGGACAAGAAGCAACGGATGGAAACTCATCAAGGAGAGAAGCAACCTAGAACTAAGGAGAAACCTCCTGACAGAACAATTAACCAGTGGAACAACCTGCCTCCAGAAGCGGTGAATGCTCCAACACTGGAAGTTTTTAAGAAGAGACTGGACAGCCATTTGTCCAAAATGGTATAGGGTTTCCTGCTTGAGCAGGGGGTTGGACTAGATGACCTCCAAGGTCCCTTTCAACATCATCATCATCATCATTATTATTATTATTATTACTACAGCTAGATCAGCGGCTCCCAACCTTTTCCGTACCCCGCACCCCTAGAACGCTTCTGAGATAGTCTCGCACCCCTTAACAAAAGTTTGGAACAACGGCAGCGAATTATGCATATACATTATCATTTTGAAAACCCAAGTTTTTGCACCCCCTGGAACAGTGGTGGCGAACCTATGGCACGCGTGCCAGAGGCGGCACTCGGAGCCCTCTCTGTGGGCACACGCACCGTCGTCCCAGCCTCACCTCCTCCCATGGCCCCCTCCTCACCAGCAGCCCCCCCCAGAGGAGAGTCGCCCAGGGGCGCGGCCCATGCAAAACAGCACAGCCAAGGACATAGTAGCTGGACAGCGGGGACAAGACTCCGCCCTTGCACCCCATTGCACACAAATGCTGCTGCAGGGCACGGACGGAGGACGTGGTCACCATGGCGCTGCTGGGCTGCCTGGGTGATCTGTGGTGGGCCGTGGAAGTGGTGGGTAGCCCAGCGGGCAGGGCGGAACAGGGGTGGGGGGCGGTTTTTGGGGACTCGGTCTCTAAAAGGTTCGCCATCACTGCCCTGGAATATCGTCTTGCATCCCCAGGGGGTGCCAGCACCCCTGGCTGGGAACCCCTGCATTAGAGGGACATGAAGAGGAGCCCCCCTTAGACTGTTTAAATTTGGGGACTTTCCAGTCCTCTGGCTGCATATAGAGTCCCGGTGGCACAGTGGTTGGAATGTAGCCTTGCAGGCTAACTCTGCCCGCTGCCTGGAGTTTGATCCTGATTGGCTCAAGGTTGACTCAGCCTTCCATCCCTCCGAGGTCAATAAAATGAGGACCCAGGTTGCTAGGGGCAATAGGCTGACCTTGTAAACCGCTTAGCGAGGGCTGTAAAGCGCTGTGAAGTGTCATATAGGCCTAAGTGCTAAGTGCTATTGCTAAGTTACACATACTCCATGCTAACACCCAACAATACTATGCATGATCACGAACGGGCGTTAAATGAGAACCACTTATATCTTCAAAATGATTACACTTGCTGACTGTAAACCACAGAGAGAGTGCTGTAAAACATTATGGGGCGGTATATGAGTAAGTGCTATTGCTGTTGCTATTAAGTCTCCCCCTTAATTGAGATAATTGTTTGGGGTTTTCCTTCAGTGATCGGCTTTTTCTCCCAATTCAGAACCAAAATCCAACGTGGGGATCATTATCGGCTGCGTTGTGGCTGGTCTTGTCCTGCTGGGTGTGATTGCTGTTGGGATCTTGGTATTTCTTAGTAAGTCTCCTTTTCTGGGTGATGGAAGGAAGATGGGGAGGTTCCTCCCAAGTCTCTCCCTTTGGGGAGCTTCTTCAGGGCTTCCTCCTGTCCTGCTTTCCCAGCCCTCTTGGGGAGCCTCTGAGATCTCGGCCTCTTGCTGGGACGTCAGTCTTGACCTGGCTGAGTCTGAGGTTGGGACAATCCTGCCTTCTTCTGGGTTGGGAAGAAGCATCCCAGCTCCGTCCGTTTCAAAGACTTCGGTGGAAGAGCAGCAGAGAAGGATTTCCATGAAAATCTTCCTCCCCTCCCAGATGCTGCTACTTCCCCCCTTTCCCTCCATCCATTTCGGAGGCAGCAGGTCTCCCTTGGGACAAATCAGGAGATACTTTTGTATTTGAAGATCTTTCTGTCTTTGTTAATGGGACAAAATATCTCCTGGGGTTCTTCCGCCTACAGAGGGAGAGATTGGATGATCTCTGGTGGGTTCTTTTGAGCTTTCACTGATTTTTGTCTTTGCAAAGAGACGTCAAGGTGACCACAGAGCAGCACTAAGTGAGTGAATTGTCCTCTTTACCTGTAATCTCCAATTTAGAGCAGGGATCAGAGGCAACATCACTCAAGGGGTGTGTATGTGTGTGTGTGTGTGTGTTTGATCACAAAAGCACCTCATGAAGCTGCAGAGTTGTGCTATGTCTTCCTCTTCCTCCTAAGAACTAGACTGTGGAAGATGGGCCCCCTTTTCATTCATGCCAGGCTGTTTTGGGAGTGGAGACCCCCAAGGAGAAACATCTGGGACAAGGAACTCTCCAGAAGGTGAGAAGACCCAGCTGGTGAAAGGTCCCTCTGACTGAGACCTTGCTCTGTTTTCCAAGTAGGCGGAAAGGAAAATATTGGCCATTATTTAGTCCAGTGATGGCGAACCTTTTAGAGACCGAGTGTCCAAACTGCAACCCAAAATCCACTTATGCATCGTCGGGTGCCGGGTGGGCGTGGCCCATTGGGTGGGTGTGGCCCATTGGCAGGGCGGGGCTGCGATGGTAACGGCAGACTGGGTGGGACTAAAAAGTTCAATCAATCAATTCCAACATTGCAAGATCTTTTTTTTTTCCCCCACGAGAAGTTGAAATTGACTCATTGATTGAACCTTTTTTTTTTTTTTTGCACACGGCAGTGGAGGCCTAAAGTGAAAAGGTTTTATAAAACCCAGCTGAAGGCCTAGGACTGGGTGACGGTGCACGTGCCCACAGAGAGGGCTCTGAGTGCCTCCTCTGGCACCCGTGCCGTAGGTTCGCCACCACTGATCTGGTCCGTAAAAATAATGATAAAAATAACTAACTCTATCCCCACCCTTGCTCCATCCCTATTCCCCAACCCCATCCAATACCCATGCCAATCCTATCCCTTCCCTACCCTTATAAAATCTAATGAAATGTTTAAAAGAAAATAATGATCAAAATGAGGCATTTTGAGAAAAGAGCTTTCGTGGATGCCAGTTGGCTCTCCTCTTGCTCTCCCACTCAAAGGCTCTCTAAGCATGAACCGATGAGAAAAAAGATGTTGGAGCTATCACATTGGCTATTCCCTCTGGCTGAAGAATTGCTCTGTTTGGAGATAGACATATACCAGTGGTGGCGAACCTATGGCACGTGTGCCAGAGGCGGCACTCAGAGCCCTCTCTGTAGGCACGCGCACCATGCCCTGGAGATGGAACCGTCCCTCTTCAACCAGCCACCCGCTAATTCGCCGAGGTCCCACGGGACCCAACATGGCTGGTTTCCCTCCCCACTTCCATCCCTCCTGGCCTTGCATGCTCTCCTTTTCCCAGGCACGACCCACTGCATCGCCTCCTCAGCTGTCGGCCGTCCGTCCAGCTCAGAGGCGGCTTCTCTGAACTGCTGGGGGCGGGCTGCGGAACCCCAGAGTGCGCCAGTTGACGGGCCAGCGGGCTGTGACTGCTGACGGACACCGTCGGCCCCTATGCACTCGCTGCCCTCTGTGTGCGGGGGTCGATGGTGTCAGGCAGCAGCGGCCCCTGCTCCTGCCTCGCCTTGCCCTGCAACAACGGCACCCCTGCCCTGCCTCGCCTCACCCCTCAGGATGAGCCTTCTGCCCACTGCCCACCTGCCAGAGACCCCCTGGATCTCCCCCAACCCTGCCCGGCCCCCACAGGCGTCCCTCCCCATGAGCAGCATCGAGGTGACTGTCAAGCCCCTGGACTTGCCATGGGCCAGGAGATGGGGAGCATGCAGCCAGACACCACGGGTGCCATCCTCAGAGGAGACAGACACCAGGAACACTCCTCCGACCAGCTGGACAAGGGACTAGATAAGCAGGACGAGGGAGGGATTGTGCCTTACCTTGGCTGCGTCTCCCTTCCTCCAGCTGTCTCGTTATCAGAACAAATGGCTGGGATGGCAGAGGCTCCGTGGGTGTGTCTGGAGGGAGGGGAAAGGGTGGTGCACTACGCCTATTATCCATATGGACCGGATGCTGGCTTGCTAAGTGGGGTGGGGTTGGTGGGTGGAGCACAATTATGTAAAGCACTGGGAGCAATTCACTCCCAGTGCTGACTTTTCTTTTGCATTAAAGTTTGTTGGTCACCTGTTCCTTCTGTGTTTGGAGTTTATCAGCAGCTGGCAGAGGACAGCTGACAGTGACCACACCCACCTTGGCCACACCCACCCAGTATGCCATGACCACAGTCATGCCCTTTCAGTGGGCCACACCCACCTGGCACCCGGCGATAAATAAGTGGGTTTTGGGTGGTCTCTAAAAGGTTCGCCATCATCTGACATATACATTACGCATATATACATACATTTCAAAAATTCTTTCCTATGCCTTTTAGCCAAAGTGGTTTGGTTCAAACTCTCTCCAGATATTAGTGCAGTGGTTCTCAACCTTTTTAATGCCGCGACCCCCAACCGGTCATAAGTCGAGGACTACTCAACCGGTCATAAGTCGAGGACTACTCAACTGGTGCAGCACCGTTTGCAGAATGGGACTTTTGGCGGGCTCAGCAGGGCAGAGACAGCCTGGACAATTCCTATTGGCTTTTGAAAGCCAATAGAATTAGACTCTATTCAAGAGAGTCTATTCGATTGGCTTTCAAAAGCCAATAGAATAAAAGGGAGTAGCACAGCTAAGGAAAAGGGGGAAAAAATGGCGGACTGCGTTGTTTGGCGACCCCCCGTGAAATGGTTGTTCGACCCCAAATGGGGTCCCGACCCACAGGTTGAGAACCACTGTATTAGTGTATCTTTGATTGTGTGCGAGAGAGAGAAAGGGAGGGAGGGAGGGAGGTGGAGTCAGAAAGAGCTGAGTTTGTGCATCTGTAAGCCAGGAGAGCAATTTGCTCACCCGCTTTTCTTTCCCTCTTTTCCAGGAAGTGAAGAAGGATCTAATAATTCAGATCAGGGTAAGTCGGAGGGAACTGATGCTGTGGAAGCAATGCTGCCTCTTTGCAAGACTTCGGGTGCATGGGGGGGGTGGAAGAGATGAAAAGTGGGAGAGCCCCTCCCCCTTTTTAAAGGCCCTCCTAATATCTCCTCCCTGTGTTTCCTCTGTGTCCAGTTCTGGTGAAATAATTAGAATTGGAGCCAGTTTTGCTTTAATAGTGATGGTACCAGGTGAAACTAACTGGAAGACGGTGACTCCCAGTCCATTTTAGGCATGAAAGCCAGGCGGGTGTCACAAAATGCACTTTCCTTGCCTTGCTTTGTTCCTGAGGCGGAGAAGGGAAGCTCTCCCTGTGGGATTCAGGCAGGGGAGGCAGCCCAGAGTCTGCCTGGTGGAGCCTGGCCCCCTTTGGAGGAGAGAGAGCCCTCAATTCCTTGGTGGGAAATAGGGAAACCAACGGCGATGCCACAAACCCCAGTGGTTGGAGTCTCTTCCGGTGGCGTAGCTGAGACCTGGCTGACTCTGGAAGATGGGGGGATCCATGCTGGAAAGGGTTTAGGGCAGTGATGGCAAACCTTTTAGAGATGGAATGCCCCAAAACTGGCCCTACCCCTGCCCCACCCCCTGCCCCGCCCCATTCCACCCCCTAGCCCGCCCCCACTCCGCCCCACCCTGCCTGCCCGTAGGGCCATTCACCGCCTCCAGGGCCCGCCGCAGATCACCAGGCAGCCCAGCAGCGCCATGGCAGTCACGCCCTCTGCCCGTACCCCGCAGCATCAACTGTGTGTGTTGGGCCTGAGGGCAGAGTCTTGTCTACACTGCCTGGCTGCCATGTCCTTGGCTGAGTTGCTCCGCGTGGGCCACACTCGGGGGCGACCCTCCTCCAGGGGGTTGCTGGTGAGGAGGGGGTCGCGGGCGGAGGCAGGTCTGGGGCAACGGCATGTGTGCCCACGGAGAGGACTCCGAGTGCCGCCTCTGGCACCCGTGCCGTAGGTTCGCCACCACTGGTTTAGGGTTTGGCATCTCTTTCGGTTTTCAAGGGCCTTGCTCCCCAAGTTCCTGGTTGTAACACCCCATTTCTGAGTCTGGTTTCTATTTGCTGTTTTAAACATTCCGCATGGCATTTTACTGGAAGCCACCACCTTGGAGAGATGGGTGACATAGAAGTTTCGTACTAAATAAATAAAGAGTCCTCTGAGAAGGTCACGAAGCTGCAGAGGTTTAATGGTGAAGAGAGAGAGAGAGAGGGAAGGAGGGAGGGAGGGAGAGAGAGAGAGAGAGAGAGAGAGAGAAAGAGAGAGAGAGAAAGAGAGAGAAAGAGAGAGAAAGAGAGGGAGAGAGAGAAAGAGGGAGGGAGGGAAGGAGAGAGAGAAAGAGAGAGAGAAAGAGGGAGGGAGGGAAGGAGAGAGAAAGAGAGAGAGAGAAAGAGAGAAAGAGAGAGGGAGGGAGAGATAGAGAGAGGGAGGGAGACAGAGAAAAAGAGAGAGAGAGAGAGGGAGGGAGGGAAAGAGAGAGAGAGAAAGAGAGAGAGAAAGAGAGGGAGGGAGGGAGGGAGGGAAGAGAGAGAAGAAAGAGAGAGAAAGAGAGAGAGAGAAAGAGAAAGAGAGAAAGAGAGGGAGGGAGAGAGAGAGAGAGAGAGAAAGAGAGAGAGGGAGGGAGGGAAGGAGAGAGAGAAAGAGAGAAGGAGGGAGGGAAGGAGAGAGAAAGAGAGAGAGAAAGAGAGAAAGAGAAAGAGAGGGAGAGAGAGATAAAGAGAGGGAGGGAGAGAGAGAAAGAGAGAGAGAGAGAGGGAGGGAGGGAAGGAGAGAGAGAGAGAGAGAAAGAGAGAGAAAGAGAGGGAGGGAGGGAGGGAGCGAGGGAGGGAAGGAGAGAGAGAGAGAGAGAGAGAGAAGACCCGGACAAAGCGAAGACTCACTCTGTGTCTTCCTCTCCAATGCAGGAAGCATTGCAAGCACCCAGGCCATGTTGCAGCCCTCTTGCAGGTGAGTGTCCCCACTGAGAGCTGTATGGGGGCAGAGGGAAGAAGGGACGGGAGAGCTTTGAAGACCAAAGACCAACTGATGGTGAAGATACTTTGGGAAATCCTTTTTCTCTCCCCTGTTTGTCTCAAACACTGCAAGGGAAGGCATTTGGGGGAGAGGCAGTGGGGCTGTGGGGAGGGGTCTGCCTGCCCCCAAACTCTCCTCCTGCAAGGCCAGACTCTCAGGATCTGACTGTCTTGGATCAGGAGGCTCAGAGACTGCAAAGAGGAGATCTGAATGTTCCCCCTGCAAGGGGAAGGGAAAAGAGGGACAGAGGTCTTTTTGAGGGTCCTCTGCAGTCATGGATGGAGAGGGGGCTTCTCTCCCCTCCTTGAGCCCATCTGGGAATCCCTCCCTCCAGTTAATGCTAGGCTGCATTATCAGAGGGATAGAATCAAGATCACGTGAAGGGTTAATACCACTCTACAATGCCTTGGTAAGGCCACACTTGGAATACTGCATCCAGTTTTGGTCACCGCGATGTAAAAAAGATGTTGAGACTCTAGAAAGAGTACAGAGAAGAGCAACAAAGATGATTAGGGGACTGGAGGCTAAAACATAAGGAACGGCTGCTGGAATTGGGTATGTCTAGTTTAACGAAGAGAAGGACGAGGGGGGACATGATAGCAGTGCTCCAGTATCTCAGGGGCTGCCCCCCAAAAGAGGGAGTCAAGCTATTTTCCAAGGCGCCTGAAGGCAGGACAAGAAACAACGGATGGAAACTGATCAAGGAGAGAAGCAACCTAAAACTAAGGAGAAACTTCCTGACAGTGAGAACAATTAACCAGTGGAACAACCTGCCTCCAGAAGTTGTGGATGCTCCAACACTGGAAGTTTTTATGAAGAGACTGGACAGCCATTTGTCTGAAATGATACTATAGGGTTTCCTGCCTGAGCAGGGAATTGGACTAGATGATCTCCAAGGTCCCTTCCAACATCATCATCACCATCATCATCATCATTATTATTATTATTATTATTATTATTATTATGGATCATCGCACAGTCAGCCAGATGTTCAGACTGGATTTGGCATTTTGTCTACCTATCGAGTCCTTACCCAGGACCTGGGATAGGCAGATGTGGATGTTTGATGGTATTACAGATATCGTCGCAGGATGGAAGCAGTTCCTAGTAAGGCCGCCTTTTGCAATTGACTAATAGCGAATTTGTCAATGCCAATGGTGTTCAAGTGGTGCTCCAGTTGTTTTGGGATTGCACCCAAGGAGCCTATGACTATTGGTACTACCCTTGCTTGCTTTTGCCACAGTCTTTCTATTTCTATTTGTAGGTCTTTGTATTTTGTTATCTTCTCCAGTTCTTTCTCTTCTATTCTGCTGTCTCCAGGCACTGCCACGTCCACTATCCAGACTTTTTTGTCTTTCTTATCGACAATTGTTAAGTCTGGGGTGTTATGTTGCAGGTGCTTGTCTGTTTGAATTCTGAAGTCCCAGAGCAGTTTAATTTTATCATTTTCTATGACTTTCTCTATTTTATGATCCCATCAGTTTTTGCTTACAGGCAAATGATATTTTTTGCAGATCTTCCAATGCACCATTGTTGCTACTTTGTCATGCCACTGCTTGTAGTCAGTCTGTGCAATCTTCTTGCAACAGCTTACCAGGTGGTCCACTGTTTCTTCAGCTTCTTTGCATAGGCGGCACTTACTGTCTGTTGCTGTCTTCTCAATTTTGACTTTATATGCATTTGTCCTTAAGGCTTGGTCTTGTGCAGCCAGAATTAGTCCCTCAGTCTCTTTCTTCAATTTTCCTTCTTCTTCTTCTCCTTCTTCAATTTTTCTTCTTCTTCTTCTTCTTCTTCTTCTTCTTCTTCTTCTTCTTCTTCTTCTTCTTCTTCTTCTTCTTCTTCTTCTTCTTCTTCTTCTTCTTCTTCTTCTTCTACTTCTTCTTCTTCTTTTTCTTCTTCTTCTTCTTCTTCTTCTTCTTCTTCTTCTTCTTCTTCTTCTTCTTCTTCTTCTTCTTCTTCTTCTTCTTCTTCTTCTTCTTCTTCATGTCTCTGGGGGGCAACATGGACTAGAATTGAATGTGTGTATTTGAGGGGAGGCATCCATACGCATGAGGCGGGTTCTCGCCCATCTCAGGAACCAGACCCAACCCTGCCCTTCCCTCTTGTAAATCCCATCCAGCTGATCCTCCCTCTCTTGAGGCTGCGCTTCCGCTCCTTCCAGTGGCTGATCTTCCTCTTGGCTCCCTCTTAAACTGACCTTGCCTACTTTTCCCCTCCTTTTTGCAGCACGAATGGACATTCCCATCGAAAGGAAAGAGGACAGAAGATGAAAACAACCGCTGTCTGAATTAGGCCGGACTCTTAGAAGGAGCCCTTCAGACCCTTCCAGCATGCTGGAACCAGGATGTATTTTGGGTCTTGCTCTTCAGGTGCCTCATTTTATGCAGTGGCCCAAGAGTGAGGAGACCCCTTGATTGATGGGAAAGAAGGCCCCCATGTTACCACAGATGCTTTCTGAGCCGAGGAGTGAAAGTGAAAAGTGAAAGTGAAACGGGCGGGGTCTTTCGCCTATTTCTTTTTGGGTTTCCCAGATGCCTTCAAGAGCTGGCCATCTTTGAGAGCCTATAAAGGGGACTATTTCAAGCAGCCACATCCATCCCGGGGCCTGTGGGCTATGTGCAGCCTTGGACAGCTACTAATGCAGTCCCACAAAACCTTTGGCGTTATAATAAAAATATACAAAGTTATTGATATGCATTTATATTATATATTTTGTATGCGGCCCAGGACAATTCCTCCTCGTTCAATGCAGCCCAGGGAACTTCACCTGGTGGCTAAGCAACCAGCCCTACACCAAGGACTGCCATCGAAACTTTGGGCCTGGGTCACATGTGGCCCTGGGGGGGGGTCCTGGAGCAATTTCACCTGGTTGCTAAGCAACCAGCCCTACACCAAGGACTGCCATTGAAACTTTGGGCCTGGATCACTCGTGGCCCTGGAGGGCGGTCCAGGCTAAGCAACCAGCCTTATGTGGGATTCATTTCTAGTTCTGTGGTGGTGAACCTATGGCACGGGTGCCAGTGGCGGCACTCAGAGCCCTCTCTGTGGGCACGCGTGCTGTCGCCCCTGTCCTAGGCCTTCAGCTGGGTTTTATAAAACCCTTTTGCTTTAGGCCTCCGCCGCTGTGTGCAAAAAAAAAAAAGTTCAATCAATCAATCAATTCCAACTTCTCGCGGGGGAAAAAAAGATCTCGCAAAGTTGGAATTGATTGATTGAACTTTTTAGTCCCACCCAGTCTGCGATTACCATGCAACCACGCCCACCAAATGGGCCACACCCATCGAATGGCCCATGCCCACCCGGCACCCACAATACATAAGTGGGTTTTGGGTTGCAGCTTGGGCACTCGGTCTCTATAGGGTTCACCATCACTGATCTAGTTGAAATAAACAATCACCAGCCAAAACTTCCAAGAGAAAACAATGGTAATTTATTTGTACCCCTTCACTGGCTTACAGCTTACAGTTTACAGCTTAATCATGCTATAATCCTGTCATCACAACCTATCCAAAGCTTCTAAAATGAATACATTATCTCTGCCCCTGATTACATCTCCCACTCCCCTAATTCTATCACCCCTGGCCCTTATTTATGAATTACCTTTTATGATTGTTAGTTCCTAGGGTTTGTCTCTAAAGTTGCTATCATATCAGTAAATTCTAGTTAGGACCAGTTTTCAGCTAGTAGAGACCTTCCTAGATACAATTCTCAAGCTTCAATCTAGGCCAGGGATAGGCAACCTTGGCTCTTTTATGACTCGTGGATGGCTCAGGAATTCTGGGAGTTGAAGTCCACAAGTCATAAAAGAGCCAAGGTTGCCTACCCCTGATCTAGACCATGATATATATATTTAATGTATATGTGTGTGTGTGTGTGTGTGTATGTTAACTAGCAAAAATGCACAAACACCAGGAAATTATAAAACTATAAAAAGTTTTAATAGGATAAAATACCAAGCTTTCGCTGGAAGCTGCCAGCATTGTCAGGGTAACTTCCAGTCGATGGGGGAAGCTATTTATAAATGTGGCGCTCTTTGCGCCCGGCTCCTAGACCTTGTTACAGGTCCCAGCCAATCCACCTGCGTTTTGATCGTAATTTCCGTATTGCTAGCCGTAATTTCCTTGCTTGTATCAATATCACTACCCTTTCTCCCCTCCTCATGTGACCGTAAGCTGAGGGGGCCCCTTAGTTTCATATGATCAAATGTACGTTGCCCGTGTTGTCGTTGTTTGTTCTCCTCACCTTTCCTAGCACTCCCCATCCTCGTTCTCCTCCCACCTTCCTTCTTTGTATGGTCCTTTTTCACAACTACATCCTCATTGTTTTTCCCTACGTCACGGGAGTCCATTGTGGTTGTATCATCATAATTCTCATTCTCCAGTGCTGCTCCGCTAACTTTCCCTTTCGTTTTCTCATCAATGGGAACATTTTTAACGGCTTCCCCGGAGTTCGTAACACCCTCAAGTTGGCTGTTGCCCTCCCCTCCATACGGGACCCTCTCCAGGAGGAAACAGATGGAGATGTGCCTGGCACAACAAACACTAAGGACATGGCATATGAGCTGGTATTCTAAATCGCTGGAGAAGATCGGAACGTGAGTTGTACGATCGAGGGAGGAACGCTACATCTATTCCCCCACATGATCGAACTGATGGGGTCTCGAATGGCCCCCCGCAAACCACGTATATCCATTCAACTCCCGGTCAGCATCAACGGGGTAATCCCCCGGCGAGTGGAACTGGTGGATATACGATAACAAGAGAAGAGGGAGGGATTCTCTACCGGTTGATTTGATAGGAGAACGGGGCAATGAGCGGTGAATACCGACTATTGCGACAGAAGAATCCCCTGGTGGAGAAAAAGGAAAAGGGATTTGACAAAATATTGACCAGCAGCGAATGGCACGGCAGAGTGCCATTGTTAACACGGCAAAAAGGAACAGCCCTCATGAACAAAGGGGGAGGGATGTCAGATTGGATGATAAGCAAACTGGCGTGTATGGAAGGAGATAGGAGAGTGGATATTGTAGAACGGGGTGAGATACCTAGGTTATGATCACTAAGGGTGAGGAGGACCGATCGAACTCAGTTGAGGCACACAAAGGGGCTAGAAGAAAATTGAACGATCCGCACCCCCCACCTAGTAAAGAAAGTTGCACACAGGGAGGTGGGAGAATAGAAATGATTACCACCAGAAAAAGAGGTGAAAGGATCCTTTCTAGCCCCAGAGTTAACGACGGAGGTATGCATGGCGGAGTACGGAAAGGAGATAGGAAAGAACCACATGCTGACGTGAGATATGCACTCGGAACTCAACACAGTCAGCTGGGTCCGGTTACACGATCTAGAAGCCGGATGCAGGCAATTAGAAACTGTATATAGGCTTCTCCCAATGACTGCTTTTTTAAGCCCTGACGATGTCGGGTGTACCCGACGAAAGCTAGGTTTGGTTTATTAAATATTTTTCTATCTATTCTCTTGGTGATCATTATTTATTCATTTTTATAGCATGGATATACCCAAGAGTTGGATTTTATATATATATATGTTAAATATAGGTCTTTGGTTGTTTGGGTTTTCTCCCGCGTAAAATTGGAAGTGTCTTGGCAACGTTTCGACGAAGTCACATTCGTCATCTTCAGGCTGGTGTTTTTAGCTTCTTGCTTTGAGCAGCAATGTGTGGTTTTAGCTGTTTCTTCCTTTTAACTGCCAGTGAGGGTATGAACTGATTGGATGGGAGCTTGGCTGTGTTCTGATTGGGTGGAGGTGTGTTCTGAATGGTTAGGGGCTTGGCTGTGCTCTGATTGGCTGGGGGAGTGTTCTGTTTGGTTGTGCTCAGGTTAGTCTGAGTTGCAGAGGGGTTTAAGATTTTGGGGTTAGGGAGTCGTTTGTCAATAAGGGCAGGTTTCCAAATGGCTGGTAGGCGGGAGGTATCATCTCGCTTGTTCATGCTGTGTGGGCGTTTTTCTATCTCGATGGCTTCTCTGATTATTCTGTTATTAAAATGTTCACTTTTGGCAATGGTTCTGGTATTTTTAAAGTCAATTTCATGTCCTGTGGCTTTAAGGTGTTGGACCAGGGAAGATGTTGGTTCCTCTTTTTTGACTGAGTTCTTATGTTCTTCAATGCGTGACACAAATTGACTTTAAAAATACCAGAACCATTGCCAAAAGTGAACATTTTAATAACAGAATAATCAGAGAAGCCATCGAGATAGAAAAACGCCCACACAGCATGAACAAGCGAGATGATACCTCCCGCCTACCAGCCATTTGGAAACCTGCCCTTATTGACAAACGACTCCCTAACCCCAAAATCTTAAACCCCTCTGCAACTCAGACTAACCTGAGCACAACCAAACAGAACACTCCCCCAGCCAATCAGAGCACAGCCAAGCCCCTAACCATTCAGAACACACCTCCACCCAATCAGAACACAGCCAAGCTCCCATCCAATCAGTTCATACCCTCACTGGCAGTTAAAAGGAAGAAACAGCTAAAACCACACATTGCTGCTCAAAGCAAGAAGCTAACAACACCAGCCTGAAGATGACGAATGTGACTTCGTCGAAACGTTGCCAAGACACTTCCAATTTTACGTGGGAGAAAACCCGAACAACCAAAGACCTATATACAAATACCCGTGAAAACCTCAGAAAACAAATATGTTAAATAATATATATATATGTTAAATAATAAAATATACGAACACCAGGAAGTTATAAAACTATACAAAGTTTTAATAGAATAAAACCAAGCTTTCGCTGGCTTCTGCCAGCATCATCAGGGTAGCGTCCAGTTGATGGGAGAAGCTATTTATAAATGTGGTGCTCTTTGCACTCGGCTTCTTGACCTTGTCATGGGTCCCAGCCAATCCACCTGCATTTTGATCGTAGTTTCTGTATTGCAAGCTGTAATTTCCTCACTTTCCCCGCCTGTGCCGACACCACAGCTCTTCCCTCCTCGCATGACTGTAAGTGGGGGGAGGGGACTCTTTAACTCCACGTAGTTAAATGTGCACTGTCTGTGTTTATGTTGTTCATTCCCCCCATCCTCCCTCTTAACACTCCCCATTTCCGTTCTCCTCCCCTTGTTTCTCTGTCTACGATCCTCCCTCACAACTACATCCTCATTGTTCCTCTCCGTAGCCCAGGATTCCACTATGTTCGCATCATCCTGTTTCCCGATCTTTCGTATCGCTTTGTTAACTCCCTTTTCTATTTTCTCTTCAACGGGGGTAATTTTAACATCCTCCCCAGAATTCCTGGCACCCACAAGTTGATTGTTAACCCCTTCTCCCGAGGGGGCTGTCCCCTCACTGTTGTTTATACATTCACTCATTACTTGGGGGTGTGCAACCCTCCTTAAAGGGAGAGAGGCGGGGTCCTTGCGATCATGATTTGCATCTCCTTGTACATTCCTACGGGGGGGGGGGTTGTTCCTCTCAAATGTCTGTGGGAGCGTGTGGAGGCTCTAAGACAGTGGTTCTCAACCTGTGGGTCGGGACCCCATTTGGGGTCGAACGACCATTTCACGGGGGTTGCCAAACAACGCAGTCCGCCATTTTTTCCCCCTTTTTCCTTAGCTGTGCTACTCCCTTTTATTCTATTGGCTTTTGAAAGCCAATAGAATAGACTCTCTTGAATAGAGTCTAATTCTATTGGCTTTCAAAAGCCAATCGGAATTGTCCAGGCTGTCTCTGCCCTGCTGAGCCTGCCAAAAGTCCCATTCTGCAAACGGTGCTGCACCAGTTGAGTAGTCCTCGACTTACGACCGGTTGGGGGTCGCGGCATTAAAAAGGTTGAGAACCACTGCTCTAAGATTATAACAAACAGCCTCCCCATCTTCCCATAGTTCTCCTGCATTCCCAAGGTGAGACCAGCTCAATAGAGAAATGTCCTGGGCGGAGTTAATTGCAAAGTTGTTAAGAGTGTTAAGAGGGAGGATGGGGGGAGAAGAAGTCCCTCCCCCTTTGGAGAAGAAGTCCCTCCCCTCTTCTCTGGGACAGCCTCTCAAGTAAAGACAGGCAGTTATTATGACACACACACACACACACACACACACACACAGAGAGAGAGAGAGAGAGGGAGAGAGAGATACAAACAGACACAGACATATCGCAAATTCTTCTGTGCGATAGGCTGGGCATACCTCGCTCTCACAATGGTTCCTCATACCATTTAACCTTCCTTTATCAGCTTTGCTGCCCCTCTCTGACTTTTTCTGGGCTCCCAGCATCTTTTTTGAATCGTGGAGACCAGAATTGGACCCCGACATGATCATTTCTCGTCTTCCTTTCATGTTGCCCCTCGGTTGATGCAGCCCAAGACTGCCCTGGTTTTTTGGGCAGCTCCACCTGATCCCCCCCCTCCACTGCCAGGGGCTCTGGGTGGTCTCCCCTCCCCCTCGCCTGCGCCCCTCCCCCCAGGCCCAGGTAACCCTCCCGCTTTTCCCAGCCCCCCCTCCATTTCTGCCCCTCCCCCCAAGAGGCGGAAAGCCTGGAAGGGGATTTCCTGATGGAACTTTCGCTTTCCTTTCCCCCGCCTGTCCAGCCGGTTGCGCCTGGACCTTTGCCTAGCAACAGTAACGACATGGGCACAGGTTTTTTTCTACTGGTTGAGCTTGACCAATCACCCGCTTCTGGTCTGGTTTGTTGCGCTGTTGAGCGTCCGGAGCGCGTCTTTTTCTGCCTGCGACTTCTGGAGAGCGGATCGCAGTTGGAGGATCGCGGCCAGGATGGCGCTGCGCTCTCTGTCGCTCCTGGTGTTGGTGGGGGTCGCCCTGCGGGAGAGCTGCCTCGGTGAGTCCCTTTATCTCCTGGTGGGGATCCATCCAGGAAATCTCTCCTTCCCTCCCCCAAAGATTATTGCCAGGAAGAGAAGCCCGATTCGGTCCTCTTTCGAGTCCGCTCCCCCTCTGGCCCCTCTCCGAAGGGACCCCAAAGCGCGGATGGGACTTGGCTGCCTCCCCCCTCCCCCCCAGGAGAGCCCCTCTGGGAACGGGACAAGGGGGGGGCCTCCAGAGGTCAGTCAAGTCTACCTGGGCGCCCCCGAGCGCGGTTCTTTCCCTCCCCCAAAGTGGAGGTTGTGGGAAAGCGGCGTTTGCAGGGACCAGGTCAGTTCCCAAACTTCCTGGCTGCCTTCGCACAACCCCTCCGCCTGCCTAGTTGCTCCTCAGAGAAACTCTCAGTGCAGCAGCTTTTCCAAAGGCATTTCCAAAACTGCCAGGATCTGAAGGATCAGAGAGGCTGGGCTGGAGGCAGGAGGAGAGAAGCCCCTCTGGGTGGGGAGCCTGGAAGGAAGGCCTTGCTTGGACACAGACAGGCCCCAACTGACCGGCCCTTCCTGACCTGAGGAGGATTCGTGATTGTGAGGACGCCCAACCTGCGTTACGTTCACACCTTTCTCCTCTCAGGCAGACTTCAGCCTCCCTCACTGCTCAGCCCCACGAGGGGAAGAAGCGGGTTCTGGATCACTGAGGGGCCGATCCCCCCTCCTTCTGTTGGAGAAAAGCTCTGATCCGTTTGAAATTTTCCCAGAGCAGGAAGTGGATCTGGGGATCCCTCTCCCAAAATCTCTGAGAAGCCGCTGGGATTGTGGGGAGGAGCAGGAAAAAGGAGGCCGAGGCCTTTGCCTTGGGAGACTGGGAAGGACTGGGAGACCATACTGGAGGGACTGGGCAGTGGGACTACAGGTACTCCTCGACTTACAACAGTTCATTTAGGGACCGTTCAAAGTAACAATATCATTGAAAAAAGTGACTTATGACCATTTTTCACACTTACGAACATTTTAGCGTCCTCATGATCACTGTGCTGGTCAGAGTATATAGCTATCTGGTCAGAGTATATAGCTAGCTTTGGAATTAAGAACTGTCTCATTAAGGGAAAGCCTTCTTGGTAACGTAGTTTATGTTACCTGGTCATATCTGTGTTTGGATTGGCCACTCAGAGGGACTTCTGTTTAATTACGGGATATCCTGGCTATGTGCCAGTCAGCGAGATCTCTATGAAATTCAGCCACGAGGATTGTTACCTTCATTAGTATGGAAGAAGCTAATCTTTTTTTACCTGTGTGATGGGTCCAGATTACAATCTATATCTCAGAAGAATATCTACAGTAACTGTGAGTTAATGTCTTGAGGATGCCTGATAATAAAGTAATTTGCATGAATCCCTTCCGTGGAGTTAATTCTGCCTGTATCACGTAATACAGAATAAGTTACGTGACCAGGATTTGGATGCTTGGCCACTGGTTCACATTTATGTTGGTTGCAGTGATCCCATTTTGCAAACTTCTAACAAGCAAAATCAATGGAGAAGCCAGATTCACTTAACAACGGGGTTATTAATTTAACATCTGCAACGATTCACTTAACAACTGTGGCAAAAAATTGTAAAATGGAGCAAAGCTCACTTAAGAAATGTCTCACTTAGCAACAAAAATGTGGACTCGGTTATGGTCGTAAGTCGAGGACTGCCCGTATTTATTTCTCTGGGGGGCTTTGGAGGTCCTGCCCTTTTCCATGCAGACCCAGGTTCTGCCCAAATAAATCCCGTGAAGGATCCTGAAAATGATCTTTAAGCTCTTTGGCGCCCTGGAAGAATTTCTGACCTGAGGAGCTTTCAGAATGGAGACCCAGAAGGGGCCTTGGGGATTTCCATCAGCTGAATCGATTTCCCAGCAGCCTTTTATTCATTTTACTTTCTTTTAATTCTTTTAATCCACTTACAAGCTGTTGTTTTTCTGTTCCTTGGGCAGCCTCAGAGTCTCTTCCATGTTTGTGTTTTGACAATGAAAACTAAACAGTGACTTAATAGTGATTTTCTTTAGTCCTTGTTAGTCACGTTTAGCATAGTTTTATGTCTTGTGACTTTAGTCTGTCCTCCAATCCAAGGAAGGGCTGAAGAAACTTTGATGCTGCTCAGATGGGAGTTTGCATGATAGAAACTGAAATAATGTTGTATGTTTGCCAGAGGGGCTTTAAAGGTGACAGGACCCTCCATACAGAGGCTGAGTTTGGGAAGAGGACCACAGCAGAGCCCCCCCCCCACCCAATACTGGAGTTGGCAGCAGGAACTCCCAAGCAGCCTCAGTGGGGGCAGGGGGTGGGGCCAGGGTGGAGAGGCCCCGTGGGTTTCTTCCGGGTGAGGAAAATTCTGGGAATTGAAGTCCAAGTGGCTGAATCTGAGAAATTAATTTAGGCCTTTAGGTTGAGAGTCACTGATCATGTGAAGAGTTGGGTAGCTATGATCAACCCCCTCCCAAGCTTTGTGGAAGGCCTTGCTGGAAGGGGGGAGTGTGCAATTGGGGCAGTTTGGGGGACCCGACATTCCCCTCCTCTCTCACACCCCACCTTCTCTGCCCTCCAACCCTTCAGCCCCCCCCCAGAAGCTGCTTTTCTCCCTCTCAGTTGTTCCCTGCTTCCACCTCTTGCCTCCCCTTCCATCCTCTCCCCCTTCCTTTCCCCCCAGCTCTCTCCTTCTTCTTCTTCTTCTTCTTCTTCTTCTTCTTCTTCTTCTTCTTCTTCTTCTTCTTCTTCTTCTTCTTCTTCTTCTTCTTCTTCTTCTTCTTCGTCTTCTTCTTCTTCTTCTTCTTCTTCTTCTTCTTCTTCTTCTTCTTCTTCTTCTTCTTCTTCTTCTTCTTCTTCTTCTTCTTCTTCTTCTTCTTCTTCTTCTCCTCCTCCTCCTCCTCCTCTTCTTCTTCTTCTTCTTCTTCCCCTTCTTCTTCCCCTTCTTCTTCCCCTTCTCCTCCTCCTCCTCCTCCTTCTTCTTCTTCTCCCCCCAGAGCCTCAGATTGGGCCTCCATAGGATGAGGGTCCTTGACTGGAGCCCCTTAACTCTGCCCCTCTGGGTCCCTTCCAGGTGCCTCCTCACACTCCCTGAAGTATTTCTCCACCGTCATCTCAGAGCCCAGTCAGGGGCTGCCCCATTTTGTCTCTCTGGGATATGTGGACGGTCAGGTCTTTGTTCACTACGACAGCAACAGCCGGAGGATGGAGCCTCGAGTCTCCTGGATGGAGAAGGTGGGGAAGGAGGATCCCCAATACTGGGATTGGAACACCAAGGCAGCCCGTGGCAATCAGGAGGAATTCAGAGGAAACCTGGAGACTCTGAGGCTTCGCTACAATCAGAGCGAAGGTGAGTGATGGGTCGGGTGGCTCCTCCTGCCCCATAATCCCCTCCCCAGGAACCAGAGGGGGGAGAAAGGGGGGTCCCTTCAAAGGGAAAGGCTGCATCCCCACATTTAAAAAGGTTTTTAATATGTTTATTCTGTTTTTAAAAAGTCAGTATAAGCTTGTCGTTGCCTCCATAGCTGATGTTTTCTGCCAATTGCAGTTAATAAAATCATTTTTTAAGTTCTCCCTCTATCTCTCTGTATATCGATAGGATGTGGATATGGATATAAACTGAGTTAAAAGAGACTGAAATCTCCCCTCCCCCCATGAAAGTTGGAGGGTCCTGGCCTTGGTGGATCCCCTGCTGTGGGGGAGGGAGGGGATCCCCTCCCGGAAAAGAAGGAGGTGGATCCTAAGGAGATCCTGGGGGAAGCAGGTCCCTGTTTTTCTGTCTGTTTCCACCCCAGAGAAATGAGAGATCAACTGCAGATCCACCTGGGCTGACTAGATCCCTCTCTTTCACCTCTTTCTGGAGGGATGAGGGGGGCCCAAAATGGCAGGAGCTTCTTCTCACCCTCCAGGTGGAAGGAGAGGCCAGGAGGCCAAATGGGGCAGGGGGGGCTCTGGGGGGGTGAGCACAGGATCACTTCCAGGATCCCCCCAATCTTGAGGGGAAAAAAGGACAGAAAAGGAAGAAACCCCCATTTGGGGCCCTTCCTGAGTCGCTCAGAGCGCTGATGGCTTCCCATCCTTGGTCCCTCCGGCTGGACTCCTGCGCTGCCCTCTTGGTGGGGCTGCCCTGGAGGGGGGAGGCCTTCTTTAGCAGCCCCCCCACCTTTCTGCCATCTTTGGGGCAGAAGATTCACCTCCAAGGAACCTGATTTAGGGGAGAGATTGGAAGCAAATATCTGTGTCACCAGAGGCTGCTTTGGGCTGAGGTAAACTTTCTCCACAAACATCAGCCATTTTCCCTCCTTTCATCCCAAGGAGGTGCAGCCCCCCTTCTTCTGCCCTTTCCTTGCCCATCCCCCCCAGGCAGACACCCCAGAGATCTGCCTGTTCTGCCCCTGATCCCCAGGATCGCCCCAGATCCCTCCAGGCCCCCTGCTGGCCTCTCAGGGGAGCAGAGCTGGACCCAGAGGGCTCCCCCTGGTGGAGAAAGGGGGAAGGAGAGCGGCCAGAGTGGAGGGGAGCCTCTTCCCAGGCCAAACAGCCCCAAATGTCCCAACCTTCCCTCCAAGGGAGGCTGCTTCCACCCCCCCCCCCATCCTCTGGGTCGCCCCCTCTGGACCTTCCCCACCTCCCTCCTGCCCTTTTTGGAGGTCTGGGGACCAGAACTGCACCCGATATTCCAGATGTGGTCCCTCCCTTGATTTACGCCAAGGCTTTGTGACATTAATCTCTGTGTTTTCAATACATTTTAATGATCTCTGATATCCTGTTCGCTTTTTGAATTTTTTAATATAGTTTGTATTGAACCTTTTCAACAAAAGATATAAACTAATAGAAAGTAACATAAAGGGAATAAAAGAAAGAAATCAAAAAGAAATTAAAAAGGACAAGAAAAGAAAAAAATTGGAGAAAAAAGACATAAAGAAGTGGCTTCTGATATTCTTCACAGCAGTTAAAGATATAAATATATTTTAGCCTCTCTAAAGCAGCCTTTCTTAACCTCTTGACCCTGGAGGAACCCTTGAACTATTTTTCAGGCCTCGGGGATCACCTGAACATCCAGGCTCAGAGATGGGGCAGAATTGTTTCCTGCGTAGATCTCTAGAGATGCATTAACAGCGTTCTCACACTAATAATAAAACTTGCCTTTTCAATGTGATCCCTGTGCTTTTGTTTTTGCAGCACAAATATTAAATTCTGTGCCAAACTTGCAATGAACAAAAATAGATTTCATCTTCAACTGAAGTAAGACGGTTTCTGTCTTAGCTTTTGATGCTTGTGAAATAGGACAGAGCTGGTTCTCAGAAGTTGAAAACTGCAGCTAGATTTTCAGTACCTTCCTGTGAATGGCAGGAGACTCTTCTTGGGCAGAAATCCAGAACCTCTTTTTTCCCCTGAGCAGATCAGGGAATCTCCTCTCGAGAGCAGGATCAGACTCAGCTCAGGAGGATCTTCCTCTCCCTCCAAATGTTCCTTTGTGGCGCTTCAAGGCTTCATTCCCACATTGCCCAAAAACATGGTTTCTTTCTGGTTAGCCCAAAAAGGGAGCCAGCCTTCTGACTTGGTGATATTTGTGAACATAGATCAAGATTTATGGTCACAGGGATCCTTGCAAGCTTCTTTGCAGATCGACCAGGTTCTCTCTGAGGCCATGAGATTCTCAGTCCCTCTTTGTAGCTGCAGATTCCTGCAAATGTTCCCTCTCTGGGATCCCTTCCTTTCCCCCCAAGTGTCTCCCCAAGAGAGGAACTGCAGAAGGAAAGATGGAGGAGGCTCCCTCCCTCCGTTTCTTCTGCGACTCCTTCTTTTCTCGGTCTCCCTTGGGATCCTCCGCTGGCTTTTCCAGCTTCCCTTTTCCTGGGGAGGTTCAGGGGCTCCATCCTGGGAGGGAGGGAAATGCAGGGAGGCAGGTAGTGATGGGGGCTTTCTTTCCCTTGAATGTGAGGGAGGAAATGGGGGAGTCAGTGCCTGTGTCAAAGTCCCTGCAGGGAAGGGTGTCTGTGCCTATCTTGAGGACTCCCCAAACCATCATCTTCTTCCTATTTCAGGCCTTCACACATTGCAGTTGATGTATGGCTGTGAGCTCCAGGCTGATGGCAGCAAAAGAGGGTTTATGCAGTATGGATACGATGGGAGGACCTTCCTCGTCTTCGACAAGGAGACCCTCACCTGGGTGGCTCCCCAACCCCAGGCCCAGATCACCCAGAGAAAATGGGACGCTGATCCAGGATATAATCAGAGACACAAAACGTACCTGGAGGAAATCTGCATTGAATGGCTGGAGAGGTATCTGTCCTACGGGAAGGAGACGCTGCTGAGGACAGGTGAGCCTCTGGATGCAGGCTGGATTTTCCTCCTTTATGGTTGGATTTCTTGAGCACATTCAGCCACTTTGGGTTCCTGGTCTGAAGTCTGACTGCCCAGGAGGGAATCCTCCCCTCCCCTTCCAGCCCCTCTCCATGACGCGGGAAGCCCTGATTGGTTCCCCTTGCCAGGCCGCCATTCCATGGACCAGGAAACGCAGCCTCTGCCTGGCGGGTGTCTGGGTGGATCAGGCAGGAGAAGCTCTTGGGGTGTCCTGTTCATTCCCCACAGTGAGGCAACAAGGGCACTTGGGTTTCTTCAGTGAAATCCCCATTAGTCAAACTGTAGTCAAGTGTGAGGGGCTCCCTTAATTTCCCCCCATTAACTCTTCTTCTCCCCACATCCCGCAGGGGGCTCCTTCCCTGCCTTGCACCTGATAGTGCACCTCTCTCACCCACCACTAGGGGGCTCCATATCTACCATTAATAAGACATCCTCAGTGCCCCAATTGGGCAAAAAAGGCCAAAGTTGAGGGGTTCTTTTCTTCCCAAAGTTTCTGTGGATCTTTCTCTTAAACCCCAAACAGGTTCCCTCCATTCTGATCTAGTGCATCTTTCCTCAAAACAGCCCCCTCCCCACCTTCAGGAACACCCCCTCATCCCACAAGCTCAAAGTATAATAGTTTCCTGTGATTTGCTGTTATGTTCCCATCTAGACAACCTCTTCCCACTGGGTCGACCCCTTCCCCTCTGGGCTCCTTGACCCCCCCTTCCCTAGTATTAGCTGTATTAGTTGTAGGGAGAAACTTCTGTGTTGTTGTTTTGAAAGGGAACTTAAAAGAGCAGCTCCACTTTCCCTCCCCTGAAGGAAACAATCCAAGATCACTCAGAGTTCAAAGCAGCCAGAGAGGAATTTCCTTGGACCCTCAATTTGCTGCTGGAGGTTTTTCAGGCTGAGTCCCTGGGAAGGACTCACAATCCGGAGTTCTTGTGGTTGAGGATTTTCCAGATCTGGAGCATTTCCTAAAACTCTTGGAGATGCTGCAGGTGTAGAGTGGGAAGTAGTGGGAAATTTTCCTGCCCTGTCCAAGTGTCCCACCCACCTTCCAGGCTCTGGAGAGGCTCAGAGCTAATTCCGGGGGTGCCGTTTCTGCAGAGCCCCCAGAGGTGACCATGAGCAGCAGGATGGAAGTGGAGGATGGGATGGAGATGCACGTCTGCCGCATGCATGGTTTCTACCCAAGGGAGATCGAGGCCTCCTGGATGAGGGACGGGGAGGTCTGGCTGCAGGATACCCGACGTGGCTCCGTGGCCCCCAACGCGGATGGGACCTTCCACTCCTGGTTCAGCATCTGGATCGATCCCAAAGAGAGGGGCCGCTATCGGTGCCACGTGGAGCACGACGGCCTGCCGGAGCCTCTGGACGTGGCTCTGAAGGGTGAGAGGCTGCAGGAAGGGAAAGGCTGGGCTCTTGGGCAGGCTGGAGGGCTGTGGGAGAGGAATCTGACCCCCAGATGTGTCCAGATGTGAGCATACTTGATCTTTAAGCCAGGGCTTTTCAACCAGTGGTATGGGTACCACCTGTGGTACATTGGCACCTGGCAGATGGTACGTGACCATCCTAGAAAAGTGGTAGCAGGGGAGGGGAATGAGCTGAACCAGTGGCAGCACCACACAAGCCTGAGCGAGAGACGGCTGGAGCTGCAGGGCTGTCAGGGCTCAGCGGAAGCGCCAGGATCAGTGCCGCTTTCCAGCTGATCGGCGCTTCGGGACTGTCAGGGCTAGTAGAAGTGCCAGGATCAGCGCCAGGCTCCAGCTGGAGCTCGGCGCTGATCCTGGTGTTTCTGCTGAGCCCTGAAGAAGCACCAATCAGCTGGAAAGCAGCACTGATCCTGGCACTTCTGCCGAGCCCCGAAGAAGCACCAATCAGCTGGAATGTTGCAGCCTCTCCAGGGTCTTGTGATGCTTGGCAACTGATTCATATTTATGACGGTCACAGTGTCCCAGGGTCATGTGAAGTGACCAAAACCTGCTGCAACCACGCAGCAGATGGGAATAAAAACCAAACACCCCCACCCCACCCCCGCTGACAATCCTCAACAGAAATGCTCACAACAATGGAAACCTCAGATAGGAGGAAGAGCACCGCCGGGCGGGCAGGTGTCTTGCTCGGCTGTGACTTGGGGGGCATTTTTCAGTGCCATTGTAACTTCGAACAGTCACTAAGCGAACTGTTGTAAGTCGAGGACTACCTGTACTTTATCACTTTTTTGCTTTTTTTTTTTTGGTCATCAAGTTTTTGACACCTTGCTAGGCGACTGGTGGTACTCGGATACTGCTATATCCTAAAAGTGGTACAATGGGTGAAAAAGTTGAAAAGCCCTGCTTTAAGCCACTGATTTTTCCAGTGTTTGAAGTTGGTGAAGCTGCAGGGACCAGACCATAGAAATGGCTTCAGGGGATGCAAAGGAAACTCCAGAATCCCCTCACAAGAGCTGGCAGATCCTGATGAAATCCTCTTAGATCCTCTGTTAGCTTCTGTCCCTCCCCTCTTTCTGGCCTCCAGCAGAAAAACAGCAGAAACAGATTTGCTTTTGTTTAAAATTCCTAAAGTACAAGAATCAGGAGGTGTCTGGTAGCCCCTTTTCTGAAGACAAATTTTGACTAAAATGGATGAATTGCATCCCACTTCAGGAAATGCAGAGAGTGGCTGGACTGATGCACCAGGAGTTCGAAAATGGGCCACCAAGTCTTGAGTTTTTCCCCTCAGAGACTAACACGATTTTCCTGCTTTTTAAAGATCAAAATATTGTTTGTTGCTGCTGTTTGAAATAAATTACACATTATTTTATGTTATGATATGGGAATTCCTGAGGCTCAGCATAAAACCCCAGAGAAAAAGCCCTTTCTCAAAGAACTCTGCATATGCTCATAACTGCCCCTAACCTTTTTTACGCTGGACTTCCAAAATTGCAGAATTCAAATTTAAATCTTTTATTAATGATTGTCATCACAATACAAAAAAAAAATGTTCAAATTTAATTTTTATGCTGATATCCCAGGCAAAATAAAATATTTGTTTTTGTTGTTTTTAGCAAGCATCAATTCACAAATGGCATGATAGCTATTCAGTAGGAGTCCTGAGTTTTGTGCAAGAGAAAATTACACTTAAAGTTCCCCTCCACAGAACTGACTCCCAAAGCAATACCACTTTATAATGCTTTGGTAAGACCCTACTTTGAATATTGCATCCAGTTTTGATCGCCACGATATAAAAAAGATGTTGAGATTCTAGAACAGGGATCTTCAAACTTGGCCCTTTTATGACTTGTGGACTTGAACTCGCAGAATTCCTCAGCCAGGCACGCTGGCTGAGGAATTCTGGGAGTTGAAGTCCACTAGTCACAAAAGGGTCAAGTTTGAAGACCCCTGATGTAGAAAGAATACAAAGAATAGCAACAAAGATGATCAGGGGAGGCTAAAACATATAAGGAACGATTGCTGGAATTGGGTATGTCTAGTGTAATGAAAAGAAGGACTAGGAGTGACATGATAGCACTCTCCCCAATATCTCAGGGGTTGCCACAAAGAAGAGGGAGTCAAACTATTTTCCAATGCACCTGAGGACAGGACAAGAAGCAACGGATGGAAACTAAGGAGAGAAGCAAACTAGAACTAAGGAGAAATTTCCTAACAGTGAGAACAATAAACCACTGGAGCACCCACAACAACATGCAACTTGGAGGCAGTTTTGGTCACCACATTACAAAAAAAATGTTGAGTGCAAAGAAGAGCAGCTAGGATGATTAAAGGCCTGGAGACCAAAACATATGAAGAACAGTTGCAGATTTTGGGTTTGGCCAGTCTAGAGAAAAGAAGGACTGGGGGGGGGGGACATGATAGGAGTATTCCAGTATTTGAGAGGCTACCACAAAGAGGAGGGGGGTCAACTTAATTTCCAAAGCACCAGAGGGCAGGACAAGGAACAATGGATGGAAACTAATCAAGGAGTGAAGCAATCTGGAATTAAGGAGAAAATTCCTAACCTTGAGAACAATAAACCAAATGGAACAATTTGCCTTCAGAAGTTGTGGGGGCTCCATCACTGGAGGCATCTAAGAAGAGACTGGACAGCCACTTGTCTGGAAGGCTTGAGCAGGGGGTTGAGCTAGAAGACCTCCAAGGTCCCTTCAAAATCTGTTCTTCTGTTTCTGCCATTTCTGGGACCGTCCAGAAGTTGGATGTCACCATATTCCATTTTTCATGCTGAAGTTCTGGAAGCACAAAATATAATTTTTTGCTATTTCTGGACTGGCCAAGGAAATGAAAGTGTATATTTTAAAAAAAGGCTAGGTCAGTGATGGCAAACCTTTTGGAGACCGAGTGCCCAAACTGCAACCCAAAACCCACTTATGCATCGTCGGGTGCCGGGTGGGTGTGGCCCATTGAGTGGGCGTGGTTGCGGTGGTAACAGCAGACTGGGTGGGACTAAAAAGTTCAATCAATCAATTCCAACTTTGCAAGATTTTTTTTCCACGAGAAGTTGAAATTGACTGATTGATTGAACCTCTCTTTTTCGTACACAGCGTCAGAGGCCTAAAGCGAAAAGTTTTTATAAAACCCAGCTGAAGGCCTAGGACTGGGGCGACGGCGCACGTGCCCACAGAGAGGGCTCTGAGTGCCGCCTCTGGCACCCATGCCATAGGTTCACCACCACTGGGCTAGGTGATATGAGCTGTTTTACTTTAAATAATTAAAGGCAAACACTCAAACTGAAGAAAAACATAATGTACAGAGCCGCCCAAATTATGACAAACTGGGGCAGCCTCTAAACAGAACAAAAACTGTTGTTTAACAAATGTTATTGTATTGTTCACCAATATTGAAGTTTTTGTTTTGTAAGCTGCTGAGAGTCACAAGGTGGCAAAGGGCTGCTTTGGAGTGGAAAGCTATCGGTGAATTCAGCTGCCTTCATGCTGGGCTGGGGAGAGAAGGAGGCAGCATGAAGAGGAAACGTCCCCTAACGGTGGTTAGCAAGCAGCCTTCATGCTACCCTTAGAGGGACAGGAAGAGGAACCCATAGAAGTTTTTAACTTTGAGAATTTCCAGCTTTCGCTATTTTAGCTCTCTCCCCCAATTGGGATGATTGTTTTGGGCTCTCCTTCAATTATCTGCTTTTTCTCCCAATTCAGAACCAAAATCCAACCTGGGGCCCATGATCGGCCGAGTTGTGGCTGGCCTTGTCCTGCTGGGTGTGATTGTTGGGATCTGGTTTGTCAGTAAGTATCCTTTTCTGGGTGATGGAAGGAAGATGGGGAAGTTCCTCCCAAGTCTCTCCCTTTGGGAAGCTTCTTCCGGGCTTCCTCCTGTCCTGCTTTCCCAGCCCTCTTGGGGAGCCTCTGAGATCTCAGCCTCTTTCTGGGACTCCAGTCTTGACTTGGCTGAGTCTGAGGTTGGGACAGTCCCATCTTCTTCTGTGTTGGGAAGAGGCATCCCAGCTCCGTCCTTTTCAAAGGCTTCGGTGGAAGAGCAGCAGACAAGGATTTCCATGAGAATCTTCCTCCCCTCCCAGCTGCTGCTGCTTCCCCCCTTTCCCTCCCTCCATCTCAGAGGCAGTAGGTCTCTCTTGGGGCAAATCAGGAGATCCTTTTGGTTTTTGAAAATCTTTCTGTCTTTATTAATGAAGCAAAGTGACTGCGAATTGTCTGCTGAAGGTATTCCTCCCAGAGAGGGAGAGATTGAATGGTCTCTGGAGGATTCTTTGAGCTTTCGCTGATTTTTGTCTTTGCAGAGAGACGTCATGGGGTCCTCAAGGAGAAACCTCTGGGACAAGGAACCCTCAAGAAGATGAGATGACCCAGCTGGTGGAAGGTCCCTCTGTCTGAGAAGCTGCTCTGTTTCCCAAGTGGGCGGAAAGGAAAGGTTCGGTGAAATGAGAATCAGAAGCTCCATAAAATTTGGGATCAAAAGGGGGCATTTTGAGAGACAAGGAGCTTTGGGGGATACCAAAGCTGGATCTCCTCTTGGTCTCCCATCACAAGGCTCTCTGAGTAGGAACTGGTTGGAAAAAGAGACTTAGGAGCCATGTGTATCTTTTTAGGTCAGCTCTGCCCTCGGGCTCAAGAATTGCTGAACTTTTGCTCTGTATTAATACACATATAAATTTTAGGAATTCTTTCCTGGGCCTTTTAGCCCAAGCAGTCTGGTTCAAACTCTCTCCACGTATTTGTGTGTCTTTGATTGTATGTGTGGGAGAGAGGGAGGAAGTTGGAGTCAGAAAGAGCGGAGTTTCTCCATCTATCAGCCAAGAAAGCAACACTCGTCCTTTTCTTTTTCTTTTCTTTTCCTTTTCTTTCTTTTCCAGCAAGTGACAGAGGATCCAGCCAGGGTGAGTCGGAGGGAGCTGCTGCTGCTGCTGTTTGAGCCATTCTATCCCTTTGCCAGACTTTGGGTGGGGGGGGGAGAGGAAAAGTGGGAGAGTCCCCCAGTTTTTAAAAGCCCCCCCTCCTCCCCCCATTAATTCATCCTGCCTGTGTTCCCTCTGCGTCTGGGTCTGCTGAAATAATTAAAATAGAGTCAGTTTGGTTTAGCGGTGAGGGCACCAAGTGAGACTTACTGGGAGATGGTGAGTTCTAGTCCCACCTGCCAAGAGGAGATCGGAATCTTCCCTCTACAACGGGGAGGGAAAGAACAGATTTCCTGAGGGTCCCGCAATCCTGGATGGAGAGGGGGCTTCTCTCCCCTCCTTGAGCCCATCTGGGAATCCCTCCTTCCAGATGCTGAAGGGAGACCTGAACCCATGAACCCTTTTGCCTTTGTCTCTGGAGGCAACGTGAACTTGAGTTGGATTTGTGTATTTGAGGGGAGGCATGGATACTTGTGGGGCAGGTTCTCGCCCACCTAGGAGCCAGTTCCCAGCCCTGCCCCTCCCCTCTTGTAAATCCCACCCAGCTGATCCCTCCCTTGAGGCTGCTGCTTCTGCTCCTTCCCTGGCTGATCTTTGCTGATTCCTCAGCCTGGACGGTGGGATTCCTTCTCTGGGCTCCCTCCCAGACTCACCCTGCCTGCTTTTTCCCTCCTCTTTGCAGCCGGAGTGGACAGTCCCAGCATGAGGAGGGAGGAGAGAAGAGGGGGTCGGCCTGCTTCTGAATTAAGCCGGGTTTAGAGCGAATGGGGTGAGGGACAGGAGGAAGAGTTGCTGGTTTTACTTTAAGGGAGGCTGATCAGTTGTTAAATGTTCCTCATACTTCCCGGGATTGAAAGGGGAGGGTTTTTTCTGTCTCTTGTGTTTTTTTTTTATTATTATTAAAAGTTTTACAAATTTAATACAATATAAACCCCTCCCACCCCTTCCTCCCCCTCCCCCACTTCCCAGAGCTGATTACAGGGTAACAAATAAACAAACAAAATCTAACTAACATTAACCAACTATACTGTCAGTCAAAACCGAAACACACTTTAACTCCTTTTCAAAAGAAGTATTAGCAAATTAAAAACAAAAATAATAATATAATTAAAACTATAGATAATTATCTAAAATCTACTCGTATGCAAGATAATACTTTTCAGTTTCATATTTCTTTTGAATATAATCAATCCATCTTGTTTTTTCTTTGTATACGTAAGTTGTATAAATGCTATGTACAATGTTTAAAAGAATCTTCAACAAAAATTATTTCTGTAAAAAAAAAGTGTACCTTCTTAGATTTCTGCCGTTAAAGTAGTTAATGTACTTCAATATTTAACTTAAACATTGCACTAATTTGACCATATATTTGACCATCCAATGTTTGACCAATAATTAATCTACCAAATACAGCATTCAAACACTGAATTTTTCCAGATTGCCATGTATGGATTTTCATGCTTTAGAAAAATGGAACATGAGATCAATTCCGCAGCCAGGCTGCTACCTGCTTAACAATTGCACATGTATTGTAAGTTTGCCAAAATAGTTTGCTGAAAATAAATGCTATTTTTTTTTTCTTCTCACCTGAGTTGCTGTCTGTTTGAAGAGATTGGAAACAGGAGGAATTTTACTCTACTTGTTGCTCAGAAAGACCAATTTCGTTTTGAGTGGGAGGAAGGGGAGGAACCAAGGCAAAACCTGGAAGGAGAAAGAACTGGGGGGGTGGGCTCCTGTGTGCTCCTTGGGGAGGAGGCAGCCATTTTGCTCCTGGGTCTAGATCTTTCTCCAGCATCACCAGCTGATCTTCCGCAAAATGGCCGCTTGGTCTTGGTTCGGTGGGGTGGTTTTTCCCTCAGGTCCACCTTTGCCTCAGGCTGAGGGCCGAGTGGCTGGCCTCTGAGCATCATCCAGCGGCCCTTTGGGAGACGGGAGCTCAGGGACCGTCCGGAGCCCTCCTGGCCCCCTTGCAGGAGGGCAGCTTCTCCTGCCTCTGAGAGATCCTCTCTGGGCTCTTCAGGGGCCCAGCAGGATGCCCTGGCCCAAAAGGGGGGAGAGCCTCGATTGATGGGAAAGACATTCCCCATATTATAGTGGATGCTTTCTGGGCAAGGAGTGGAAAGCATTGGGACTTTCTACCCCCCACCCCCACCCATTCCTTTTGGGCTTCCCAGATGCCTTCAGGAGCTCCCATTCTTTCAAACTCGGCTCAAGTTCTTACCAGCTCCAGGCCAAAGTCGGGGTGTCTGAGTTGGGAGGCAACAGCAGTACCTGAATAAAGAATCTCTTAAGAGACGAGGCAGAGTTACAAAAGGGGATGCCTGCAGTCCCTAAAATGGCGGAAGGCTGCTACAGTCTACTCAAAATGGCGGCTGGCTGAGTGCCAATGGGATCCAACTCCATGTGGCAGATGGTTTTCCTCCCCCATCTGAAGTTGGCAAACTGCCAGCCTCTCAATGCCTCCAGGAGCGTCCCAGAGTCGCACATGCATCTGCATCCTGTTTTCAGTGGTTCCTGAAAGGATTGTGTAGCTTCTGCAGCTTCTTGGCTTGAGGAAGGAGAAAGCTATCCGGCATGTTGAGTCCTGTTCCTGTTCCCGTTGTTCTCCGTTCACGTTGCCTCCAAAGCGAAAATTCAGAAAAAAGAAAAATGTAATCTTAAAATCAACTACACCCCTTATTAATCAGCAGTAATCTTTGGAAAGTGGAAGGAAGGTGGCAGCACTTGGTGCCTTCTTAGCTGAAATGATAAATGTGGGGTGTGAGATAATATTCCCTTCTTGTCTATGAAAGCAATACCAGTTTTTTGTTTACCACCTCCAAGTAATAAAATTGGGTGTTCTCTTGAACACAGTTGAATAAAAATAACATTACACTCGACTTTATATTTTTGCATATTTAATATGTACTAGCTATTTCTATGATAAGAAACATTTTCTAATCAACAAAACCCAAAGTCAATGTATCATATTTTTCTACCTCAACCACAATATACAGAAGGGGTTTCCAAGTAGAAGCAAAGTTGGATATATTCTTTTCTTTGATTAAAGCGCTTAATTTGACTATTCTCACTGCTGTCAACATGGATAACAACAAAGTTCCTTTTCTTTTTCAAGTTCTTTGTCCATTCAGCCTAAAACAAAAGTCTCTGCTTTCATTTTTATATTCATTTTGAGAATCTTACATGAGTCTTACTGCAGTATTTTAAAAACATTGTGCAATTTTTAACAAATCAGTTTATTATTAAGAGACTACAAGGAAAGGATATGATGTGATAAGGAATGCAGCCCCATTGCTAGTTCACCAGTTCCTTGAGATCCCCGAGCCTATTCACACAAGCATATTTTAAGAGACTTCTGGAAGGAGATCAAGGATGGTGATCACTGCAGAAAAGGCCGATCTCCTGGGTCCCACTAGATCTGGCTTCTTAAGAGACAAGACCCACAACATACCTCTTCTGCTAGAGCTGGTGGGCTGGGTGGATGTAATTGGGAAGAGGGGGTCTCATTCCAGGAAGGGGTTTAAAGGTCAAAACAGCACCATGAATTGGACCCAGAAGCAAACTGGCAATCCATGCAGCTGGTAGAGCAGAGGTGTAACATGTGCGTTTCTTGGGGTGCATATAACTGCCCACATCATCACATATTGTACTAGATGGGCATCCCTAAGGAAGCAGTTAAATTCTGATTAAGGTAAGGTAAGATAAGGTAAGAGAAATGAGATGAGATGAGATACAAGATATGATAAGGCAAGACAAGATAAGATACGGGATAAGATAAGACAACATGAGATAAGACGAGAGAAGATAAAGTGAGGTAGGGCAAGATGAGATAAGATAAGCTAAGATATGATAAGACAAGATAACCTTTATTGTCATTTTTTACTATGGGCACAGCAACGCACATTGATGAAATGAAATTTAGTTGCCCGCTCCAAGGTGAACACATGACACACACCTAAACATACTACCGTATATGCCGGCGTATAAGGCAACTTCCACAAGCATTAAAATTGGCGCCAAAGACGGGGGTCGTTTTATAAGAGCCGAGGTGGCGCAGCAGTTAGAGTGCAGTACTGCAGGCCACTTTAGCGGACTGTGTTCAGCAGGTCAGCGGTTCAAATCCCACCGGCTCAAGGTTGACTCAGCCTTCCATCCTTCCCGGGTAGGTAAAATGAGGACCCAGATTGTTAGGGACAATATAAATATATATACATTGCTTACTGGTGTACACCGCTTAGAGAGTGCTTGCACTTAAAGCGGTATATAAGTCTCATAAAAATAAAAATAAATATGCCAGAAATACTGGTAGTTTCCAGCGTATAAGACAACGTTCTAGGAATGCGACTCGGCGCCAAAGACGGGGGTCGTCTTATACGCCGGGTCGCCTTGTATGCCGGCATATACGGTATATACAACAGATACATACTATATACAACATAGGCATCATTAAGGAAGCAGCCTGGAGAGGTGGGGGGGTTGTGTCTGGGTAGATCAGGGGGCTCCACAGATGAGGCAAGGGGGGGGGGGGGCTGTGCCTGGAGAAAGAGGCCCCATAATGCTTGGGCAGGGCAGCTGCCTCTCCTTCCTCTGATTCCCACAGGCAAAGGCTGTCCTGAGCTGCTTCAGCCTGTCTTGTGTTTGGCTCCTTCCCAAAATCCTGGCTCAGGAAGCAGCGCAGCATCTCATTTCCCAGGGATTCTCCAGACCCACCGAAGCCGGATTCACACAGTGGATGTTAGTGGGTCAGTCATGCACCCGGGAGGTGCCTTTCCATAACCTCACATCGGGCTGTTGTTCCCAAAACTGGGTCTTAGCTTGGTGTCGAAGCCAATTGATCACCAAACCCAAGATCTGGAAAACAAAAAGACTTTTATTTTGGTACCAAGATGAAAGTGACCTCGGCTTTGAAAGCTACCGAGGCCCCGTTTACAATTTTACAGCAGTTTTTATAATCAAAGGTGATTTTCATACATCCCTCTGCCCACCCAACACATCCCTTTTCCCTCCCCCTGATAATGCATGCATAACATATAATATTAATTGGTTACCTGGATTGCAGCCCCCGAAAGTTTTCTCGTTTGCTATGCAAAATAGCTAAATGTCACGCCATCTTTGCCCACCTTAGGTCATGGGACTGTTGCAGAGCTTCTAGTTTCCTGTGCCAGCTATGTGCTTTGGGATTTTCTTATAAGTGAGCTATTCATGTACTCAACATCCTGGCTTCACAAGGGAGCCGAAAAAGTAAACGGGAGCTTAGACAGTCTGGAAGTAATTTAATCAGTTCTAACTGTGGCTGGCTTGATTCTACATAGTTCGATTAACCCAGTGGTTCTCAACCTTTCTAATGCCGCGACCCCATAATACAGTTCCCCATGTTGTGGTGACCCCCAACCACTTATACATCACCGGGTGCCAGGGGTGTGGCCAAAGAAAAGGGGAAAAAAATTGGCGGACAGCCTTGTTTGGCGACCCCTGTGAAATGGTCGTTCGACCCCAAATGGGGTCCCGACCCACAGGTGGAGAACCACTGGATAAACCTCTGGCTGGTTTGGGATTCCTTTGGCTTCCAACCTTTGCTAATTGAGAGGGAAAACTGCAAAGCTGCAAACCAGCAGGGAGCGCCAATCTCCAGCTCATCCGTGTTTCCGGAAATTCTTTGGTCCCGCCTTGTTGAGAGTCTCCGGATCTGAAAGAGGTTCGAAGATTTATATTCTGTTATGTTCTATATTTTACATTCTTGAGCTATCAAGCTATCTCCTCCTCTTCCCCACATACAGGGCCTAAATTTCACTCTGTACATGCTCAGAGGAAAGTTGACTGAAGAAGAAAGCAGATGATTCAATGAAAAGACCGTTGAATGTTTCCCATACTTTGTTCATCATAGGAAATGTGAAATCAGCTGAATTTGTTCAATCCTAATAAGAAACCAGGATTTATTCTTTCAGTCCAAGGATTCCCCAGAAGAAGCTCCCAGGGAGAGAGCAGCCATCTTAGGTTATTGTGGGAAAACCAAAGACTTTGAAGCTTCCTAAAGATTCGTGGCTTCCCCAGAGAAGAAAATACCTCTGACATTTTCCCCTAGAAAGACAAATCTTTCCCTTGAAGATGCCACGAGAGCCTTTGAGCGTTTTTCTCCAGAGCGAAGATCATTCGTGATGTCATGACCTAAACACAGAATCACAGGACTGGAAAGGACCTCAGAGGTCTTCTAGTCCAACCGTCAAATCTAGGCAGGACATTTAATACCATCCCAGTCTGACAGTTCTCCAGTCTGTTTTTGAAACCTTCCAGCGATGGAGCACTCACAATTCCAGGATGAAAATTATTCCACCGATTAATTGTTCTCACTGCTAGAAAATTTCTCCTTCTAGGTTGGGTCCCTCTTGAACAAGCCCCCACCCCTTATTTCTTCTCCTGCCCTCTGGGGCTTTGGGGAAGAAGTCCCTCCCCCCTTCTCTGGGACAGCCCCTCAAGTAAAGGCAGGCACTTATTATTACACAACCACACACAGACAGACAATCACACACCCAAATTATTCTGTGCCATTGGCTTGGCATACCTTGCTCTCCCAGCGGTTCGTCATACCGTTTAACCCTCCTTTATCACCTTTATTGCTCCTCTCTGACTCTTTCTGGGCTCCCAGCATCTTTTTTGAGTCGTGGAGACCAGAAGCGGACCCGGCATTCCAAGGGTGGCCTCACTAGTGCAGGATAAACCGGGATTCTCATTTCTCGTCTTCCTTTCATGTTGCCCCTCGGTTGATGCCGCCCAAGACTGCTCTGGCTTTTTTTGGCAGCTCCACCTGATTTCCCCTCTTCACTGCCAGGGGCTCTGCGGGGTCTCCCCTCGCCTGCGCCCCTCCCCCCAGGTCCAGATAACCCTCCCGCTTTTCTGAGCCCCCCATTTCTGCCCCTCCCCCCAAGAGGCGGAAGGCCTGGAAGGGGATTTCCTAACGGCACTTTCGCTTTCCTTTCCCCGCCTGTTCGCTCGGTTGCGCCTGGACGTCTGCCTAGCAACTATGACGAAATCGGAAAACCTTTTTTCTACTGGTTGAGCGTGGCCAATCACTCACTTCTGCTCTGTGTTGTTCCGTTGTTGATCACCCGGAGTGCGTCTTTCTCGGCCTGCGACTTCTGGAGAGCGGATCGCAGTTGGAGGATCGCGGCCAGGATGGCTCTGCGCTCTCTGCCGCTCCTGGTGTTGGTGGCGGTCGCTGTGCGAGAGAGCTGCCTCGGTGAGTCTCTTTATCTCCTGGTGGGAATCCATCCAGGAAATCTCTCCTCCCCTCCCCCAAAGATTATTGCCAGGAAGAGAATCTCGATTCGGTCCTCTTTCGAGTCCGCTCTCCCTCTGGCCCCTCTCAGAAGGGACCCCAAAGCGCGGATGGGACGTGGCTGCCTCTCCCCCTCCCCCCCAGGAAAGCCCCTCTGGGAACGGGACGGGGCGGCCCTCCAGAGGTCAGTCAAGTCTACCTGGGCGCTCCCGAGCGCGGTTCGTTCCCTCGCCCAAAGTGGAGGTTGTGGGAAAGCGCGGTTTACACGGGACCAGGGCAGTTCCCAAACTCCCTGGCTGCCTTCGCACAACCCCTCCGCCCGGCTCTTCTTTCCTGCCTTTGGCGGGGCTCGGTGGCTCTTTGTGGCTTCTGGTGCTGGGCGGAGCCGGCTCGGTTCTCCACGCGCTTCCGCGTATTGGCAGACAAGGAGGCTGGAGCCCTGGAGGGATCGGGTTAAGGCTGTCCTGGGAATGCAGCAGGAGAAGAATCTGGAGAGAAGAAGCCCTCCTTGGATCGTCTTCCCAAAGATCCCCCCTGATTGATTGATTGTCACTTTCCCCTGGATCCCCACCCCCACCCCGTCCCAAACCCCAATATCCCCAGAGCTGTTTTCTAGGACAGGCAGGAATTTTTCCACCCAAAATCCTCCTCCTCCCATTTCAGGAGCCCCCAGCAGGGGAGAGTTTGCAGAATCAGAAATATTGAAAGTTTACTCTTATTCCTCAGTAACCAGACGGGAGGTCTTGGGGTGTCCCCAGTTGCTCCTCAGAGAAACTTTCAATGCAGCAGCTTTTCCAAAGGCATTTCCCAAACTCTCAGGATCTGAAGGATCAGAGAGGCTGGGCTGGAGGCAGGAGGAGAGAAGCCCCTCTGGGTGGGGAGCCTGGAATGAAGGCCTTGCTTGGACACAGACAGGCCCAGACTGACCGGCCCTTCCTGACCTGAGTAGGATTCGTGATTGTGAGGACGCCCAACCTGCGTTACGTTCACACGTTTCTCCTCTCAGGCAGACTTCAGACTCCCTCACTGCTCAGCCCCATGAGGGGAAGGAGCGGGTTCTGGATCACGGAGGGTCCGATCCCCTCTCCTTCTGTTGGAGAAAAGCTCTGATTCATTTGAAATCTCCCCAGAGCAGGACGTGGATCTGGGGATCCCTCTCCCCAAAATCTCTGAGAAGCCACTGGGATTGTGGGGAGGAGCAGGAAGAAGGAGGCCTTTGCCTTTGCCTTGGGAGACTGGGAAGGACTGGGAGACCATACTGGAGGGACTGGGCAGTGGGATTACAGATAGTTCTTGACTTACAGCAGTTGTTTTAGTGACTGCTACTACAAATTCTGTGAGCCCCTTTTGTGACCTTCTGACTAGCAAAGTCAATGGAGAAGCCAGATTCACTTAACAACAGTGTTACTAATTTAACAACTGCAATGATTCACTTAACAACTGTGGCAAAAAAATCGTAAAATAGAGCAAAACTCACTTAACCAATGTCTCACTTAGCAACAAAAATGTGGGTTTGATTATGGTCATAAGTCGAGGACTGCCCGTATTTATTTCTCTGGGGGGCTTTGGAGGTCTTGCCCTTTTCCATGCAGACCCAGGTTCTGCCCAAATAAATCCCATGAAGGATCCTGAAAATGATCTTTAAACTCTTTGGTGCCCCGGAAGAATTTCTGACCTGAAGAGCTTTCAGAATGGAGACCCAGAAGGGGCCTTGGGGATTTCCATCAGCTGAATCAATTTCCCAGGAATCTTTTATTCATTTTATTTATTTATTTTTATTCTTTTAACCCACTTACGAGCTGTTGTTCTTCTGTTCATTGGGCTGCCTCAGAGTCTCTTCCGTGTTTGTATTTTGACGATGAAAACTAAATGATGACTTAATATGATTTTGTTTGGTCATTGTTAGTAAAGTTTAGCATAGTTTTATGTCTTGTGAATTTAGTCTGTCCTCCAAGGAAGGGCTGTTGTATTTTGGATTCCCCAGAGGGGCTTTAAAGATGACAGGACCCTCCATACAGTGGCTGAGTTTGGGGAGAGCACCCCAGATAAGAGCCCCCCCCCCAAACATGAGAGATGGCAGCAGGAACTTCCAAGCAGCCTGAGTGGGGGGTGGGGCCAGGGTGGAGAGGCCCCATGGGTTTCTTCCCGGTGAGGGGAATTCTGGGAATTGAAGTCCAAAGGCTGAGTCTGAGAAACTCTAATTTTGGTCTTTACGTCGAGAGTCGCTGATCATGTAAAGAGTTGGATAGCCACGATCAGCCCCCTCCCAAGCTGGTTGGGGGGCATTTCTGCCTTTCTTTGTGCTGAGAAAAGGCAGGATCAGAACCAGAGGAGGAAAAATTTCAGAGCAGCTTCTCTGGAAAGTGAATGGTGAAGGGGACCCGACCTTCCCCTCCTCTCTCACCCCTTTCCTTCCCTGCCCTCCAACCCTTCAGGCCCTCCCAAAAGCTGCTTCTTTCCCTCTCAGTCGCTCCCTCCTTCCACCTCCTGCCTCCCCTTCCATCCTCTTCCCCTTCCTTTCCCCCTTTCTCCTCCCCCCAGCTCTCTCTTCCTCCTCCTCCTCCTCCTCCTCCTCCTCTTCTTCTTCTTCTTCTTCTTCTTCTCCTCCTCCTCCTCCTCCTCCTCCTCCTCCTCCTCCTCCTCCTCCTCCTTCCTCTTCTTTTTCCTCTTCTTCTCCTCCTTCTTCCTTCTTTCCCCCCAGAGCCTCAAATTGGAGCCTCCATAGGATGAGGGTCCTTAACTGGAGCCCCCTAACTCTGCCCCTCTGGGTCCCTTCCAGGGGCCTCCTCACACTCTCTGAAGTATTTCTTCTACTCCATCTCGGAGCCCAGTCAGGATCCGCCCCACTTTGTCTCTCTGGGATATGTGGACGGTCAGATCTTTGTTCACTACGACAGCAACAGCCGGAGGAGGGAGCCTCGAGTCTCCTGGATGAAGAAGGTGGGGAAGGAGGATCCTCAATACTGGGACAGAGAGACCCAGAGAGAATATGGCACTGAGGAGGCGTTCAGAGAAAGCCTGCAGACTCTGAGGCTTCGCTACAATCAGAGCGAAGGTGAGTGATGGGTCGGGTGGCTCCTCCGGCCCCATAATCCCCTCCCCAGGAACCAGAGGGGAGAGAAAAGGGGGTTCCTTCAAAGGGAAAGCTGCTTCCCCACATTTAAAAAGATTTTTAATATGTTTATTCTTTTTTAAAAAATCAGTATAAGCTTGTGGTTGCCTCCATAGTTGATGTTTTCTGCCAATTGCAGTTAATAAAAACATTTATTTTCAGTTATCCCTCTATCTGTATATTGATAGGATGTGGATATGGATATAAATTGAGTTAAAAGAGACCATTTGGGGCCCTTTCTGAGTCACTCTATCACCAGAGGCTGCTTTGGGCTGAGATAAATCTTCTCCACAAACATCAGCCATTTTCCCTCCTTTCATCTCAAGGAGGTGTAGCCCCCCTTCTTCTGCCCTTTCCCTGACCATCCCCCCCCCAGGCAGACACCCTAGAGATCTGCCAGTTCTGGTCTCAGGCTGAGCAGAAGCTGCAGAGAAAGGATCCCCTCACCCCGTCACTCATGGGAATGGAAGGGAAATGGAGGGAAAGCAATGGTCAGTTTAGTTCAACTGTACTTACAATGGTTTCCCCTTCGATCAGGGGTCTTCAAACTCAGCCCTTTTATGACTTGTGGACTTCAACTCCCAGAATTCCTCAGCCACGCATGCCTGGCTGAGGAATTCTGGGAGTTGAAGTCCACGAGTCATAAAAGGGCCGAGTTTGAAGACCCCTGCCTTAGATTTAAGAGTTTCTGGCGTCTTTCCTCATTCTCAAGCCCAAGCAGAAGTAGAAACATTTCAATATTTCCTTTTGGTTTTTTCAAACATTTCAGTTTCCTTTTAAATCCGAGAATATAGTCACTTGAAGTTGAAACATCTTCTCCAGGGCCTTGCAGAGACGGTAAACATCAAACTCATTTCAAAGGTCAATAACATCTTGAGTTTGCAGATCAGATGGGGCCACTTGCTGAGGCAAATATTCCTTTGTGGCCCTTCAAGGCTTCATTCCCACATTGCACAAAGCCATGGTTTCTTTCTGGTTAATCTGAAGTGGGAACCAGCCCAACTTCCCTCGGGATCCTTCGCTGGCTTTTCCAGCTTCCCTTTTCCTGGGGGGGTTCAGGGGCTCCATCCTGGGGGGAGGGAGGGAGGCAGGTCGAGGGAGGGGAGAAGGACGGATACTGATGGGGGCTTTTTTCCCCTTGAATGCTAGGGAGGGGTGTCAGTGCCTCTGTGAACATTCCTGCAGAGAAGGGGGTCTGTGCCTATCTTGAGGACTCCTGAAACCATCATCTTGTTCCTATTTCAGGCCTTCACACATGGCAGTGGATGTATGGCTGTGAGCTCCAGGCTGATGGGCGAAAAGGAGGGTTTATGGAGTATGGCTACGAAGGGAGGACCTTCCTCACCTTCGACAAGGATACTCTCACCTGGGTGGCTCCCCAACCCCAAGCCGAGATCACTCAGAGGAAATGGGACAATGTAGCACGAAATAATTACTTTAAGTTCTACCTGGAGGAAATCTGCATTGAGTGGCTGGAGAAGTACCTGTCCTACGGGAAGGAAACACTGCTGAGGACAGGTGAGCCTCTGGATGCAGGCTGGACTTTCCTCCTTTGTGGCCGGATTTCTTGTGCACATTCAGCCCCTTTGGGTTCCTGGTCTGCCGTCTGACGGCCCAGGAGGGAATCCTCCCCCTCCCCTTCCAGCCCCTCTCCATGACACGGGAAGCCCTGATTGGTTCCCCTTGCCAGGCTGCCATTCCATGGACCAGGAAACACACCCTCTGCCTGGCGGGTGTCTGGGTGGATCAGGCAGGAGAAGCACTTGGGGGTGTCCTTTTCATTGCCCAGAGTGATGCAAGAAGGGCATTTGCATTTCTTCGGTGAAATCCCCATTAGCCAAACTGTAGTCAAGTGTGAGGGGCTCCCTTAATTTCCCCCCATTAACTCTCCTTCCCCCCACTTCCCACAGGGGGCTCCTTCCCTGCCTTGGACCTGATGGCGCATCTCCCATGCCCACCACTAGAGGGCTCCACTTCTACCATTAATAACACATCCTCAAGGCCCCACTTGGGCAAAAAAGGCCAAGGTTGAGGGGTTCTTTTCTTCCCAAAGTTTCTGTGGATCTTTCTGTTAAACCTCAAACAGGTTCCCTCCATTCTGATTTAGTCTTTCCTCAAAAGAGCCCCCTCCCCACCTTCAGGAACACCCCCTCCCCCCACAAGGGGGGCTCACAGTATAATCTTTTCCTGTGATTTGTTCTTATTTTCCCATCTAGACAACCTCTCCCCACTGGGTCGACCCCTTCCCCTCTGGACTCCTTGACCCCCCCCTTCCCTAGTATTAGCTGTAGGGAGAAACTTCCGTGTTGTTGGTTTTTTTGAAAGGGAACATAAAAGAGCAGCTCCACTTTCCCTCCTCTGAAGGAAACAATCCAAGATCAGTCAGAGTTAAAAGCAGCCAGAGAGGAATTTCCTTGGACCCTCAATTTGCTGCTGGAGGTTTTTCAGGCTGAGTCCCTGGGAAGGACTCAGAATCCGGAGTTCTTGCGGCTGAGCATTTTCTAGATCTGGAGAATTTCCTAAAACTCTTGGAGAGGCTGCAGGTGTGGAGTGGGAAGTAGTGGGAGATTTTCCTGCCCCTCCAAGTTTCCCACCCACCTTCCAAGCTCTGGAGGGGCTCAGAGTTCATTCCGGGGGTGCCGTTTCTGCAGAGCCCCCAGAGGTGACCATGAGCAGCAAGACGGAGGTAGAGGATGAGATGGAGACGCACGTCTGCTGCCTGCATGGCTTCTACCCCAGGGAGATCGATGCCTCCTGGACGAGGGACGGGGAGGTCTGGCTGCCAGACACCTTCCATGGGACTGTAACCCCCAACGCGGATGGGACCTTCCATGCCACTCTCAGTATCCGGATCGATCCCAAAGAGAGGGGCCGCTATCGATGCCACGTGGAGCACGACAGCCTGCCGAAGCCTCTGGACATGGCCCTGAAGGGTGAGAGGCTGCAGGGAGGGAAAGGCTGGGCTCTTGGGCAGGCTGGAGGGTTGAGGGAGGGAAATCTCACCCCAGCTTTGTCCAGATGTGAGCATACCTGAACTTTAGGCCATTGGTTTTTCCAGTGTTTGAGGTTGGTGAAGCTGCAGGGACCAGACCATAGAACTGGCTTCAGGGGATGGAAAGGAAACTCCAGAATCCCCTCACAAGAGCTGGCAGATCCTGATGAAATCCTCTTAGATCCTCTCTTAGCCTCTGTCCTTCCCCTCTTTCTGGCCTCCAGAAGAAAAACAGCAGAAACAGATTTGCTTTTCTTTAGAATTCCTAAAGTACAAGAATCAGGAGGTGTCTGGTAGCCCCTTTTCTGAGGGGAAATTTTGACTAAAATGGATGAACTGTATCCAACTTCAGGAAATGCAGAGAGTGGCTGGACTGATGCGCCAGGAGTCAGAAAGGGGGCTACCAAGTCTGAGTTTTTGCCATCAGAGACTAACACGGCTTTCCTGTTGTAAAGGTCAAACTATTGTTTGTTGCTGCTGTTTGAAAGAAATTACACATTATTTTATGATATGATATGGGAATTCCTGAGGCTCAGCATAAATCCCTCTCTCAAAGAACTCTGTATATATTCATACCTGCCCATAACAGCCAAGCACGCTGGCTGAGGAATTCTGGGAGTTGAAGTCTACAAGCCACAAATGGGCCAAGTTTGAAGACTCCTGCTCTAGAAAGAATAGAAAGAAGTGTAACAAAGATGATCAGGAGACTGGAGGCTAAAACAGATACGGAAAGGTTGTAGGAATTGGGTATGTCTAGTTTAATGAAGAGAAGGATGAGGGGAGACATGATAGCAGTGTTCCAATATCTCAGGGGCTGCCCCAAAGAAGAGGGAGTCAAGCTATTCTCCAAAGCACCTGAAGGCAGGACAAGAAGCAACAGATGGAAACTAAACAAGGAGAGAAGCAAACTAGAACTAAGGAGAAGTTTCCTGATAGTGAGAACAATAAATCACTGGAGCACCCACAACAAAGTGCAACTTGGAGGCAGTTTTGGTCACCACATTACAAAAAAGATGTTGAGACTTTGGGGAAAAGTGCAAAAAAGAGCAACTAAGATGATTAAAGGCCTGGAGACCAAAACATACAAAGAACAGTTGCAGGATTTGGGTTTGACCAGTCTAGAGAGAAGAAGGACTGGGGGGGGGACATGATAGGAGTATTCCAGTATTTGAGAGGCTACCACAAAGAACGGGGGGTCAACTTAATTTCCAAAGCGCCAGAGAGCAGGACAAGAAATGGTGGATGGAAATTAAACAAGGAGAGAAGCAATCTGGAATTAAGGAGAAAATTCCTAACCTTGAGAACAATTAACCAGTGGAACAATTTGTCTTCAGAAGTTGTGGGTGCTCCATCACTGGAGGCATCTAAGAAGAGACTGGACAGCCACTTGTCTGGAAGGCTTGAGCAGGGGGTTGAGCTAGAAGACCTCCAAGGTCCCTTCAAAATCTGTTCTTCTGTTTCTGCCATTTCTGGGACCATCCAGAAGTTGGATGTCACCATATTCCATTTTTCATGCTGAGTTCTGGAGGCACAAAATATAATTTTTTGCTATTTCTGGACTGGCCAAAGAAATGAAAGTGTATACTTAAAAAAAGCTGGGTGATCTGAACTCTCTTACTTTAAATAATAAAACGCTAACACTCAAACTGAAGAAAAAACATAACGTACAGAGCTGCCCAATTTATGACAAACTGGGGCAGCCTCTAAACAGAACAAAAACTGTTGTTTAAGAAATGTTATTGTATTGTTCACCAATATTGTGTTGGTGAAGTTTTTGTTTTGTAAGCTGCTGAGAGTCACAAGATGGCAAAGGGCTGCTGTGGAGTGGAAAAGCTAAGGATGAATTCAGCTTCCTTCATGCTGGGCTGAGGAGAGAAGGAGGCAGCATGAGGAGGACACGTCCCCTAACGGTGGTTAAGAAGGAGCCTTCGTGCTTCCCTTAGAGCAATGGTTCTCAACCTTTTTAATGCCGCAACCCCCCCCCCCAACCGGTGTAAGTCAAGGACTACTCAACCGGTTGTAAGTCGAGGACTACTCAACTGGTGCAGCATCATTTGCAGAATGGGACTTTTGGCGGGTTCAGCAGGGCAGAGACAGCCTGGACAATTCCTATTGGCTTTGGAAAGCCAATAGAATTAGACTCTATTCATTCGACTCCAAATGGGGTCCCGACCCACAGATTGAGAACCGCTGCCTTAAAGGGACATCAAGAGGAACCCATAGAAGTTTTTAACATTGGGAATTTCCAGCTTTCACTATTTTAGGTCTCTCCCCCAATTGGGATGATTACGGTTCTCCTTCTCAATTATCTGCTTTTTCTCCCAATTCAGAACCAAAATTCAAACTGGGGATCATCATCAGCTGCGTTGTGGCTAGTCTTGCCCTGCTGGGTGTGATTGTTGTTGGGATCTATGTATTCTTCAGTAAGTATCCTTTTCTGGGTGATGGAAGGAAGATGGGGAGGTTCCTCCCAAGTCTCTCTCTTTGGGGAGCTTCTTCAGGGCTTCCTCCTGTCCTGCTTTCCCAGCCCTCTTGGGGAGCCTCTGAGATCTCGGCCTCTTGCTGGGACTCCAGTCTTGACTTGGCTGAGTCTGAGGGTGGGACAATCCTGCCTTCTTCTGGGTTGGGAAGAAGCATCCCAGTTCCGTCCCTTTCAAAGGCTTCGGTGGAAGAGCAGCAGAGAAGGATTTCCATGAAAATCTTCCTCCCCTCCCAGCTGCTGCTGCTGCTTCCCCCCTTTCCCTCCCTCCATCTCGGAGGCAGCAGGTCTCTCTTGGGGCAAATCTGGAGATATATTCAGTTTTTGAAAATCTTTCTGTCTTTATTAATGAGACACAGTGACTATAAAATAGCTCCTGGGGTTCTTCCTCTTAAGACGAGTTTGTATGATCTTTGGTGGATTCTTTCGAGCTTTCACTGATTTTTGTCTTTGCAGAGAGATGCCCTGGCTACAAAAAAGCACCAAGTGAGTGAATTGTCCTCTTTACATACAGTATAATCTCCAACTTAGAGCAGAGAGCAGAGGCACCATCAGTTGAGGGATGTATGTGTCATGTGCAAGCTCACTTCCTCCTAAGAACCAGTCTGGGGAAGATGGGCCCCCTTTTCATCCCAGCCAGGCTGTTCTTGGAAGTGGGGTCCCCAAGGAGAAACATCTGGGACAAGGAACCCTCAAGAAGGGGAGAAGACCCAGCTGGTGGGAGGTCCCTCTGGCTGAAAAGCTCCTCTGTTTCCCAAGTGGGCGGAAAGGAAAGGTTGGGTGAAATGAGAGTCAGAAGCTCCATAAAATTTGGGATCAAAAGGGGGGCATTTTGAGAGAAAAGGAGCTTTGGGGGATACCAACGCTGGATCTCCTCTTGGTCTCCCATCACAAGGCTCTCTGAGTACAAACTGGTTAGAAAAAGACATTTTGGAGCCGTGTGTATCTTTTTAGGTCAGCTCTGCCCTCGGGCTCAAGAATTATTGAACTTTTGCTCTGCGTTGATGTACATATAAATTTTAGGAATTCTTTCCTGTGCCTTTTAGCCCAAGCTGTCTGGTTCAAACTCTCTCCACGTAGTTGTGTGTCTTGGATTGTGTGTGTGTGTGCGAGAGAGAGAGAGAGAGAGAGAGAGAGAGAGAGAGAGAGAGGGAGCTAGACTCAGAAAGAGCTGAGTTTCTCCACCTATCAGCCAACAGAGTGAACTTCCTCACTCTCTTTTTCTTTCTTTCTTTTCCAGCAAGTGACAGCGGATCCATCAGATCCAGGCTGGGTGAGTCGGAGGGAGCTGCTGCTGCTGCTGCTTCAGCATTCTGTCCCTTTGCCAGACTTTGGGCGGGGGGGAGGGAGAGGGAAAAAGGGAGAGGCCCCCAGTTTTTAAAAGCCCCCTCCTCCTCCCCCCATTAACTCATCCTCCCTGTGTTCCCTCTGGGTCTGGGTTCTGCTGAAATAATTAAAATAGTTTGGTTTAGTGGTGAGGGCACCAAGTGAGACTAACTGGGAGACGGTGAGTTCTAGTCCCACCTTAGGCATGAAAGCCGGCTTGGGGGGGTCACAAAATCCTCTTTCCTTGCCCTGGTTTGTTCCTGAGGCGGAGAAGGGAAGCTCTCCCTGTTGGATTCAGGCAGGGGAAGCAGCCCAGAGTCTGCCTGGTGGAGCCTGGCCCCCTTTGGAGGAGAGAGAGCCCTCAATTCCTTGATGGGAAATGGGGGAATCACCGGCGATCCCATGATCCCCAGTGGTTAGAGACTCTTCTGCTGGCATAGCTGAGACCTGGCTGATTCTGGAAGTGGAGGGGGGTGTTCCTCCTCTCATAGATTGGGGTTTAGGCTTTGGCCCCAACTGAGACCCCGGGGCAGGGCAGGTGGGGGGCAATGTGAGAATCTCTCTGGGCCCTCGGGGGCCTTGATCCCCACGTTTCTGGTTGTGACTCCCCGTTTCTGAATCTGGGCTCACGGGATCAGTTGGGCTTGTGCCTGCTGTACCAGCCTCCCTTCTGCATGGCCACCCCCACCCCTCAGCCACTGGGGGCCATCTTAGTGTTGGCAGGGAGTTCCCCAGGCTTTTGTTCCTGGGAGACTTTAATCTGCCCTCCCCGGGTTTGGCCTCGGAAGGGGCCTAGGAGTTCACGGCTGCCATGGGCCTCTCCCAGACCCTCTTGGGCCTGGCTCAGGACACCGGTCACACACCGGATAGGATCTTCTTTTGGTTAAAAAGATTTTTTATCTTTCCCATTTTTCGTAACATACATACAATCATCTTAAATTCATATACAAAATACTTTTGATAAAATAAAATAAATACATACCCATAACTTTTGGGTTGCTCGCCCACCTCCCCCTTCACTGCATCCACCCTCTCTACCTTCCTCCCTTCTCTTCCCTACTTCCCTCCTCTTCCTCTCCTCACCACTCTCCTCCCCTCCTCTTCTCCTCCAACACTCCTACTTCCTTCTCCTCTCCCCTCCGGATGCAGTTCAGGGGAAATACCCGAGCAACTCCTCTCTCCAAATTCCCCTATCTATATTATATACAATAAAATTCATCTTCTTTTACATTAATACATCTGTTTATCTAACCTTCTCAATATATACTTTTCTCATTAAAAATCTTACAAATCCAATACCTACCCCTCCCACCCCCACCCCCCTCCCCCACTTCCCAGAGCTGAGTACAGCGTAAAAAATAAACCAATATAATCTAAAAAACATAACCCAACTATAATATCAATCCAATCCATAACACACTTTAACTCTTTTCAAAATACAAATATTAACAAAGTACCGTAAATGCCGGCGTATAAGACGACTTCCGCGAGCGCTGAAATCGGCGCCAAAGACGGGGGTCGTCTTATACGCCAAGTCGTCTTATACGCCGGAAATACTGGTAGTTTCCGGCGTATAAGACGACGTTCTAGGAATGCGGCCCGGCTATAAAGACGGGGGTCGTCTTATACGCCGGGTCGCCTAATACGGCGGCATATACGGTAACAACAAAAATCTAAAATCTACTCATAAACAAAATAATACTTTACAATCTCATATTTCTTTTTCAAAACAAGTGTTAACAAATTGTAAACTAAAATAATAATAGGATTAACAAAATCTACTCATATGCAAGATAATATTTTCCAGTTTCATATCTCTTTTGAATGTAATCAATCCATCTTCTCCAAACGATAATGTATTTTTCTTGTGAATGGTCCTTTAAGTAGGCGGAGATTTTCGCCATTTCTGCCAAGTTAGACACCTTAAGTATCCATTCTTCCATGGTAGGCAAAGAGTTTTTCTTCCAATATTGCCCCACTAATAATCTTGTAGCTGTTATAAGATTCAACATCAGATTCACTTCTTTAACATCAAAGTCCACATAATACCCAACAAAAATAACTGCGGAGTAAACTTTATCTTTCTCTTGAAAATCTTTTGAATATTCCATCCGATCTTAATGCAAAAGGCCTTTACATCTCTACAGGTCCACCAAATATGAAAGTAAGTTGCATCTAAACTTCCACACCTCCAACATTTGGGCTGTAAATTCGGATACATGCGAGACAATTTTGGGGGATCCAAATGCCATCTATAAAACATTTTATAAAAATTTTCTCTTAAATTTTGCGCTTGAGTAAATTTTACATTTCTAACCCAAATTGTCTCCCACGTATCCAATAAAATCGGCTCTTGAATATTTTGAGCCCATTTAACCATACAATCTTTAACTAGCTCCGTTTCAGAATCCAATTCTATTAAAACATTATAAATTCTTTTTATATGAGCTCGACTTTGATCTTTAATCTGTTTTACCAAATTCACATCCACTAAAGTAATACCAACTTTTTGATCCAAGCTCCACCTTGCTAACAATTGGTTATAATGAAACCAAGAGTGCACAATATTTTCTTGCTTCAACTCAGTCAAAGACTTTAATTGCCAATCTTGCCCAACCAAACAAATTAGTTCCTTATAAGAAATCTTATCCAAATTAACTCCCTAAGATATTCCTGCTATCACGTGTCCAGGAATCCCCCAAATTGGAATTTTATAATCTAACCTATAGTAATACTTCTTCCAGACACGCAACAAGGCACTTCTCAAGATATGGGTTTCAAAAACCTGATCAACTTTTTTATCATAAATTAAATACGCGTGCCATCCATATAATAAATCCCATCCCTCAAGAGAAAGAATCTTTTTATTTGTTAAGTTGAGCCAATCACTAATCAACATTAAAGACACTGCATCATAATACAATTTTAAATTAGGCACCTTGACCAGATAGGATCTTCTTGTCGAGCAACGGCAACGTGATCTGGTGGAGGAATCTGGTTTTTCTTGTTTTAAATTTTCTACATAGCTTTTTATTGATTTTTTTTTAAGCTGTCTAGAGTCACCTTGACGAGATGGTGGCATAGAAGTTTAATATTAGATAGATAAGTAGATGATAGACAGACAGACAGATACGATGGATCGCCTGATCTTGGGCCCATCTTGGGCCTGGCTCAGGACAACAGTCACACACCGGATATGATCTTTTTTTTTTATAATTATTTGAACTTTATTGGTTTTTAAAACATAAATCACATAACAGTTGGTCAACAGTGTGTAGCTTAGTTTACATTTGTAGGGAAAAATCGTTAACAATCTATTTCTATAATTCGTAATCCACATATTCTAACAAATGCAACTTTTTTCCTTAAATGTTCTCTCTGGTAGGTCCCGTCATCTATATTCTTAATTCTCACTTTAGTATGTTAGTATTTTTCCTTTGATCAGTGTCGTTCTTGATCAATGTATTTTGCTGAATCCGAGGGTTTTCCCATCTATTTTTCCCCAACCGTATGATATGATATGGATATGATCTTCTTGTCGGAGCAACGGCAAAGGGATCTTTGCTCTGCGTTGATACACATATAAATTTTAGGAATTCTTTCCTGGGCCTTTTAGCCCAAGCAGTCTGGTTCAAACTCTCTCCAGGTAGTTGTGTGTCTTTGATTTTGTGTGTGTGTGCGTGAGAAAGGGAGGGAGCTGGAGTCAGAAACAGTTTTTCCATCTATCAGGCAACAGAGTGAACTTCCTCACTCTCTTTTTCTTGCTTTCTTTTCCAGCAAGTGACAGCGGATCCAGCGGATCCAGCCAAGGTGAGTTGGAGGGAGCTGCTGCTGCTTTAGCCATTCTGTCCCTTTGCCAGACTTTGGACGGGGGGGGGAGAGGAAAAGTTTCTAAAAGCCCCCTCCTCCTCCCCCAATTAATTAATCCTCCTTGTGTTCCCTCTGCGTCTGGTTCTGCTGAAATAATTAAAATAGAGTCAGTTTCATTAAGTGGTGATGGCACCAAGTGAGACTTACTAGGAGACGGTGAGTTCTAGTCCCACCTTAGGCATGAAAGCTGGGGGGGGGTCACAAAATGCACTTTCCTTGCCTTGCGTTGTTCCTGAGGCGGAGAAGGGAAGCTCTCCCTGTGGGATTCAGGCAGGGGAGGCAGCCCAGAGTCTGCCTGGTGGAGCCTGGCCCCCTTTGGAAGAGAGAGAGCCCTCAATTCTTTTTTTGGGGGGGGGGAATAGGGAGACCACCAGCGATGCTGTGATCCCCAGTGGTTAGAGACCCTTCTTGTGGCAGAGCTGAGACCTGGCTGACTATGGGGGTGGAGGGGGGGTTTCCTCCTCTCAGGGATGTGCCCAGCTGAGTTTAGGATTTGGCCCCAACCGAGACCCCAGGGCAGGGAAAGTGGGGGGGCAGTGGTCCTCTGAGAATCCCTTTGGGCCCTCGGGGGCCTTGATGCCCACGTTTCTGGTTGTGACTCCCCGTTTCTGAATCTGGGCTCATGGGATCAGTTGGGCTTGTGGCTGCTCTACCAGCCTCCCTGCTGCGTGGCCACCCCCTCCCTTCCTGCCTCAGCCACTGGGGACCATCTTAGTGTTGGCAGGGAGTTCCCCAGGCTTCTGGTCCTGGGAGACGTCAATCTGCCCTCCCCGGGTTTGGCCTCGGAAGGGGCCCAGGAGTTCACGGCTGCCATGGGCCTCTCCCAGACCGTCTTGGGCCTGGCTCAGCACAGCAGTCACACACCAGATGTAACCTTCTTGTCGAAGCAATGGCAATGTGATCTGGTGGGGGAATCTAGTTTTTATTGTTTTAAATATTCTACATAGCTTTTTATTGAATTTTATTGTAAGCTGTCTAAAGTCACCTTGACGAGATGGCATAGAAGTTTAATATTAGATAGATAAGTAGATGATAGACAGACAGACAGATACGATGGATCGCCTGATCTTGGGCCCATCTTGGGCCTGGCTCAGGACAGCAGTCACACACTGGATATGATCTTTTTTTTATAATAATTTGAACTTTATTGGTTTTTAAAACACAAATCACATAATAGTTGGTCAACAATGTGTAGCTTAGTTTACATTTGTAGGGAAAAATCGTTAACAATCTATTTCTATAATTCGTAATCCACATATTCTAACAAATGCAACTTTTTTCCTTCAATATTCTCTCTGGTAGTTGTGTGTCTTTGATTGTGTGTGTGGGAGAGAGGGAGGGAGCTGGAGTCAGAAAGAGCTGAGCTTCTCCATCTATCGGCCAAGAAAGCGACAGACTCACCGGTGTCTTTTCTTTCTTTCTTTTCCAGTAAGTGACACCGGATCCAGCGTTCCAATCCTGGGTAAGTCGGAGGGAGCTGCTGTTGCTTCAGCCATTCTGTCCCTTTGCAAGTCATTGGGGGGGGGAGAGTAAAAGAGGGAAAAGCCCCCAGTTTTTAAAAGCTCAGATTACAAATAAATCCCAATGAGACTCTGAACAGGAGGCCTCTGAACACAGCTTTATTTTCTTTGATGAAAGAATATATGTTGGGCACTCCACTCTCCTTTAGGCAGCAGAGGAGATGGAGAGCAGAGAGCAAGTCAAGTTTTTGCTTTTTATAAACCAACAAACATCACAAGGTTTCTGCGCATCTAAAAAGTTCCTTTGAATCTCCTTTTCTATCCTGGCCTTACATTTCTGCCTCTCTAACCTTGAACACACCAAAGCACAAGAGAGAGCTGTTAGAGAGCTGTCATATTTTAAAGCCACAGCAGAGAATCGAGAAGGGAAAGATTCACCATCCGAGGAGAGAGGATAGTGATGGCAATTTCTTAAATTGAAACAACACCCTTTAAAGCAGTGTTTCTCAACCTTGACAATTTTAAGGAATGTGGACTTCAACTCCCAGAATTCCACAGCCAGCATTGCTGGCTGTGGAATTCTGGGAGTTGAAGTCCACATGCCTTAAAATTGTCAAGGTTGAGAAACACTGCTTTAAAGTAACAGAAACATTTTCTTTGGTCAGCACAATTTGGAATGCAATGGAGCACAGACAGAAAGCAAGCAAAGATAAATGGACAATAGCTGCTATACTTGAGAGATTGATTATGCGTAAAAGACTATATTTTGAAAGATTATACTTGGCTGGATCTCTACACACCTTCGGCATGAAAGCCGGCTGGGGGGTTTTTTACAAAATCCACTTTCCTTGCATTGCTTTGTTCCTGAGGCGGAGAAGAGAAGCTCTCCCTGTGGGATTCAGGCAGGGGAGGCAGCCCAGAGTCTGCCTGGTGGAGCCTGGCCCCCTTTGGAGGAGAGAGAGCCCTCAATTCCTTGGTGGGAAATGGGGGAATCACCGGCGATCCCATGATCCCCAGTGGTTAGAGACTCTTCTGCTGGCATAGCTGAGACCTGACTGATTCTGGAAGTGGAGGGGGTGTTCCTCCTCTCATAGATTGGGGTTTAGGCTTCGGCCCCAACTGAGACCCCGGGGCAGGGCAGGTGGGGGGGCAATGGTCCTCTGAGAATCCCTCTGGGCACTTGGGGGCCTTGATCCCCACGTTTCTGGTTGTGACTCCCTGTTTCTGAATCTGGGCTCACGGGATCAGTTGGGCTTGTTGCTGCTGTACCAGCCTCCCTGCTACCTGGGCACCCCCATCCCCCCTCCCTCAGCCGCTGGGGGCCATCTTAGTGTTGGCAGGGAGTTCCCCAGGCTTCTGGTCCTGGGAGACGTCAATCTGCCCTCCCTGGGTTTGGCCTCCGAAGGGGCCCAGGAGTTCATGGCTGCCATGGGCCTCTCCCAGACTGTCCTGGGTCTGGCTCAGGACAGCGGTCACATACCGGATAGGATCTTCTTGGAGCAACAGCAACGTGATCTTATTGGGGGGGGGGGAATCTGGTTTTGATTGTTTTAAATATTCTACATAGCTTTTTATTGAATTTTATTGTAAGCTGTCACCTTGACAAGATGGTGGCATAGAAGTTTAATATTTGATAGATAAATAGATGTTAGAGAGACAGACAGATATATTGGATTGCCTGATCTTAGGCTCATCTTGGGCCTGGCTCAGGACAGCGGTCACACACCGGATATGATCTTCTTGTCAGAGCAACGGCAACGTGATCTGGTGGGGGAATCTGGTCTTTCAATTTATTGTTTTAAATGTTCTACATGGCATTTTATTGAATTTTACTGGAAGCTGCCCAGAGTCACCTTGGAGAGAGATGGGTGACACAGAAGATTAATAATAATTGAATAAAAAGGCTGGTCTCCTCTGAGAGTTTGGTGAAACTGCAGAGGTTAAATGGCGAAGAGAGAGATTTGTCCTCTTCAGAGGATCCAGGCAAGGCAGAGACTCACTTTGTGTCTTTCTCTCCAATGCAGGGAGCCCCCAGACTGCTTAGCAGCCCCCTGGCAGGTGAGTGGTCCTCATGGAGGCTGAATTGGGGGGAGAGGGAGGGAGGTGAGGGCTTTGAGGTCCAAGGAAGATATTTTGGGAAAACTGTCTTCCCTCTTATATTCAACTCAAACACTGCAAGGGAAGGAATTTGGGGGAGAGGCATGAGGGCTCTGGGGAGGGGTCTGCCTGCCCCCCAACTCTTATCCTCTGGCATCTCTCAGGCTCCGACTGTCTGGATATAACTAACCCTTGGGTGTTTTTTCCATCCTCTTTGCAGCACGATGGACACTCCCAGCCTTAGGAGGGAGGAAAGAATTGAGGATCAACCTTCTTGTGAATTAGGCCCTTCCAGCATGTTGGTCCAGGATATATTTGGTGTCTTTCATTTTTGCTTTTATTATAGAATCAGTAATCTTTTTTTACTATGATTGAGGAATGGAAGAGAAAAGAATATATGTTACTAATTGTGGAATCAAAAGATTTTAAATGCTTTTGTAGATCATGGGTTTTAATAAGTATTTTGTATAACCCTTCATGGGCTTTTGCTAATTGATCTTAATGGATTGAGATTAGAGGTTAGAGATGAGGTTTCAGAGATGGGTTTATAGGGAATGGGGTGAGGGAGAGGATGAAGGGTTTCTTGGTTTATTTTAAGAGAGATTTATAAGCTGTTAATTTTCATTATACTTATTGGGGATAGAGGAGGGTATTTCCTTTTTTTCCTTCTGTTAGTTTTATAAGTTTAAATGTTATCTTCTATGAAACTATTACTAAAAGAAGAAGCCTGCATCCTGAGATGTTTGTCACTAAAATCGTTCATGCATTTTAATTGATTATTGCACAGTTAATTGAACATATATTTGATCATTCAAAGTTTGACAGATAATCAGTATAACGAGTGAAACATTCAGACTCTTGATTTTTTTTTAATAGATTGTCATTTATGGACTTTCATGCTTTAGAAAAATGGAACATGAGATCCATTGCACATCTGGGCTGCTGGCTCCTTTAATAATTGCACTTAGATTGTAAGTTTGTCAAAGTTGTTTGCTGAAAATAAATGGGTTTTTTTCCCCTCTTACCTGAGTTGCTGCCTGTTTGAAGAGATTGGAAATAGGGATTTTACTCTTGTTTTGCTCAGGAAGACCAATTTCACTTTGAGAGGAAGGAAGGGGAGGAACCAAGGCAAAACCTGGAAGGAGCAAGACCTGGGGGAGGGGACTCCTGTGTGCTCCTTGGGGAGGAGGCAGCCATTTTGCTTCTGAGTCCGGATCTTTCTCCAGCATCACCAGCTGACCTTCCGCAAAATGGCCGCTTGGTCTTGGCTCAGCGGGGGCAGCAACAGAGGCGGCTTTTCCCTCAGATCCACCTTTGCCTCAGGCTGAGGGCCGAGTGGCTGGTCTCTGGGCCTCCTCCAGGGGCCCTTTGGGAGACAGGAGCTCAGGGACCGTCCGGAGCCCTCCTGGCCCCCTTGCAGGAGGGCAGCTTCTCCTGCCTCTGAGAGGTCCTCTCTGGGCTCTTCAGGGGCCCAGTAGGATGCCCTGGCCCAAGAGGGGGGAGAGCCTCGATTGACGGGAAAGAGGTCCCCCATATTATAGTGGATGCTTTCTGGGCGAGGAGGAGTGGAAAGGATGGGGGTCTGTCATCCCCCTCCCTCTGGACTAGCCCTCTTTGAAAGCTTAAAAAGTAAACTTCAAAGCATTTTGCAAGAATTCAGTAGATATTTCAGCCCGTTCTATTGATTCAAAACTTTTAGAAATTTATTTCTTAATTAGAATATATGACCGCCCAGCTCACATAAGCAGCTCTGGCCAGCCAAGACGATAAAAATATCAACACAAGAACGAAAGACAATAAATATAATGCACAAAAGAAAAATGTCCACCAAGGATAGACCAGTCAGCCGCAAATTCATTCAATTTAGCTTACAGGTAGTCCTCGATTTACAACAGTTCATTTAGTGACCTGAGTTACAACAGGATTGAAAAAAGTGATTTAGGACCATTTTTCACACTTGTGAACGTTGCAGCATTTCTGCAGTCATGTGATCAAAATCTGGATGCTTGGCAACCGGTTCATATTTATGACGGTTGCAGTGTCCTGGAGTCACGTGATCACCTTCTGTGTCCTTTTGAGAAGCAAAGTCAATGCAGGAAGCCAGATTCACTTAACAACCGTGTGACTAACTTAACAATTTCAGCGACTCGCTCAACAACCGTGGCAAGAAAAATCGTAAAATGGGGCAAAACCCACTTAACAAATGTTTCCCTTAATGACAGAAATGTTGGGCTTCATTCTGGACGTAGGTCGAGGACAACCTGTAGTGGTTAAGGCACCAGGCTAGAAACCAGGAGGCAGTCAGTTCAAGTCCCGCCTCAGGCTCAAGAATCCGCTTTTGTGATTTTGGGGCCAGTCATCCTATCCCCACAGGGTCGTTGTGGGGAAAATGGAGGACAAGGAAAGAGCATTAGGTGTGTCCGCAGCCTTGAGTTCTTCATGGAAATGATAAAAGTGGGACAAACTCTGGGGCTTAACTCTCTCCCGGTCTCATGGACATCTGAAAGAAAACAAGGACTTTACTAAAGGCCAGCGGGGTTCAGCCTGACTCTAACTCAGCTGTTCTCAACCTATGGGTCACGACCCCATTTGGGGTCGATCGACATTTCACGGGGGTCGCCAAGCAAGGCTGTCCGCCATTTTTTCCCCTTTTCGGGCGGGTGCCTTACCTCCCCTGGGCTGGGCCAGCTGGTGGCCCAGCCAGTGGTCGGCCTGCTCCGTCTCTGCCGCTTGTCAGCTACGCCTCGGCTGGCGCAGGGGGCGGCACCATGCATGCGCGGCGCTCCCAGGCAGGGAAAGTCCTCGACGTACGACCGGTTGGGTAGTCCTCGACTTACGACCGGTTTAGTCCTCGACTTACGACCGGTTGGGGGTTGCGGCTTTAAAAAGGTTGAGAACCACTGCTCTAACTCCAAAAGAAATAAGGTCCCAGTGGGTGGATGGTACAGCCTCAGTCCCGTCCTTCCCTGAGAACCTGAAGGACTGCGCTTCAAGAAGCGGAAAAGGATAAGCTAAAAACTTCACCATTTTATTGCCTATCTTAACCTGCTTCTAACCTGATCCCCCCCCCCCACACTGCCAGAGGTTCTGCGGGGTCTCCCCTCCCCCTCGCCTGCGCCCCTCCTCCCAGACACATAACCCGCTTTTCCCAGCCCCCCCCCATTTCTGCCCCTCCCCCCTCAAGAGGCGGAAGGCCTGGAAGGGGATTTCCAGATGGGACTTTCTCTCCAGCCGGTTGCGCCTGAACATCTGCCTAGTAACAAATGACGACGTGGGCATCCTTTTTTTCTACTGGTTGAGCTTGACCAATCATCCGCTTCTGCTCTGGATTGTTGCGGTGTTGATCAGCTGGAGCGCGTCTTTCTCTGCCGGCGACTTCTGGACAGCGGATCGCAGTTGGAGGATCGCGGCCAGGATGGCTCTGCGCTCCTTGTCCCTCCTGGTGTTGGTGGCGGTCGCTCTGCGGGAGAGCTGCCTCGGTGAGTCCCTTTGGGGGCGTCCGAGGCTCCGGCCCCTTTATCTCCCGGTGGGAATCCATCCAGGGAATCTCTCTCTTTCTTTCGCCTCCCCCCAAAGATTATTCCCAGGAAGAGAATCCCGATTCGGTCCTCTCTCTAGTCCGCTCCCCCTCCCCCGCTGGCCGCTCTCAGAAGGGACCCCAAAGCGTGGATGGGACTTGGCTGCCCCTCCCCCCAGGAGAGCCCCTCTGGGAACGGGACAAGGGGGGGCCCTCCAGAGGTCAGTCAAGTCTACCTGGGCGCCCCCGAGCGCAGTTCTGTCCCTCCCCCAAAGTGGAGGTTGTGGGAAAGCGGCGTTTGCGGGGACCGGGTCAGTTCCCAAACTTCCTGGCTGCCTTCGCACAACCCCTCCGCCCGGCTCCTCTTTCCTGCCTTTGGCGGGGCTGGGTGGCTCTTTGTGGCTTCTGGTGCTGGGAGGAGCCGGCTCGGTTCTCGACTCGCTTCCGCGTATTGGCAGACAAGGAGGCTGGAGCACCGGAGCCCTCGGGTTAAGGCTGTCCTGGGAATGCAGCAGAAGAAGAGTCTGGAGAGAAGCCCTCCTTGAATCGTCTTCACAAAGATCCCCCCTGATTGATTGATTGATTGATTGATTGTCACTTTCCACTGGATCCCCACCCCCCACCCCGTCCCAAACCCCAATATCCCCAGAGCTGTTTTCTAAGACAGGCAGGAATTTTTCCACCCAAAATCCTCCTCCTCCCATTTCAGGAGCCCCCAGCAGGGGAGAGTTGCAGAATCAGAAATATTTAAAGTTTACTCTTATTCCTTAGTAACCAGATGGGAGGCCTTGGGGTGTCCCTAGTTGCTCCTCAGAGAAACTCTCAATGCAGCAGCTTTTCCAAAGGCATTTCCCAAACTCTCAGGATCTGAAGGGTCAGAGAGGCTGGGCTGGAGGCAGGAGGAGAGAAGCCCCTCTGGGTGGGGACCCTGCAATGAAGGCCTTGCTTGGACACAGGCCCAAACTGACCAGCCCATCCTGACCCAACCAGTGTTACAGTCACACGTTTTTCCTCCCAGGCAAACTTCAGATCCCTCACTGCTCAGCCCCACCAGGGGAAGAAGCGGGTTCTGGATGACGGAGGGTCTGATCCCCCTTCTTCTGTCGAAGAAAAGCTCTGATCTGTTTGGATGCTGAAATCTCCCCAGAGCAGGAAGTGGATCTGGGGATCCCCCTCCCCATTGTGGGGAGGAGCAGGCAGAAGGAGGCCTTTGCCTTGGGAGACTGGGAAGGACTGGGAGACCGTACTGGAAGGACTGGACTGCATGATAGAAACTGAAATAATGTTATTGTCATGGTTCCGACAGATGAAACTCTTCAAAGAATTTTTATTTGAGTAGCATAGCATGGGCACTAATATAAGCAAAGCCCAAAACTGAATTCCCCTCCCCTGAGACATAGTATCGAAGCACAATTCCCTCCTCCAGTTAACAGTCATAAATCACATTCCCCAATTAGTTTAAAGTGGGCTGGCCAATTCTTATCATCTCTTATTTCAATAACCTTGGTTCTCACACCAGGTCCAGTGTTATTATCTCTAGTTAGACTCTCATGCATATTCCCCCCCCCCCAGCATCATCTAACTCTAAAAGCAAAAGAAGAAAATGGCTGCATCTCCATCTGTTGTCAATACAAAACATTGGATGTTAGGAGTGTTGACAGTTGTATATTTATCTTTGGTTCACCAGAGGGGCTTTAAAGCTGACAGGACCCTCCATAGAGAGGCTCAGTTTGAGGAGAGGACTCCAGCAGAGCCCCCACCCACCCAATACGGGGGTTGGCAGCAGGAACTCCCAAGCAGTTTCAGTGGGGGCAGGAGGTGGGGCCAGGATGGAGAGGCTCCATGGGTTTCTTCTGGGTTAGGGGGATTCTGGGAGTTGAAGTCCAAGTGGCTCAGAAACTCTAATTTAGGCCTTTATGTTGAGAGTCACTGATTGTGTGAAGAGTTAGGTAGCCATGATCAGCCAAGCTTTGTGGAAGGCCTTGCTGGCAGGGGGGAGTGTGCAATTTGGACAGGTAAAGTTTGGGGGACTCGACCTTCCCCTCCTCTCTTACACCCCACCTTCCCTGCCCTCCAGGCCCTCCAAAAAGCTGCTTCTTTCCCTCTCAGTTGCTCCCTCCTTCCACCTCCTGCCTCCCCTTCTATCCTCTCCTCTTTCTTCTCCCCCCCCCCAGCTCTCCTCCTCCTTCTTCTTTCCCTCAGAGCCTCAGATTGGAGCCTCCATAGGATGAGGGTCCTTGACTGGAGCCCCCTAACTCTGCCCCTCTGGGTCCCTTCCAGGTGCCTCCTCACACTCCCTGAAGTATTTCTCCACCGTCATCTCAGAGCCCAGTCAGGGGCTGCCCCACTATGTCACTGTGGGGTACGTGGACAGTCAGGTCTTTGTTCATTATGACAGCAACAGCCGGAGGCTGGAGCCTCAAGTCTCCTGGATGGAGAACGTAGAGAAGGAGGACCCCCAATACTGGGAAAAGAACACCCGTAGAGAACGTGAGAATGAGGAGATG